GTGGTAGATGTTTTTCATGTTTGCGTTCCCGTTTCGGACAGTATAGAAGGAAATGTTCTCTATTTTATAGTTCGTGACAGAACAAACAGGTAGGGGACCCAGTCTGAAACTTCATCTATTGGCTTGTAATGTATAGGTGCTTGTCGGAGCTGTAGCCTGAATAATTGCTGAAGAAGTCTCTCTAGGAGACCCAATAGCCGTAGTCAAAACGGGAAGGCCTTGATGTCGGAGGTTGATTTGCAGGTAAACATGTATCAGTGATAGTTTCGAGCGACGCTCTCGAGGCATGTCATATAGACATTATTGTAATTTACTAACACCTGGGAAATTACCTGGTATGTAGGCTGTACTTACCTGAAAATCACCTGGTATGTGGGCTGTACTTACCTGAAAATCACCTGGTATGTAGTCTGTATTTACCTGGTAAATCACTGGTACGTAAACGGTGCTTTCCTGGGAAATCAACCGGTATGTAAACGGTACTTACCTGGGAAATCACCTGGTATGTAGGCGGTACTTACCTGGGAAATCAACTGGTATGTAGACGGTACATACCTGAGAAATCACCTGGTATGTAGAATATATTTACCTGGGAAATCATGTGGTATGTAGAATATATTTACCTGGGAAATCATCTGGTATGTAAACGGTACTTCTCCGGGTAATCACCTGGCATGTAGACGGTACTTACCTGGGAAATCACCTGGTATGAAGAAGTACTTACCTGGAAAATCACCTGGTATGTAGACGGTACATACCTGGAAAATCACCTGTGTATGTAGACGGTACTTACCTGGTAAATCATTTGGTATGTAGGCTGTACATACCTGGGAAATCATCTGGTATGTAGACTGTACTTATCTGGGAAAGCACCTGGTATGTAGACTGTTCTTACCTGGGAAATCACCTGGTATGATTATGGTACTTACCTGGGGAATCAAATGGTATGATTATGGTACTTACCTGGGGAATCAACTGGTATGTAGAATGTACTTATCTGGGAAAGCACCTGGTATGTAGACTGTATTTACCTAGGAAATCACCTGGTATGTAGACTGTATATATATATATACAATATTGTTACCTACAATTCATGATAAAAATAGTAGTCAGAAATATATAAGGTAACTACGTTTAACATATACAGTCGAGGGTGTTAAAAGAAAAACCGCGATCTTTTTGAGGACACCCTTTGATATGTAATCTTTTTCAGCCCAAGTTCAAATGCTGGACAGTCGCCTTACGTCCGTAGTCTATCGTCGGTCTGTAAACAATTTTTTCATCGCTTAACGTTTAAAGAACAAGTAAAGACCATAAAATGTGTCAATAAGATCGGATATCATTTTTACCGAATGCAGATTAAACCCCCTTTGCATAAAAGCTGAAATGATCAGAACTCTATGAAAGTGTCTAGTCCTACACTTACCGAGGATATTATAAACATGTAAACTACGTAAACAGGAGAAATGTCATATTCATTCAGGCCAATGTGATCACAGAACCTTGGAAGGTGAGGTTTGATTAGTAGATTAAAGTAGAGATAATGGGACTGCAATGATAAGTATGAGTGATATACATATATGAAACCTGGTAAGTAATATTAACGGTTATGGTCTAATATCCGTACTGGATCCTAACAAACAATTGTTCTTTGGATGCGTGTTACTGGAATAGATATATGATGGCTGAAGTAATATCGACAGTACGGACAAGCGAATTGTCAAGTTTTCACATAGAACATCAAAATAAATAGAAAGTTATAAACCACCTCCCAAACGTGATATTTCATATGCCATGATTGATAAGGCACTTCTGACCGAGGTCCAGGACTCTGGGATACAAACTGACCCAGCTGTTGTATCTGGCGGTCTTGGTGAGCCTGTGTCCCAGGTGAGGGTGGCTGTGCAACGGCTAAACCTTGACCATGAAATGAAGGAAAGGTAAGAGGACACTGTCAGCGATGAAGAAGATTCTGAATGGGACGATGCCTTTTAAACATTGTGTTATTCATGGTCATTTAATTAAGCCATGTTAGCACCGACAGGCTTCTTTGTTTACAATTTTTTCCAGGAGCCCTTACCCCACCTCCTGAGTCCCCCTGGAGGGGGCCAGTGCCCCCTCCTCAAACCATCCCCGCCTCGCCGCGTTACGGCTCAGTCGGCTGGCTTCGCCAGACTCCTACTCCATTTTACAGCCTATTATTAAAATATTTATAGAAAACCCTGGATACATAAACATCACTGTTATATAACGATACACATACACATCTGTGTGTTACCGTTATTGTTGAAGTGCGTGTCTTTTTTTTTGGATTTCGTCAAATGATTGGTGGATTTTTGTATATCCTGTCTCATTTGTGTCTTGACCTTGCAATCCAACGCCCTGGATATTGAAGTTCTATCAATTTTTTAAAGTGTTATTCCTACATACTGGGATGTAAGCAGATAAATATGTAAGTGCAGCTCATTTTTTCAATTTTTTGTGTCGGTCGTCATAATTTAGCTGAAACTTAAAACTGGATTTGTACCCCAGTTTAGAAATGGGTAATGCACATTAACGCATGAAAATTAATTGATGCACACGTCAACGCTGCGCACATCACGGAAAGATTAAATGCGCAGTCATACAAATTGTATGTTAGAAGAGGAAGTTACATTAAATCAACATATCCCCTACTTGGACTCATAATAGTAACTGACATTTGTTATAGTACACTGAAGTGGTTAGCTTCAATTTGGAGACCATCAAACTTGATCTTTGCAGATGAAGGTAATATTCCAGAAATAGGCTGATTCTTTCGATTTTGCTCGTGTCGTTTTCACTTGGATTATACAATTCTTGCACTATCGGGAAGGTACAATCTTGTCGACTTCAGGATCAGTAGCTACACTCATAGTATATATCTGGTGTTTAAAAGTATTTGTGGTAGATGTTTTTCATGTTTGCGTTCCCGTTTCGGACAGTATAGAAGGAAATGTTCTCTATTTTATAGTTCGTGACAGAACAAACAGGTAGGGGACCCAGTCTGAAACTTCATCTATTGGCTTGTAATGTATAGGTGCTTGTCGGAGCTGTAGCCTGAATAATTGCTGAAGAAGTCTCTCTAGGAGACCCAATAGCCGTAGTCAAAACGGGAAGGCCTTGATGTCGGAGGTTGATTTGCAGGTAAACATGTATCAGTGATAGTTTCGAGCAACGCTCTCGAGGCATGTCATATAGACATTATTGTAATTTACTAACACCTGGGAAATTATTTGGTATGTAGGCTGTACTTACCTGGGAAATCACCTGTTATGTAGGCTGTACTTACCTGAAAATCACCTGTGTATGTAGACGGTACTTACCTGGTAAATCATTTGGTATGTAGGCTGTACATACCTGGGAAATCATCTGGTATGTAGACTGTACTTATCTGGGAAAGCACCTGGTATGTAGACTGTTCTTACCTGGGAAATCACCTGGTATGATTATGGTACTTACCTAGGGAATCAAATGGTATGATTATGGTACTTACCTGGGGAATCAACTGGTATGTAGAATGTACTTATCTGGGAAAGCACCTGGTATGTAGACTGTATTTACCTAGGAAATCACCTGATATGTAGACTGTATATATATATACAATATTGTTACCTACAATTCATGATAAAAATAGTAGTCAGAAATATATAAGGTAACTACGTTTAACATATACAGTCGAGGGTGTTAAAAGAAAAACCGCGATCTTTTTGAGAACATCCTTTGATATGTAATCTTTTTCAGCCCAAGTTCAAATGCTGGACAGTCGCCTTACGTCCGTAGTCTATCGTCGGTCTGTAAACAATTTTTTTCATCGCTTAACGTTTAAAGAACAAGTAAAGACCATAAAATGTGTCAATAAGATCGGATATCATTTTTACCGAATGCAGATTAAACCCCCTTTGCATAAAAACTGAATGATCAGAATTCTACGAAAGCGTCTAGTCCTACACTTACCGAGGATGTTATAAACATGTAAACTACGTAAAAAGGAGAAATGTCATATTCATTCAGGCCAATGTGATCACAGAACCTTGGAAGGTGAGGTTTGATTAGTAGATTAAAGTAGAGATAATGGGACTGCAATGATAAGTATGAGTGATATACATATATGAAACCTGGTAAGTAATATTAACGGTTATGGTCTAATATCCGTACTGGATCCTAACAAACAATTGTTCTTTGGATGCGTGTTACTGGAATAGATATATGATGGCTGAAGTAATATCGACAGTACGGACAAGCGAATTGTCAAGTTTTCACATAGAACATCAAATAAATAGAAAGTTATAAACCACCTCCCAAACGTGATATTTCATATGCCATGATTGATAAGGAACTTCTGACCGAGGTCCAGGACTCCGGGATACAAACTGACCCAGCTGTTGTATCTGGCAGTCTTGGTGAGCCTGTGTCCCAGGTGAGGGTGGCTGTGCAACGGCTAAACCTTGACCATGAAATGAAGGAAAGGTAAGAGGACACTGTCAGCGATGAAGAAGATTCTGAATGGGACGATGCCTTTTAGCCACCCACTTTTATTTCTTGTTTCTAACAACAATTAAACATTGTGTTATTCATGGTCATTTAATTAAGCCATGTTAGCACCGACAGGCTTCTTTGTTTACAAATTTTTCCAGGAGCCCTCACCCCACCTCCTGAGTCCCCCTGGAGGGGGCCACTGCCATTGTCATATTTTCACATAGAACATCAAATAAATACAAAGTTATAAACTAAAATCGAAAAAAGTGGTGTAAATTTTGGTGTCTCGATAATCCTTTCGGCCGATGGACGCCGAAGGCCCGTGATAAGGGACAAAATCTCATTGTATATATCAGAGCTGTCATTACCTGCCTGTTTTTTTATTTTCTTGGTAGATGGATATTCCATAGTTCTTGGTCCAGATATAGACGTTTGTCAAAATATATGAATCCACCTCTGGGGCAAAGAGAAATACCTACAGAGCCGAGCTGAATCTGACCACAATGGCTTACACAAAAGATGACCGTATTGCGTTTGGAGATCAAACTAGGTTAGATCCCTTTGATGTGATTGTAAATGATCTCATCTCAGATTTGGATGGCGATGACTTGACATTTGACGAGATTATCAATCTGTCGAGGACTTCACTCGGCGGGTTGTCCAAAAACAATATACAAAATGCGACCCATTATTTCCAAATTCTGAAGAATAATTTCGGAGAAGAAGACATGCTTGATTTTCTGATCAATGTGACAGATTTTCAAAACTGGCATCGTGACCTAGGCCGTAACAGAGTAGCGGATATGTTAAAAAAGTACAAAACGAAGTTTGTGGAACACAAACGAAGATGTATGCAGATGGACATATTTGATGTAAACTTCGTTGGACGGGAAAATCAAATCAAGGATTTCATCGAAAGCACCGTTCCTGGTAAGAAGAGTTCTTCCGGTTGGAGTACTATAACTAATTATTATATCTAGTGTATAATGTTAAATTAGTATTCAAAGGTAGAATGATATCTTTAATAAGTAATCAAAGTTATAGCATAATGTTTAGTAATTATAGTTAATTTGATATGCTTAATTAGTGACCTCCTGCATCGATACCCCCACCTCAAAATTGAAACACGTTTTAAAAGTTTCAGTGCTAATATTTTGTCTGGCTGGTTGCATCATTAGAGATTAATTGGAAAAGTGATAATTGATATCTGGCTAATTCCGTAAACGTACGTATTTAACGCTCTTTTCATGATCAACATTTTAATCACATACATAAATGATTTAAATTGAAGGGCCATACACTTTTTACTGTTCAGACCAGAGTGTAAAGCGTTCATTTGAGTATCACTTATTTATAATTAGAAAGTTTTTCAGTGACGTAGAAATCATAACTTTTTTAAAAACTCATACGTAATGTTTTATTTGATCTTATTTACAGCTGTGAGCATTTCGGGCGCCGGAGGCATAGGAAAGACTGCTATTGGCAATGAAATTTGTCGTAGACTATGGTCTTCTAAAAAGCACTGGCAGGTTATCAAAATTGATCTAAGGTAAACTAACCCATTGTTTAATAGATTATATTTTGATCAAAATAAATTCTGATGTGGTATGAAATCTCACGTCAGAAAAATAACTTAATTAAGACATTACGGCATTGTTGAGACAATCTGTGATTGAATCGAGAATATCTTACACAAACAATTTTAAATGAATGCAAACATATAACATTTATATAGAAACTTATTAAAGCCTTCTATGTATTCCCAACTTTATCACCATTTTCTTGCATTTTATTACAGAGAGAAAGATTCTATGGGGGATTTGTTGAAGGACATTGTCTTGGAGCTCCAATTGAAAGACGACGGCATGTCATCCGATGACCTATTAAACAGTCTTAAGGATACCAAGGACAGCAAGATGCAAGCCAACATTTTAGACCACCTTAGTAAAATCACTCGCAGTAAGTATTATCAGATGTGTCAAAGTGTTTACCTATATTTATAACGATATGAATAATATAAATAATCATATTTCAAAACATGGCAGAAAAATTCTTTGTCAGAAGATGTTCGTGTCATTTTTTTGTTTATTTTGTTTTAATTATAAAACACCACAATATATTTATCAGGTTTAATTTTTGCTAATGAAATATAGGAATCTATCAATTTCATTTAAGATATAAGATATCGTATATGATAACACTTTTCTAGCAATGATATCACCTTTTTTAGTTTTGGCCAATCAGAGCGATGTTTTTGGTCACTGCATTGAAGTTGGTATGTTTTGCTGTTCTGTCGCAAACGAGGCAAAGGTTAACTAAGCTGGTTTTCTAACAAATATTTTTCATGTGCCTATTTGGTTATCTCTAATTTGGTGTATAAAGCAGATCTGTAAGCGATTACCAAAGAAAAAAAGCACGAGATGTTGAAATACCACGTAAATTCAAAATTTCGTTGTCAAGCGTTACGTGCAACTATCTGACGTCAAAGAACATTTCAATATTTCCCCAACTCTTTTAAACAAATCATTTGTTATTTAGATTTATTTTAATTTGTTCACACTATTATATCCTCCTTAAATCTAATAAAATATTTTTTGGTTTTCTATTCGGGATCATATATACGTTACTTCGGTTTGCTGTAACCTGCATGCTACATTTTAATTAATTCAATAGTCACATGATTCAGAATGCACACATATACTAGACATTGTTATTAAGTTATTATCAGATACATGAAAATTGCGAAATTTCTGGAATCATGGGGCTAGTGCACCTCCCCGTCAAGAGTTTGAATGTTCTTTCGATCACTTTGGAGTTTCCTCAATCGTCTTTAAAATGGATGTCCTTAATATTACTGGCGAGTCCTAGAAGAACGAAACAAAGGTATAGTGCAGTTCAATATTAATGATAATAGTGAAATCGATCAAGACGATAAGTGAAATGGGTGTTCAGATATCGTTAATCATTATACCTATTTAACACCATTGTTATCTCTACAGGAACAATTGTCATGCTGGATAATGTGGACGATATCATTCACAAAAATGAAAATCAGTTTCTACAATTCGTCCAAAAGATATTGGAGAAGTTACGAGATACTTGTAAGGTAAGATTATTTGACATTTCCTTTTACCATCAGAATGATGTAAATGTTAATACTTTGTGAACCCTTTTGTCCTTAAACATGTACCGCACAGCTATGTAAGTATTAAGATTCAAGCGTATTACATTTACAGACCTGTGTAATATGTTATTGATAAGCTAATGAAATATATGGATACTCATTTGATGCAATTCACTGTCGGTGTTTGTACACCGAATTTGGCGTTTTATAAATGGCTTATAATGGTCATTTCAATATAATGGACAAATACAATAACATGAGGTTAACAACTGTAATGTACAGAGTGTTCAGAATACCAATGGAACGCCTTACACGTATTGCACATTTCTAATCTTCATTATGATCTTTTATGATTTTACAGTATTTCTAAACATGTGTTCATTTCTTTTGTTAGTATGGTGAATGTTAATTAAGATACATATCAATTCTTCTTCATACATAGATAAAATTTATACTAAAAGTGACAAGAAAAAGGACATACTTCAGAGCACGAACTATGCGTAGAGCCGTTTCATCATAAGTTGATTGTATGTGCTAGTAGATTTGAACTTGTGTTATCAAAGTTTTGTTCAAACATATTTGTATAATAACATACGCATACTATTCTCATGATAACACGGGTTTATCTCCCACTTCTATTCACCCTCTTTCTGGTGTTAGATACTGCACATGTTGTCTAGATGGAAAGCAAATCACTGTATCTTTGTCCTGATTGATTCAGTGCCTTATTACCTTTAATTATGTACCAAAATATTTTTCTAATTATAAAAAGTAAATTTAATGTATGTTCATTAAAAACTCGTGATTATACAATCACTATACAGAAATTATTCACACTCACATACCGCTACACTTTCAACCATGATGCGGGTAAATTGTCCGTCTTCCAAATTATGTATACATTCAGTACTTTCGGTTTTAAAAAGAGGGTACCATTTACACACGTGAGAGCAGCAATTTGCAGATAAGCCATCTTTAGCTTGGTATTTTGTTTGATACATGAATATGTTGATTACTGACACTGTTTATAAAAACGCAAATATCTTTAGCTGTAGTTCTCGATGTTTGACGTAACCTTCATGCCACGTTTAAATTCACTCGAATAGTGACACGGTTCAGAGCAAAACATGTACTTGACTATATTCTAAATTTATCTGATGTATCAAAATTACGAAATTTTTCTAATTATGGGGCTGCTGCACATTCCCGTCTAGATTTTTACTTTTCTTTTGATCACTTTTGATTTTCCTTAATCGTCTTCTAGGCTTCAAATTTATGCTCTTAACATCACTGAAGAGTCCTAGAAAGACGAAACAGCTGTATGATGCAGTTTAATTCAGTGTTTGGCTCTGCTGTGTCTCACTCTAGATTATGGAAAGGTGTTTTTCACTTGTGTGTTTTTGTACAACCTAAGATAAAAAACAACAATAACAAAAAACAAGGAGACGAAGAAAATACCAACATGTCAACATAAACATAGAAGATAAAAAAAGTAGAGTAAGTCCAGGTGTTCCGGGAAAGTAAGCGTCATGTATACAAATCATTCAACAACAGAACCAAAAGGCAAATTTACGAGTATCAAACACGTCCAACTTCATATCGATCGCACATAGAAATATTTCTCAATTAAATCACTACTAATTAGTACCTTATATCCTTCATTTTGCACTTGTGTTTATATTCCATATACCAGGACCTCTATCTATCTTTCTAATTTAAGATATACAGCTTGAGATCTGTTGAAAACTACACTTTTGACCATGTTAATTGTATCATTACTTACTCAGAATTAATCAATTCTGCTGGCTTTTTGTTACGTCGCCACGTATACTGTACTTTCGTGATGATTTCTCTGAAAATCTCCGACAAGTAAAAACCTACTTTATTGGATATTATTTGCTTTTGTTTGTTGTAAAAAAAGTTTCCAGTTTGCTCGCAATTTATCGCATACACATTCACGATAAAAAAGAGTATATCATTAATGTCACCGTGAAATAAAATGCAACTTCCTTTTCCATCAATGATTTCCTTCTGTAAATCACATTGATGAGTGTGTTCCTGATTATTGTTACACCTCTGCTGTTGTTTTCTCAGAAACTACCATTCAAACACTTGTTTCGAAGACCTCGGTGACATTAGTATTGGTACTTTTTCTTCGATAAGATATTGCCTTGTTTGTGAATTCTTGTTAAGACACCTGTGTTTGTCGTTCATTTGTCATGTATTTTTTTTATTTTCATGAAGTCTTCGTAAGGTGTTGGTAGATACCGTTCGTCTTACTGGGGTGGAAGTAGTATATCAGGAGTTCATTACGGTCGCAATGTTTTATTGATGAATGGCATATCTTGGTCTTTGCGTCTGGTCAAAATGCAACGAGCATGTCGCTAACCAGCTATTTTGTCGACAGGTTGTCCTTGAGTACGCTTTTCGTCATGTTGTCGTTAGGTTCATAATATGTTGAATAATTTGTCGTCCTGTCCTGGTACGACTGTGTTTACCTCGTCAACGTTGACTGCGTCTCTCGTGTTAGCGCACTTGCTTGTATTATCAGGTTTGAGAATGGAGTGTAGACTTGTTAAATGAACTTACTGTCCGTTTGTTCGTGTTCAGTATCCCCACAGACCCAACACTTCCAATCTTTTGGACATTCCAAGAATGTGTGACCTTCTTGTACGCATTTTGAATTTCTTATCGGATATGTCTTTGTTTTGTGACACAATTTATCCCTTATAAAATACCATTGTTCATTTTCCCATTTGAAACTTTCGGAGGATAGGGGTTTTGAGTGAAATGACTTCAATTATACCAAAGCGATCCCCCTGGTCACAGTTCACTAATTTGCCTCTAAAGCGTAAGGCGCATTACATAGCCAGTTGTATCAGCACCTTGCTGTTCAAAGGTTTGGTTTTAATTCTTACCTCTGTGGTGTTCTATGTCAAGCCTATTCGGATGGGTTTTTAAAATGTCCAATGTGAAGTCAGGAAGGGGAATTCCATGCGGTATTGTGGATCTGTCCGTCTTTCTCAAAAGAAAGACACTTCTCAGAAAAACACCATAGGGATTCCGCCATATTTGATCCTAACTGTCGGTTCATTTCTAAAGTTTTGTTAAAATTCTTCATGTTACAACAAAGTTACCTGTCACTTATTTGGTTTTTTTCCTGAATTGTTTTCTGTCCTTGGGTTGATTTCATTAAAGCATTTCATTTTTAAACCCTAAATATCCACCTTTATTTACAGTTTTTTGGTACTGTTGAAAATCCGCCTGAGATGATTTTTAACGTTTGCGCTAGGTTCCTCGAATGATCGTGGTATTTTTGGGAACATGTCTAGTTTTGCTATCAAACATGTATCATTACCGGGAGCAGGTATTGTGTTTCTCACTGTCTAATGTCATTTCAGGGAAGTGCTTTGGTGTTGCTCACAACCCTATGTCATTTCTATTCACGATTCTGGGCCATTTTCGTGCCAACATATAGTGTTATTGACAACCCTCCTTAAGTAATAGCTCTGGCTTGTTTCATAGTTCGTTGGTGTTGATAATATAAGGATGAGTGGGATCATAGTCCACTGGTGTTATTCTTTTGACAGGTCCGTATCATCGTTACAAACCGTGTAAACCTGCGTGACATCTTCGAAAGAACAATGCCTCACATGAGGGATTTAATACGTAATTTGGAAGTTGGACCGTTAGACAGGCATCCCGCAAAGGAGCTAATCAGAAAGTGTACTCCCAAGGTATAAAGACAATTTGGGCACGATGAATGACTTCATCAGCAAGATATTTCACTGCCCTTATAGCTTGAACGTTCGTTTCTTTATATAATCAAATATGTTATTAGATATTCCAAAATGGTTATCAAAACATTGTGAGAAATTGAAGAAAAAGTCTAGAAAGCTTGAAAATGTAATAAATATTCAACACAATTTTAACGTATTAAATTTATTCATAAACTTGATTTGATGTTTGGTAGCTGTCTGTGTAGAGCACAATCGCATAAAAATATACTCAACCAAAAAAGAAACGCACAATTAAAATATATGAAGGGACAAGTCTACTATTTACAATATTGCAGAAGAAAAGTCTGTGTGACGTCGCTCGTGTCGTCAGTAGTTACTCAAAGTGGGATATCCGCAAAAAACAAAATGACAATTAAGTACCAGGTGTGGAGACACGATTCTCTACACGGAGTCTCTTATGTATTGAATTCATGAGAACATTAATTCGCCTCAAGGGAATTTTGTTCCATTCTTGTGTTAATGCTGCGATCAACTGGACGTTTCCTACTACGCCTGTCCAGATCACCCCACAGATGCTCGATGGGAGACATGTCGGGGTTATTTTGGGGCAATTCTAGAGGCTGAACGTAGTTGCCATGAGTAAAGTACGTCAGAATCTGGCAATATGCAACACTTGCCATTACAGAAGCCCCACCGAATACATCGCGTTCAACCACGCATGCGTCGGCAACACGCTCAACGCGTCTGCGATATGCTTTTTTTTCTTCCGTCTGACCGATACAGACAGTATCTAGACTCGTCAGTGAACATCACACGCCTCCACCGACGCATCCAAACCCTATTCGGGTCATATCTGCGCATTCAGTCAAGACGCACTTGCCGCCTCCGTGGAGTCAGAGGTGACCTGACATAAGGTCAGCACGCAATGATTATATCGGCACTCAAGCGGTTCCTGGAAGTTTGAGCACTAATAAGTATGCCATGAGTACCTTAGGTACGCGACACAGTCTCTATAGCAGTTCTGAATCTGTTGTGCAAATGCGGCAATCGAATCGTCCTCTCTTGTCGTGCGGTCGTTACACGCGGAAGACCACTCCTGTGACGATGGGAAACTAACCCAGTAGCATGGAAAAGTGTATAGACGGTTAATTGTACACGGGGTATTGCCAAACTACCGTGCGACAGCAGTTTGGCTATGACCATCCATCAACATCGCAGTTGTGCTACCCTTCTGAATTTGCGTTAAGCATAGCATTTCGGTCAATGGAGAAATCAAAATGCCAACGTGGCTGAACTTAGAGTATCCGTTGAAATTATTCGTTTGAAAAACCAATTAGGCTTGGTTTGATCACGCCGCGTGATTTGGACTTAGGTAGCTCATTAAATCAGACAATGACATCGTCATGCTTGGATGATTCAAGGGTAGAATGATGAGAAGGGTGATAATTCTTGATGTAATATCTGACCAAATATTTCAGTATTTCCTTCCAGCTAAGGTGAACTGCAGGGGGACTTTGAGCGTTTCTTTTTTGTTGAGCATATTAAGTAACAAATAAAAGATGTTATCCAGTAAATAAGTGTTGCCTTTAACACCAATTTGATACTTATTCTGATTTGAATTAATTTGCATGTAAAGGTAAGGACTGAAATGTGCTCAGTTTAGTACGGTTGACAGTAAAATGCACTTAATTCATGTCTCTTCAGGACTTAGTCTCAGAAGCAGAATGCGACAGTCTTGTTACACTGACTGATGGCATTCCTCTAGCTTTACGAACAATATGTAGTATTCTGAGAAGCTGCTGTAGACAGGTGAAACCAGTTGAAATTATTAATCATCTGAGAAAAAATAGAGTAATCAACATGGACAGAATGGAGAAATGCCTCCAGGAGAGTTATGATAGACTTGACGAAAACATGAAGAACATTCTGATGCAGCTTACTTTGTTCAAGACCTCATCCTTTGACATTGATGCAGCCGATGCCGTTCTGAAGGAAGACAATGCTCCATATTCACCAGTTCTTAATACAAAGATGAATCTATTCCACTTGAAAAGCCGTCATCTCATTGAAATCCACGATATGACTGTTCAGACAGAGGGAAACTTGGAGCGGAACACAACACAAGAAAGACCTCCAGGTTTGGGAGACAGTGACAGAAACATCCTGTACTCTCTTCATCCTCGAATGTTTGAATTTCTAATTCAACGTAAAAGTGAGTTTTCAAATGTCATGGAGCCCGCCAGAATAAGGTTTGTGGAGTACATGGAAAATATCATTGGAATTATAGGAAAGGAACAAGAAAATTCTTACTACAGTGTTGGATCTTACATGAGAGAGTATAACGTACATGTCCAGAGCTATTTTGATATGATACAGGAAATTACAGATGATTATGACACTGGCCGGTCAAACATCCAAGCGTCAAACAGAATATTGGCGATAGGAAGACGTACCCTTACACAAAACAGACAGCTGCGATGGCTTGAGTGGGTAACACACAAAGCGGAGCAAAATAACGAAATCGATAAATTGTTCTTTTTCCGTGGCTACATGATACAGTTGCTGACTGAAATGGATGATACTACACGCATATCTGACATTATACATGTTACCGAAGAAAAACTTGATGAGGCCAACAGCAGATCCGACACCGCCATAAAAGTAGCTCTAGGAAACTACTACTACAGGAAAGCTATTTACTTCAGAAAAATTGAAAGACGACATGATATCTTAAAAAGCTTGGACAGAGCAAAGAAGTATTTAGAGGACAAAGAACTCCAACAGGTAATGGAGAGGAATGAAAATCTAAATATGATTCTTGCCAATGTCTTTAATGACCTTGGTTGTTATTTCTATCTCTACGACAATGACAAATGCAGAAAGTATCATGAAGAGGCAATAGAAAGGGCATCTCTATGGAGACGTTTTACTGAAGAAGAGCATCCAGATGTAGATCGGTTCAGGAACAACCGCGCTGTTTGTTTGTTAAAAGAAATATTGGATAATACTTCAAAAGATTCATCACGTGATCAGTACATTAACGAGACTCTGGAACATTTCGACAGGGCAATAGCAGAGGGAAGAAGGCGTGGCACAGATAACACAGACGATCATGCTGAAGCTTTGAGAAACAGATCAATCTTGTACCTTCAATTAAAAAGGTATGAGGAAGCAAAAGCTGATGCAAAAAAAAGTCTTGAAGTACGAGAAAAGATTCTGAAGGAGCCCCATGTGTATTTGACATTAAGTTATAGCCTTATTGCCCGTATCCTGTTTAACTGGGGAGACCAGAGGATCCGTGACGATAAAATAGGTTCGTATTCATGTTACACTTAATCAATGGTTTGTTTCGTGTCCATAGTTAGGTTATGTGACCATTTGGTTTTGTCGGCTTAACACGTTGTCTACTTCTTCAAACTCGCTGGAATTGACCAGAGAAATTCAGAGTGTTGCTGATACTGGTCAAAATGGGGAGCACTGGATTAAGGCATCAATTTTCTAATTCCGAAATCCTTACATAACGGGGTCGAATATCTGATGGTAAAAAGATAGAAACCTTATACAGAAGTGGAAAATTTTTATTGTCCGGTGGCCAGAGCTCGCCATGCAATAATATGACAAAATCTCAGGGTGACTTATTGCGATCCCGGCGACGTGCGTCGTAAACTTTTAATATTTCGGACTTCTTCTGGAAAACGCCGGAACCGATTTCAATGAAATTTAACAAAAATCATCCATGGCTAAAGGCTTCCCAAACTCTAATTGGTATGGTCCCCAAACCCAAGGAGCCTGAGGGGCGGGGCAAAAAATGGGTAGGAATGATTGAAACAGGGGTTAAATTTAATATATTTTATATAGGAAAATTATATTTTTGAACATTTTGAATTTGTTTATTTTCTATTGGAAATATTTTAGACTAAGTAGGAATTATAAGTGTAAGATGGCAATTTAAAATGCTTATAGTGACCCCGGCTGACTGGCGGGGTCAAAAACGGGTCAATTTGACTGAATTCTTTTAAATCTTCTTCTCAATACCCAGAGAAAAATATAACCAAATACTCTTCATGCATGGACGTGTCTTACGGTGCGTTACCAAAATAGTAAATTTCATAATCCTAGGGTCTCTAATTTCCACTTGGGGAGGGGATAGAATTTACAATATTTTATGTAGGAAAATTTTATTTTTGAGCATTTTTTTTATTTTCTTTCAGAAATAGTTCAAATTTGGTTAGAATTATAAGAAAAACTGACAGTTTGATGAGAAGCATATATTGACCTCGGTTGACCCCAGGGGCTGATGGGCGGAGCCAAAAATCGGTCAAATTGAATGTAGTTCAAGTTATCGTACTTTTTATCCCCCGCCCGACGAATATGGAGGGGGTATTCAAATGGGTCCCTTTCGTCCATCCGACCGTCCGTCCGGATACTGCTTTCTGCATGATATCTTTTGAGGGACTGTTTTTATGGAACTGGGTTGTTACGCTTGTTACCTTTATCCATTGATTATCGGCAAATTCTGCACATATTTAATGAGACTGCTGTGACCTGATTGGCTCATTTTCGACCGGCATCGTGCATCGTGGGCTGTGCACCGTGCGTCCGTAAACAATTTTTGAATTTTTCTCAAAAACCTCTGATCAGTTTCAGTGAAATTTTTCAGAAACCTTCTCAGGCCTAATATGAGCGAAAATGTGAATTATACATTCCCAACCCCACAGTGGCCCGAGGACGGGGCTTATCTGATAAGACCATCAAGTCCACTAGGACTCTTGTTATCTATGTACGCCCATAGTTATTACTGTTGTGAAAGTAAAATATTGGTTTCTATGCATGAGTGAAGATCATGGCAGTTTCTTTGGTTCTAATGTATCTCGTTCTAAATCTGTATTAAAAAGTGTTATTCACTTGTGTGTCTTTTATAAGTCTTCCAGATCACATGCGGTAGACAATGCAGATTGATATTGATGCTCTTTTGAAGTGATCAGATACATGAAAACAATAAGAGAGGTTGCCTATATCAGTGACTTTGTGCAAAGTTAAAGTTCACTATCAAAGATGATATGGAACAAATGTTTGAATTGTTCTACATCATCTCTGAAAGTGAACGTAATGTTAAATTAGTGATGGATCACAGACCAATGATCATATATCACAAAGTCTTAACTTTTTTATAAAATATTTGTGTCTTAAACAGCTGAAGGTTATAGCCTCCTTCAACAATCTGTCACTTACTATGACAAAACAATGGAAAAGATGATGGAAGGAGGGATGCCCACAGATCATGATGAATATCCTGACATCAAGAGATTCCACCTACTAGCTGTCAAAAGAACAGACGCAAACAGGAAATCCCGGTTACAACAGGAGTATTCGGTAAGAAGAAGACATATAACATCCAAGGCGTCACGGGAACATCTGGATAGTCGACACCATCCTGTAGTTGTATGTCGTAGACACATCAAGAGAGTCGACTCAATCCTATAGTTGTAGGTCATAGACACATCAGGAGAGTCGACACCATCCTGTAATTGTAGGTCATAGACACATCAAGAGAGTTCGACACCTTCCTGTAGTTGTAGGTCATAGACACATCAGGAGAGTCGACACCATCCTATAGTTGTATGTCATAGACACATCAAGAGAGTCGACTCAATCCTACAGTTGTAGGTCATAGACATCAAGAGAGTCGACACCATCCTGTAGTTGTATGTCATAGACACCTCAAGAGAGTCGACACCATCCTATAGTTGTAGGTCATAGACATCAGGAGAGTCGACACCATCCTATAGTTGTAGGTCATAGACATCAGGAGAGTCGACACCATCCTATAGTTGTAAGTCATAGACATCAGGAGAGTCGACACCATCCTATAGTTGTAGGTCATAGACATCAGGAGAGTCGACACCATCCTATAGTTGTAAGTCATAGACATCAGGAGAGTCGACACCATCCTACAGTTGTAGATCATAGACACATCAAGAAAGTCGACACCTTTCTATAGTTGTAGGCCATAGACACATCAGGAGAGTCGACACCATCCTATAGTTGTAGGTCATAGACACATCAGGAGAGTCGACACCTTCCTGTAGTTGTAGGTCAGACACTTTAGGAGGGTCAACACCATCATAAAGTTGTAGGTCATATACACATCAGGAGAGATGACACCATCCTATAGTTGTAGGTCATACACATCAGAAGAGTCGACACCATCATACAGTTGTAGGTCGTAGACACATCAAGAGAGCTTACACCATCCTATAGTTGTAGGTCATAGACACATCAAGAGAGCTTACACCATCCTATAGTTGTAGGTCATACACATCAGCAGAGTCGACACCATCCTATATTTGTAGGTCATAGACACATCAAGAGAGCTTACACCATCCTATAGTTGTAGGTCATAGACATCAGGAGAGTCGACACCATCCTATAGTTGTAGGTCATAGACACATCAGCAGAGTCGACACCATCCTATAGTTGTAGGTCATAGACACATCAGCAGAGTCGACACCATCCTATAGTTGTAGGTCATAGACATCAGGAGAGTCGACACCATCCTGTAGTTGTAGGTCATAGACACATCAAGAGAGTCGACACCATCCTATAGTTGTAGGTCATACACATCAGAAGAGTCGACACCATCATACAGTTGTAGGTCATAGACACATCAAGAGAGTCGACACCATCCTATAGTTGTAGGTCATAGACATCAGGAGAGTCGACACCATCATATATTTGTAGGTCATAGACACATCAGGAGAGTCGACACCATCCTATAGTTGTAGGTCAGAGACATCAGGAGAGTCGACACCATCCTATAGTTGTAGGTCATAAACACATCAGGAGAGTCGACACCTTTCTATAGTTGTAGGTCATAGACACATCAGGAAGGTTGACTTATGTTTTTTTTCATTTTCATGTTGCGGGACTGAAACGAAACTCGTTAAATGATTAGAAAGAAAAATAAAGAACAAATGAATAAATACATTTACATGATAGGAATTCACAGACTTAATTAGAATTTTATATATTTCATTCACATATGGCACGATCTTACGAAAATGCATGTTTATGTTCTACATTTACAGAGATTTGAATGTATACCATCGACTATTGTATCCAACTGTAGCGTGAGTTCTGAAGATTCTGATAGTTTGCTTGATAGTGCAGAGGAGAGTTACAGCAGTGACGATCTGACAAATGAAAAAGAGACGGACAGTTCTCAGTACTCTTCTGATTCCAAAAAGAATAAGGAGTTACAAGTAGATGTAAGGAAGACTATTGATGACACCCAGCACTTCCCAACTCCAGTTTACCGAAATAAAGAAAGATATGAACGCCAGGAGTCCGGATACGTCAGTGGAGCAAGTGTACGCTCTCGACGTTTGTCCAGACAAGAATCATTTGAGATTCTTGAACGACCTAGACTAACATCAAATACTTCAGGGTCTTCAGAAGATGTCTTTTCAAGGAAACCAAGTTCACTGGAAATGTCAATGGAAGAAATAATGGCCAGTACAAGCAAGCGTAAGTTCATAAGGAATGGTCGGATTCTAGACATCTGTCCATACTGACAAGTCAGTGTTGTTTTATATCTAGACATCTGTCCATACCGACAAGTCAGTGTTGTTTTATATCTATACATTTGTCCATACTGATGAGTTTGTGTTGTTATATATCTATATATCTGTCCATACCGACAAGTCAGTGTTGTTTTATATCTAGACATCTGTCCATACTGACAAGTCAGTGTTGTTTTATATCTAGACATCTGTCCATACCGACAAGTCAGTGTTGTTTTATATCTAGACATCTGTCCATACTGATGAGTTTGTGTTGTTTTATATCTAGACATCTGTCCATACTGACAAGTCAGTGTTGTTTTATATCTAGACATCTGTCCATACTGACAAGTCAGTGTTGTTTTATATCTATATATCTGTCCATACTGACAAGTCAGTGTTGTTTTATATCAATAGACTAGACATCTGTCCATACTGACAAGTCAGTGTTGTTTTATATCTATAAATCTGTCCATACTGACAAGTCAGTGTTGTTTTATATCTAGACATCTGTCCATACTGACAAGTCAGTGTTGTTTTATATCTATATATCTGTCCATACTGACAAGTCAGTGTTGTTTTATATCTATATATCTGTCCATACTGACAAGTCTGTGTTGTTTTATATCTATATATCTGTCCATACTGACAAGTCTGTGTTGTTTTATATCTATATATCTGTCCATACTGACAAGTCAGTGTTGTTTTATATCTATATATCTGTCCATACTGACAAGTCAGTGTTGTTTTATATCTAGACATCTGTCCATACTGACAAGTCAGTGTTGTTTTATATCTATATATCTGTCCATACTGACAAGTCAGTGTTGTTTTATATCTATACATCTGTCCATACTGACAAGTCAGTGTTGTTTTATATCTAGACATCTGTCCATACTGACAAGTCAGTGTTGTTTTATATCTATATATCTGTCCATACCGACAAGTCAGTGTTGTTTTATATCTAGACATCTGTCCATACTGACAAGTCAGTGTAGTTTTATATCTAGATATCTGTCCATACTGACAAGTCAGTGTTGTTTTATATCTAGACATCTGTCCATACTGACAAGTCAGTGTTGTTTTATATCTAGACATCTGTCCATACTGACAAGTCAGTGTTGTTTTATATCTAGACATCTGTCCATACTGTGTTGTTTTATATCTAGACATCTGTCCATACTGACAAGTCAGTGTTGTTTTATATCTAGACATCTGTCCATACTGACAAGTCAGTGTTGTTTTATATCTATATATCTGTCCATACTGACAAGTCAGTGTTGTTTTATATCTATATATCTGTCCATACTGACAAGTCTGTGTTGTTTTATATCTATATATCTGTCCATACTGACAAGTCAGTGTTGTTTTATATCTATATATCTGTCCATACTGACAAGTCAGTGTTGTTTTATATCTATATATCTGTCCATACTGACAGGTCAGTGTTGTTTTATATCTATATATCAGTCCATACTGACAAGTCAGTGTTGTTTTATATCTATATATCTGTCCATACTGACAAGTCTGTGTTGTTTTATATCTAGACATCTGTCCATACTGACAAGTCAGTGTTGTTTTATATCTATCTGTCCATATACTGACAAGTCAGTGTTGTTTTATATCTAGACATCTGTCCATACTGACAAGTCAGTGTTGTTTTATATCTATATATCTGTCCATACTGACAAGTCAGTGTTGTTTTATATCTATATATCTGTCCATACTGACAAGTCAGTGTTGTTTTATATCTATATATCTGTCCATACTGACAAGTCAGTGTTGTTTTATATCTAGACATCTGTCCATACTGACAAGTCAGTGTTTTTTTTTATATCTAGACATCTGTCCATACTGACAAGTCAGTGTTGTTTTATATCTAGACATCTGTCCATACTGACAAGTCAGTGTTGTTTTATATCTAGACATCTGTCCATACTGACAAGTCAGTGTTGTTTTATATCTAGACATCTGTCCATACTGACAAGTCAGTGTTGTTTTATATCTAGACATCTGTCCATACTGACAAGTCAGTGTTGTTTTATATCTATACATCTGTCCATACTGACAAGTCAGTGTTGTTTTATATCTATATATCTGTCCATACTGATGAGTTTGTGTTGTTTTATATCTAGACATCTGTCCATACTGATGAGTCAGTGTTGTTTTATATCTAGACATCTGTCCATACTGACAAGTCAGTGTTGTTTTATATCTAGACATCTGTCCATACTGAAAAGTCTGTGTTGTTTTATATCTAGACATCTGTCCATACTGACAAGTCAGTGTTGTTTTATATCTATATATCATCTGTCCATACTGACAAGTTCTAGACATCTGTCCATACTGACAAGTCAGTGTTGTTTTATATCTAGACATCTGTCCATACTGACAAGTCAGTGTTGTTTTATATCTAGACATCTGTCCATACTGACAAGTCTGTGTTGTTTTATATCTAGACATCTGTCCATACTGACAAGTCAGTGTTGTTTTATATCTAGACATATGTCCATATATCTAGACATATGTCCATACTGACACGTCTGTGTTGTTTTATATCTAGACATCTATCCATACTGACAATTCAGTGTTGTTTTATATCTAGACATCTGTCCATACCGACAAGTCAGTGTTGTTTTATATCTAGACATCTGTCCATACTGACAAGTCAGTGTTGTTTTATATCTAGACATCTGTCCATACTGATCAGTCAGTGTTTTTTTTTATATCTAGACATCTGTCCATACTGACAAGTCAGTGTTGTTTTATATCTATATATCTGTCCATACTGACAAGTCAGTGTTGTTTTATATCTAGACATCTGTCCATACTGACAAGTCAGTGTTGTTTTATATCTAGACATCTGTCCATACTGACAAGTCAGTGTTGTTTTATATCTAGACATCTGTCCATACTGACAAGTCAGTGTTGTTTTATATCTATATATCTGTCCATACTGATCAGTCAGTGTGTTTTATATCTAGACATCTGTCCATACTGATAAGTCAGTGTTGTTTTATATCTAGACATCTGTCCATACTGACAAGTCAGTGTTGTTTTATATCTAGACATCTGTCCATACTGACAAGTCAGTGTTGTTTTATATCTAGACATCTGTCCATACTGACAAGTCAGTGTTTTTTTATATCTAGACTGTCCATACTGACAAGTCAGTGTTTTTGTTTTATATCTAGACATCTGTCCATACTGACAAGTCAGTGTTGTTTTATATCTAGTTTTATATCTAGACATCTGTCCATACGACAAGTCAGTGTTGTTTTATATCTAGACATCTGTCCATACTGACAAGTCAATATCTAGACATCTGTCCATACTGTCAGTGTTGTTTTATATCTAGACATCTGTCCATACTGACAAGTCAGTGTTGTTTTATATCTAGACATCTGTCCATACTGACAAGTCAGTGTTGTTTTATATCTAGACATCTGTCCATACTGACAAGTCAGTGTTGTTTTATATCTAGACATCTGTCCATACTGACAAGTCAGTGTTGTTTTATATCTAGACATCTGTCCATACTGACAAGTCAGTGTTGTTTTATATCTAGACATCTGTCCATACTGACAAGTCAGTGTTGTTTTATATCTAGACATCTGTCCATACTGACAAGTCAGTGTTGTTTTATATCTATATATCTGTCCATACTGATGAGTCTGTGTTGTTTTATATCTAGACATCTGTCCATACTGACAAGTCAGTGTTGTTTTATATCTAGACATCTGTCCATACTGACAAGTCAGTGTTGTTTTATATCTAGACATCTGTCCATACTGACAAGTCAGTGTTGTTTTATATCTAGACATCTGTCCACACTGACAAGTCAGTGTTGTTTTATATCTATATATCTGTCCATACTGACAAGTCAGTGTTGTTTTATATCTAGACATCTGTCCGTACTGACAAGTCAGTGTTGTTTTATATCTAGACATCTGTCCATACTGACAAGTCAGTGTTGTTTTATATCTATACATTTGTCCATACTGTGTTGTTTTATATCTAGACATCTGTCCATACTGACAAGTCAGTGTTGTTTTATATCTAGACATCTGTCCATACTGACAAGTCAGTGTTGTTTTATATCTAGACATCTGTCCATACTGACAAGTCTGTGTTGTTTTATATCAAGACATCTGTCCATACTGACAAGTCAGTGTTGTTTTATATCTAAACATCTGTCCATACTGACAAGTCAGTGTTTTTTTTTATATCTAGACATCTGTCCATACTGACAAGTCAGTGTTGTTTTATATCTAGACATCTGACCATAATGACAGGTCAGTGTTGTTTTATATCTAGACATCTGTCCATACTGACAAGTCAGTGTTGTTTTATATCTAGACATCTGTCCATACTGACAAGTCAGTGTTGTTTTATATCTAGACATCTGTCCATACTGACAAGTCAGTGTTGTTTTATATCTAGACATCTGTCCATACTGACAAGTCAGTGTTGTTTTATATCTAGACATCTGTCCATACTGACAAGTCAGTGTTGTTTTATATCTAGACATCTGTCCATACCGACAAGTCAGTGTTGTTTTATATCTAGACATCTGTCCATACATGTCCTATACTGACAAGTCAGTGTTGTTTTATATCTAGACATCTGTCCATACTGACAAGTCAGTGTTGTTTTATATCTAGTCTGTCCATACTGACAAGTCAGTGTTGTTTTATATCTAGACATCTGTCCATACTGACAAGTCAGTGTTGTTTTATATCTAGACATCTGTCCATACTGACAAGTCAGTGTTGTTTTATATCTAGACATCTGTCCATACTGACAAGTCAGTGTTGTTTTATATCTAGTGTGTTTTATATCTAGACATCTGTCCATACTGACAAGTCAGTGTTGTTTTATATCTAGACATCTGTCCATACAGACAAGTCAGTGTTGTTTTATATCTAGACATCTGTCCATACTGACAAGTCAGTGTTGTTTTATATCTAGACATCTGTCCATACTGACAAGTCAGTGTTGTTTTATATATCTACAAGTCAGTGTTGTTTTATATCTAGACATCTGTCCATACAAGTCAGTGTGATATCTATATATCTGTCCATACTGACAAGTCAGTGTTGTTTTATATCTAGACATATGTCTACACTGACACGTGTTGTTTTATATCTAGACATCTGTCCATACTGACAAGTCAGTGTTGTTTTATATCTATACATCTGTCCATACTGACAAGTCTGTGTTGTTTTATATCTAGACATCTGTCCATACTGACAAGTCAGTGTTGTTTTATATCTAGACATCTGTCCATACTGACAAGTCAGTGTTGTTTTATATCTAGACATCTGTCCATACTGACAAGTCAGTGTTGTTTTATATCTAGACATCTGTCCATACTGACAAGTCAGTGTTGTTTTATATCTAGACATCTGTCCATACTGACAAGTCAGTGTTGTTTTATATCTAGACATCTGTCCATACTGACAAGTCAGTGTTGTTTTATATCTAGACATCTGTCCATACTGACAAGTCAGTGTTGTTTTATATCTAGACATCTGTCCATACTGACAAGTCAGTGTTGTTTTATATCTAGACATCTGTCCATACTGACAAGTCTGTGTTGTTTTGTGTTGTTTTATATCTAGACATCTGTCCATACTGACAAGTCAGTGTTGTTTTATATCTAGACATCTGTCCATACCGACAAGTCAGTGTTGTTTTATATCTAGACATCTGTCCATACCGACAAGTCAGTGTTGTTTTATATCTAGACATCTGTCCATACTGACAAGTCAGTGTTGTTTTATATCTAGACATCTGTCCATACTGACAAGTCAGTGTTGTTTTATATCTAGACATCTGTCCATACTGACAAGTCAGTGTTGTTTTATATCTAGACATCTGTCCATACTGACAAGTCAGTGTTGTTTTATATCTAGACATCTGTCCATACTGACAAGTCAGTGTTGTTTTATATCTAGACATCTGTCCATACTGATGAGTCTGAGTTGTTTTACAAACATCGGGAATGAAGACTAATCAATTATGGATGCTGATAGAGATTTCAGTAGGAACCGTGGATATATCTTGATTGCAATATTTAAATACCTATATCTACAGAAAAGTTTACCTTATACTAATCTGGTAGGCTCTATCCAGAAATTATGTAATACACATATCTTAAGTCAAAGGCAGAACCTACTCTTTATCTAGAAGATTCAGGGCTTATGAAAAGTATGTCATACTAATGAGTGCTGTGAGAAACCAAAGTGAGGGAGAGTCCAGTGGTTTTACTACTTTCACATTTAAACAGTAACTGTCTTTGGTCTAGTTATGAGTTCCTTTATCAATGACGTCACATGTCTTTCTTAGTAACAGGTTACAAAGTAACATGATGGACCGAATCACTGTATTGATAATAATATTTGTCTTCCAATCATGCATGTGATCTTTCCACACGGTAACAATAATAATCTGATGTTAAAAATAAGATAGTAAAAAGCTTAGCACACAACAATGTTTCTGTTGACAGGAAGAAGCCGTATTCACCAGGTCGATAAACACCAGGGGAAGCGGTTAAGCAGAGATAGCAGTGATAGGGGGACCCTTCACGTTACAGGGCGGAAAAAAGACAACACACCTGAAGATCACAGCAGAGAAGGTGACTCAGAACCAGTGGTCAAGGTTAGAAAGAAGGACAGGTGTCAGCGTGAAACTGATGTTTGTAATTCTGATAGCGACAGTTAAAATAAGTAAGCTTCTCAACTCATTTTGTCTCAAGGATCATATTAGGTGTTGGGGATATGATGTTTCTGACAAACTCTTTGTCATTAAAGTAATCATTTTCATTTTGAAAATTGTTTCTTTCAGATACACTTCTTTAAGTGGATATTGGTTAATGAACAGCCATCAATGTATTGAGTGATACCATCTTTTGAGTTGTATTGTGTGAGGCTATCTCTAGAATTATATCAAATGATTCCATCCCTAGAATTATATTTCAAGATATCATTCCTTGAATAATACTTAGTGATACCACCTCAGAATGATATGTATTGCCACATTCCTTAGAGTAATTTGTGAAGTGATATCATTCCTAGAGTTATGTTTGGTGAAACCATCCATAGAATAATATTTAATCATAACACTTTTAGCATTATTTGGAGTGTACTACTCCCTACCATTACATTTTGCAGTATCATCCCTAGATTTATGTTAAATGATATCATCTGTCGAACTACACTTAGTGACATGATACCTAGAATCACATTTTGTGACATGATCCGTAGAATAACATTTAGTGACGTTATCTCTAGAATTATATTTAGTGACATGATCCCTACAATCATATTTAGTGACATGATCCCTATAATTATATTTAGTGACATGATCCCTTGAATAACATTTAGTGACATGATACCTAGAATTACATTTAGTGACATGATCCGTAGAATAACATTTAGTGACATGATCTCTAGAATTATGTTTAGTGACATGATCCCTACAACTATATTTAGTGACATGATCCCTAGAATAACATTTAGTGTCATGATACCTAGAATTACATTTAGTGACATGATCCCTAGAATTATATTTAGTGACAAGATCTCTGAAATTGCATTTTGTTACATGATCTCTAGAATTCTGTTAAGTGATCTCATTAATAAAATTATATCTAGATATATCATTCCAAGAAGTGTTAACTGAAGGGTAGCATCATTGATATAAAAACCAGAAATAATGTTTATTTTTATATAATAATGATGATTACGTTTGACATATAGTTTGGCGATATTGATTTTCTATAATATCGTTAATTTTAACAGATCCATATATCGTGTTTAACAAATGATAACATCTGTTTTTCTAGCACAATAAGATAATCACTATCGGGACACATGGCTTATTGGATAATTAAAACATTAACATGAATCGTTATCAATATACCCAAGTTTAAATCGGGAACTTCTGTTAATAGAAGTTGAGAGCAAGTCTTGCTTTAAAAATATAGCGATTCAAGCTGGATTACAAATGTCAAGAGACTGTTTATCAATGCGTCAAAGCATATTGTTCGTATTCTTGGGTGTCCACTGTAAACTTGAAGGTATACACTCTACACCAGTATATGTACACTTTACAGCAGTATATGTACACTCTACACCAGTATATGTACACTCTACACCAGTATATGTACGCTCTACACCAGTATTTGTACACTCTACACCAGTATATGTACACTTTACACCATATATGTACATTCTACACCAGTATATGTACACTCTACACCAGTATATGTACACTTTACACCAGTATATGTACACTCTACACCAGTATATGTACACTCTACAGCAGTATATGTACACTTCACAGCAGTATATGTACACTCTACAGCAGTATGTGTACACTCTACACCAGTATATGTACGCTCTACACCAGTATATGTACACTTTACAGCAGTATATGTACACTCTACACCAGTATATGTACACTCTACACCAGTATATGAACGCTCTACACCAGTATTTGTACACTCTACACCAGTATATGTACACTTTACAGCAGTATATGTACACTCTACACCAGTATATATACACTCTACACCAGTATATGTACACTCTACACCAGTATATGTACACTTTACAGCAGTATATGTACACTCTACAGCAGTATATGTACACTTCACAGCAGTATATGTACACTCTACACCAGTATATGCACACTCTACACCAGTATATGTACACTTTACAGCAGTATATGTACACTCTACACCAGTATATGTACACTTTACAGCAGTATATGTACACTTTACAGCAGTATATGTACACTCTACACCAGTATATGAACGCTCTACACCAGTATATGTACACTTTACAGCAGTATATGTACACTTCACAGCAGTATATGTACACTTTACACCAGTATATGTTCACTCTACACCAGTATATGTACACTTTACAGCAGTATATGTACACTCTACAGCAGTATAAGTACACTTCACAGCAGTATATGTACACTCTACACCAGTATATGTACACTCTACACCAGTATATGTACACTTTACAGCTGTATCTGTACACTTTACAGCAGTATGTATATACTTTACACCAGTATAAACAGTATGTGTACACTCTACACCAGTGTAAACAGTATGTGTACTCTTACCAGCAGAGGTACGTTAAGTATTCTCTCTGAGACTTTGCCATGACTTTTAACAAATTTCCCGTGAGTGGAATATGTTTCATACACACGTGAAAGTTGTTTCTTTTATTTTTCGTTTTCGGTCATCTATTCTCCGTATCATTTTTTTGTGTGTTTTGCTTTTGTTAATTGCTTCTTGATATAGTAATTGAAAAAAAAAGATATTCTGAAAAGTTATACCCCTATTTTGCAGACTTAAAGTTGACGCAAAACGGTCCTTTCAGTCTTGTTTTACTACATTGCTAAATTAGTTTTACTGTTTTATCACATTGCTAAATTAGTTTTACTGTTTTATCACATTGCTAAGTTAGTTTTACTGTTTTATCACACTGCTGAATGAGTGTTACTGTTTTATCACACTGCTGAATGAGTGTTACTGTTTTGTTACACTGCTGAATGAGTGTTACTGTTTTGTTACACTGCTGAATGAGTGTTACTGTTTTATCACACTGCTGAATGAGTGTTACTGTTTTGTTACACTGCTGAATTAGTGTTACTGTTTTATCACACTGCTGAATGAGTGTTACTGTTTTGTTACACTGCTGAATGAGTGTTACTGTTTTATTACACTGCTGAATGAGTTTTACTGTTTTATTACACTGCTGAATGAGTGTTACTGTTTTATTACACTGCTGAATGAGTGTTACTGTTTTGTTACACTGCTGAATGAGTGTTACCGTTTTATTACATTGCTGAATGAGTGTTACTGTTTTATTACATTGCTGAATGAGTGTTACTGTTTTATTACACTGCTGAATGAGTGTTACTGTTTTATTACACTGCTAAATGAGTTTTACTGTTTTATTACATTGCTGAATGAGTGTTACTGTTTTATTACATTGCTGAATGAGTGTTACTGTTTTATTACACTGCTGAATGAGTGTTACTGTTTTATTACACTGCTAAATGAGTTTTACTGTTTTATTACACTGCTGAATGAGTGTTACTGTTTTATTACATTGCTGAATGAGTGTTACTGTTTTATTACACTGCTAAATGAGTGTTACTGTTTTATTACACTGCTGAATGAGTGTTACTGTTTTATTACACTGCTAAATGAGTGTTACTGTTTTATCACACTGCTGAATGAGTGTTACTGTTTTATTACATTGCTGAATGAGTGTTACTGTTTTATTACATTGCTGCTGAATTAGCTAAATGAGTTTTACTGTTTTATTACACTGCTAAATGAGTTTTACTGTTTTATTACACTGCTAAATGAGCTTTACTGTTTTATTACACTGCTGAATGAGTGTTACTGTTTTATTACACTGCTGAATGAGTGTTACTGTTTTATTACACTGCTGAATGAGTGTTACTGTTTTATTACACTGCTAAATGAGTGTTACTGTTTTATTACACTGCTGAATGAGTTTTACTGTTTTATTACACTGCTAAATGAGTGTTACTGTTTTATTACACTGCTAAATGAGTTTTACTGTTTTATTACACTGCTGAATGAGTTTTACTGTTTTATCACACTGCTGAATGAGTGTTACTGTTTTATTACACTGCTAAATGAGTGTTACTGTTTTATTGCACTGCTAAACGAGTGTTACTGTTTTATTACATTGCTGAATGAGTGTTACTGTTTTATTACACTGCTGAATGAGTTTTACTGTTTTATTACACTGCTGAATGAGTGTTACTGTTTTATTACACTGCTAAATGAGTGTTACTGTTTTATTGCACTGCTAAATGAGTGTTACTGTTTTATTACATTGCTGAATGAGTGTATGAAAATTGACCTACAATTGGTGTGTGTTAAAATCTCTGATATATTTCTCCTGAAATGATGACATGGTTTTACATATAATTACGTTTCAATTAAGTAACCTCTGAGTATTTGAACGAATACAGTCTCCTTCGCATGCTGGGATGAAGGGCTACCAAGTTTGTTCAAATTAATAACCTTGACTGACTTTCGAGGTTACAGGGGTAAAATGTTTTAGTATTTGTATTCATTTCCAGTTGGAATCACAAAGCAGGTTCGATGTTTTGAAAACTTGTTGGATTTTTCAAATTTCTGCAATGTTCTTTAAATCTACACTTGTTACAAACAACATTCTGCAGACATACATTTATTTGCTAGATATTGGATAAGGCAGTTTTGTTAAGTTTGTGCTTGTCATTCGTACAAAACAAAAAATCATCTCAGTTGACCGTTAAGGATGCATCCTATGATTAGTAAACTGTAAGAATGGTTCCATCCTACTGTTTACCAACTCATTGATCTGTAACACTATAATTGCAGTCCTTTGTTTTCTTTAATACATAGTAACGGTGTCCCTTTTTGATCGACTTGTTTTTTGTTTTGTTTTTGAATAACAAGAAATTTATTTGTTATGTCCACCGTATATACCTACCTGAATTGAAAACAAGATAACACAAGGTTTGACATTGTCCTCTGATTCCCGCTGTTACAAGACACGCACAATCCTATACATATGTTACTATGACAATGTCAGTCATTAAGTCCATTCTACTGGTAATTCTATGTAGATCCTCTTTTACTGTTCTTTCAGTAGTGTTTTTTGTTTGTAAATAAAATTATAACATCAATAACATTCGTTATATCATTTGTCATGAGATAAATAGGAGGATGACCTATCAAACCGGAAAATTTTGCCAAGGATTGATGCGATTCCTTGACAGACAATAAAGACATCTAAAATGAACCCTCCTCCAGTAGCAAAATGCTTAAGTATATTTTTTCTAAATCTTCAATGAATACACTTATTATCAGTTAGCCTGCAATAATAATAATAAAGTATTTACATATTAACCAGTCTTTTTTAAATATTTATTACTGTAGTCACGATACAACAACTGATCTGAGTACTTCTTGGCTGAATTAGATTATCTGACCACACGTGGACATAGGTTACATGTATTTAAATTACATACTGTTTTGAGTTATCTCCCTTTAAACACTTTTATTTGTATTGAATACTATTAAAGAACTAATAGTATTTTCAGTTTGATAAAAATCAAAGTTACCAGAACATACTACTAATCACATCAAATTAAAATATACATTGTTACTTCAAGTATGTTACAAAATGCTTCTTGATTATTGAATAAATGATGATGTAAGTAACCGCGTGAATAATTGCAAAAAGTGTGGGAATTTTCACACTAGTTAAAAGAAATGCCGGTGAGATAGACATTCATATTACAGCACGTTATGCCTATTTTTTACCTATTAACTTGTATCAATAACAAAACAGCTAATTGAACAACCATGTGATCGTCGAAGCCTCGTGTTGCTATCCCAATGTGGCCGATAGCTAATTAAGTTTCTCAACATGAGAATAAGGTTTAAACTATTTTTGAAATTACTGTTATTTTGGATTTAAAGACCGACCTGTAAAATAAGAATACATGGTCTGAATTATCTCAAGTTCATTCCATATGTGAACTTTTCCTTACCGCGGAACTTACAAAGTTGAAAATATGAAACTTTACGCATGGCTGAAATCGGAGGATCTAAACCTGATTCAATGGAATACTTCATCCAGCTTCTCAAGACGGAAATTCGAATCCTCTAAAGGACTTTGATTAGAAGACAAACTTATTTACTGTGAGATGACATGGACTGATGGGTAGATAACGGGACGTCTGCAAAAAACAGCTTTGTTACGTCATAATGAAATTACATGTAGCTTGTCCAAAGTTCGACGTCATAAATACATCAACGTCACTAGAGAGCAGCACTTAGCGACAGTTAACTACCAAAGCTATAGGGACGTCGAATACTACGAGCGCTGACAACAATGTTCATTAACGTGGAATACGGAGGTAGGTTTACGTAACATTCTATTGGTAATATACATGCAGAAACTGCTAATCAAGTCCGATAGTTGTGTAAGTCATACATAGTATAGGGGTCTATACAAATTTATATGATTGAAGTTGAAACGTCGCATCACCACATATGAGCGGTACAAATTGTACTTCATATATATATATATAATTTTCTTACAATTTTGGCTAAGTTTAAGATAATGCATTGACTCGTGGAAAGCACATGGATTTGACACGAATTCCTAACCCGCGGACCATATATATATATTGTCAAATATTCAAGGCAATCTACCCCTTTATCAAGACAAAAAAAAAAAAAAAAAACACATAAATTACGTCGCATAAAACAGATACAAAGTTATAAACTGAAGTCGAAAACGGTAGTGTAAATTTAGGTGTCTCGATCCACATTTGGAACTTTCCAATCAACACCATTACTATATATGATGCATTGTGTTAATTTTTTGATATTTAGGACATATATATCTAAACATAGAGTCACTATAATAAATACACACACACATATTACATATATATATATATATATATATATATATATATATATATATATAAAGTCCGCGGGTTAGGAATTCGTGTCAAGTCCATGTGCTTTCCACGAGTCAATGCGTTATCTTAAACTTAGCCAAAATTTAAGAACATTATATATATATATGTGTGTATGCTATATATTATGTACTGAGATGGAACTCATCCGATGTTTCTTCTGTTTAAGACGGCAAAACCTTGTTGGTGAACCCCGACTGTAATGCTGTGGTGTTACAGGATTATGTAAGGAGGGCGTGTGGTATCCGCCCAAAAGGCAAGTCAGATTTTACAATGCAGCATTTCAGACTCTGGTTTATCCACCTTGAGATTGAAAAGTCTTATTCATATGTTTTATGCCTTGTTACTGTAAACTTAAAGCCAACGGACCGGACTTTACTGCAAACGATATTTATAGTTTTTATACAAGATTTCTCAATTGACTTTCATGAAAAAATGATTGTTTAATTACGAAAATGATAACGATGTATCAAATATCAACATTGATAATTCTTTTCTGTCCAAAAGGTATCTTCTGCTTTTTGAACTTCACTCTTTAATGATATTTACCGCATGGTTGTTGTGTTACAGTGGTCGTAGACTTGAGTGATGAACATGCCAGTCTAGTGGAACTGTTCAACAAACCCCCACACGAGAATATGTTCGACTACTTCATGCCACGAAGTACATTTGTGTTGGTACAAATTGATAGTGAGTTTCACTGCTTTTTAACTCGTCAATCGACTTATTTGTTTAGGAGATAGGAATGATAAATAATGTAAATGTCTAATTAACAGTCATTTCGTATTAAAAATACTAGTAACTGTAATAGAACCGGATAAGATTGAATCCAAAAAGATACTTTTAATTTCCACATAGTACCGGCATTCCGAGTCCTTATGATTCCTACCAAGTATTGTGCAATGTCCTGATGTAGAAGTCTCTATTAATCAGATGCTTAAGTGAGAATTTGATCTGTTGGCGATGAATGTTTGACACAATTAATGGACCTTTACACTAAGAAGTTTGAGAAATTAATGGACACTTACATAAAGACGTTTGACACAATTAATGGACACTTAACTAAGAAATTTGACACAATTAATAGACACTTACACAAAGGCGTTTGACACAATTAATGGACACTTAACTAAGACGTTGGCACAATTAATGGACACTTAACTAATAAATCTGACACAATTAATGGACACTTACACTAAAACGTTTGACACAATTAATTGACACACTAAGACGTTTGACACAATTAAAGGCTACTTACACAAAGACGTTTGACACAATTAATGGACACTTAACTAAGACGTTGGCACAATTAATGGACATTAACTAAGAAATTTGACACAATGGACACTTACACAAAGACGTTTGACACAATTAATGGACACTTAACTAAGACGTTTGACACAATTAATGGACATTAACTAAGAAATTTGACACAATTAATGGACACTTTCACTAAGACATTTGACACAATTAATGGACACTTACACAAAGACGTTTGACACAATTAATGGACACTTAACTAAGACGTTTGACACAATTAATGGACACTTAACTAAGAAATTTGACACAATTAATGGACACTTAACTAAGAAATTTGACACAATTAATGGACACTTACACTAAGACGTTTGACATAATTAATGGACACTTTCACTAAGACGTTTGACACAATTAATGGACACTTAACTAAGAAATTTGACACAATTATTGGACATTTACACCAAGACGTTTGACATAATTAATGGACACTTTCACTAAGACGTTTGACACAATTAATTGACACGCTAAGACGTTTGACACAATTAATGGACACTTACCTAAGACGTTTGACACAATTAATGGACACTTAACTAAGAAATTTGACACAATTAATGGACACTTAACTAAGAAATTTGACACAATTAATGGACACTTACACTAAGACGTTTGACATAATTAATGGACACTTTCACTAAGACGTTTGACACAATTAATGGACACTTAACTAAGAAATTTGACACAATTATTGGACATTTACACCAAGACGTTTGACATAATTAATGGACACTTTCACTAAGACGTTTGACACAATTAATGGACACTTACACTAAGACGTTTGACACAAGTAATGGACACTTACACTAAGACGTTTGAGGTCACTCGAGGATTTCACTCAGATTCGTTCGTATACTTACTATAACCAATTTGAAAATGTTTTTCTAGAAGGCGCTGATGGCAGCATCTCAAAGGTAACTCCTCTACTGACAGACTGGGAGAAGAAATATCCTTTTATGGAGAGTAAGTTTGATCGAAATATATGTGATATTACGAAATATATCTCGGCCATAAGTTTAAGGCTTATCCATATCTTTGATTTGGCTTATTATTTTCGCTGTATTCAAGAAACATATTCAATAACAACTCAACAGGATGGACGACTGTTTTAAACAGCTAACAAAGCTATATACAATCGACGGGAAAAGAAAGTTACCGAACCGGAAGTGCTGTATCATGTTAAAAAGACATACCCAAAGTCTAGAAAAAGGTCCAACTTTAAATGTATCTTACTAACAGATACATGATCAAATCACAACGTTACTTTGTAAAGCAGATTAACTGACCAGCAAGTTCTGTTGGGTTTGAAAAAGTCAATACCGGTTATAGCCACCATGCTCCCGGTACAATTCTATTGTCCGTCACCTCATACCATTGACCAGACGCAGGAACTTGCTCTGAAGAAACCTCCGCCATCCTGAACCAATACAGCCCGTAATTCTCCGATTGTATAGCATTTTGGATCCCATGCATTGATTTTATTGCCCGAGATAGTCCCACACATGCTCATTTGGATTCATGTCTGGTGACATTGCAGGCCATAGAAGCGTCCCTATCACTTTTTGTTGAAGATAGCCTTGCACTCGGCGAGCTTTGTGTGGTTTGAAATTGTCATCCATTAGGGCAGGCCGACCTGCCAATAGATGGACATCAAAATGCGGAATGACTTAAGGTCTAAGGTCTAAGGATCTGATCACCAAGAAAATGCAAACCAAGCTTAGAGTTTAGAGACAAGTTTCCTCAAACAGTAACATCGCCAGCGCCAAATGATGTGCCTAGAATGTGACTGTGATGGTGTGCCTTATTTCTTAGTCTCCAAACACGTCTGTCAGACTAAGTAAAAAGTGGTTTCCATCTAATCAGTGAACTTTTCGCTAAGACCTTATACTCCATGTCCGGTGATCACGTGTCCATTGCAGTCTTGTTTTGCTTTCTTGTGACTGTCAGCAGAGGACTGGTCGCCTGTTGTTAACGCATTGACGTTCCACTATCTAAGTCTGTTAGCAGTAGTAACTTTGGTTCACCTTGTCTGTCTACACAGAGAAGTCTATTTCTCTATCTTTAGTCTTTCAAGGTCTGTCAGACCTGTCAACATGCCTGATTTTGTTCATATCAAGAAATACCAAATGGGCATTAAAATTTACAGCTACCTGCCCGTACGTTATACATCCTTGAACCATTCCAGAAGCTTGTCATCTTTCAGCTATTGTCAGATTTAGACGTGTCGTCTTTCAGCTATTGTAAGATTTAGACTGTCATCTTTCAGCTATTGTCAGATTTAGACTGTCATCTTTCAGCTATTGTCAGGTTAAGACTGTCATCTTTCAGCTATTGTCAGGTTTAGACTGTCATCTTTCAGCTATTGTCAGGTTAAGACTGTCATCTTTCAGCTATTGTCAGATTTAGACTGTCATCTTTCAGCTATTGTCAGGTTTAGACGTGTCGTCTTTCAGCTATTGTCAGATTTAGACTGTCATCTTTCAGCTATTGTCAGATTTAGACTGTCATCTTTCAGCTATTGTCAGATTTAGACGTGTCGTCTTTCAGCTATTGTCAGATTTAGACGTGTCGTCTTTCAGCTATTGTCAGGTTTAGACGTGTCGTCTTTCAGCTATTGTCAGGTTTAGACGTGTCATCTTTCAGCTATTGTCAGGTTAAGACTGTCATCTTTCAGCTATTGTCAGATTTAGACTGTCATCTTTCAGCTATTGTCAGATTTAGACTGTCATCTTTCAGCTATTGTCAGATTTAGACTGTCATCTTTCAGCTATTGTCAGGTTAAGACTGTCATCTTTCAGCTATTGTCAGGTTTAGAAGTGTCGTCTTTCAGCTATTGTCAGATTTAGACTGTCATCTTTCAGCTATTGTCAGGTTAAGACTGTCATCTTTCAGCTATTGTCAGATTTAGACTGTCATCTTTCAGCTGTTGTCAGATTTAGACTGTCATCTTTCAGCTATTGTCAGGTTTAGACGTGTCGTCTTTCAGCTATTGTCAGGTTTAGACTGTCATCTTTCAGCTATTGTCAGGTTTAGACGTGTCATCTTTCAGCTATTGTCAGATTTAGACTGTCATCTTTCAGCTGTTGTCAGATTTAGACTGTCATCTTTCAGCTATTGTCAGGTTAAGACTGTCATCTTTCAGCTATTGTCAGATTTAGACTGTCATCTTTCAGCTATTGTCAGATTTAGACTGTCATCTTTCAGCTATTGTCAGGTTAAGACTGTCATCTTTCAGCTATTGTCAGGTTTAGACGTGTCGTCTTTCAGCTATTGTCAGGTTTAGACGTGTCGTCTTTCAGCTATTGTCAGGTTAAGACTGTCATCTTTCAGCTATTGTCAGGTTTAGACGTGTCATCTTTCAGCTGTTGTCAGTTTTTAGAAGTGCCATCTTTCAGCTATTGTCAGGTTTAGACTGTCATCTTTCAGCTGTTGTCAGTTTTTAGAAGTGTCATCTTTCAGCTGCTGTCAGTTTTTAGAAGTGCCATCTTTCAGCTATTGTCAGGTTTAGACTGTCATCTTTCAGCTGTTGTCAGTTTTTAGAAGTGTCATCTTTCAGCTATTGTCAGTTTTTAGAAGTGCCATCTTTCAGCTATTGTCAGGTTTAGACTGTCATCTTTCAGCTGTTGTCAGTTTTTAGAAGTGTCATCTTTCAGCTATTGTCAGTTTTTAGAAGTGCCATCTTTAAATACAGTATGAGCATGGTTATGATTTAAAACAAGAGAAAATGGTGCCTGAGTAAGAGTACGGGATATCTCTGTTTAACCCTGGTTGTCCTCATGTTGGATTATCGTATGTAACATATGGCACCAAACACAAAGGACACTGCAAGGAGTACGACAAGGTTTATATGTTTGTAAAAATCCGTTTTGATACTGAAATTCATGGTCTTCAACTTATGACGAAGTGTATATATGGGGAGAAAACGGCACAATGTTGTGGTATACAAATATATATTTATCTAACATGCATGTTGTTCATGTATGTAGTGTCACTTCTGGTAAATTTGCTGACTTGAAGAGCTTCTTATGTTCAAAAGAATGATACTGACCGATCTTTAAAGTTTTTAGTTTGATCCAGTCTCGAAAGAACTCATTTGTTCGTGACGTTTGGCTTGTTGAGATATTGGCCAGAAGCATGTAAGGGTATTGGATAAAACATCTGTTGAAATGAATTTCCTTCCGTGACTTGAATAATTAAGGGAACCAATTGTATCAAATTATGATTTTTGGACTTAAGCACACTTTAATATCATTTTGCAGTTTTCAACCAAATTATATGATGCCTTGGTACCTTGTATTTGTGTCCTAATTTAAGATGCATATATTTTATACTATTTAGGAAAGCTGAGACAGCGCGACAAAAAAGCCAAACAGATTATCGCTCAAGAGAAGGATAACAAGGGAGGCCGGGGCAGTAAGCTGTGTGTTAAAAGTGATTCTCCCACATGTACGTATATGAAATTATACCGAGGTCAGGAAATCGGCTAGTGTCCTAAAACACTATAAATATCTGTTCTTCCATTTCTGGTTGTCCAGGTGAAAGTTTCAGATATCAAACAAATGAAAGCAGGTATAAAGAACTCTGGTAAATTATGATGGCTGTCGCTGTCCCATTACAAAAGTGCTTAACTTAACAGACCAATATAAATGAAGTAAGAAAGCGTCCCATCAATCTATAGATACTACACCTGACCTAAACAAAATGACCACGTTTTTGACATCCAGCAATATGACCAGTTCTAAATCTGAGCTTAACTGAAAGACTACCTTCAATAGAATCATTACTAATATACTTCGAAAACAAAGGATATTTGGTATATCTATAGACCGTTCATCGCATTCCAAACATGTTTTATGGTATTAACATGTTGGTAACTATGAAGTAATTAACATCACTGGTATTGAGGGTCATGTGCTTTATTTCTTGTCGGCTACGACTACATTCAGAATTTTTTTGTTTAAATGGTTTCAAACAAGATTGTGATTGTATCAGTGATGTTCTTTTTCTACTTTTAATGGATAATTTAGAAGGAATTGTGTTCTTTACTGTATTACATTATCTGAAAGCTTATTCTGATCTCTGTGAACCATTCATGCTGACGTATGTAAATGTGATAACGATGGAATCCTTAACTGTCTGGATAGACGTTTTGGAATATATATATATGTAAACGACTACACACTCTCCATTTGTAACCCATTGAAACCAAAGCAAGACGTTTTTCAGTCATTCTGAATAAATTCTCCTCTTTTACAACAGGCAGATGTATGATTACATTATTTTTAAATGTGTATTTTTGTTTAATTGCAATCACAGCCCAAACTCCAAGCAAACATAATCTCAGAAACGGAAAGAACTCCGCTAAGGGAGACAACCGTACCCTTAATGTAACACATGATGATACTCCACCTCCAAAGAAAACCAGTAGCAAAGGCAAGAAAAAGCAGCTACACTAAGGAGTTTTACAAAGAGCCTGTCTTCAATGTGGCAAATAATCGAAGATTATATACACCAATCAAACCAGCAAATGTTAGAATCTGACATTAAAATAACCTACTGGGCATTGTGATATAGTTTTTCCTTGTTTTTGTTATTTTTCAATTTGTTGACACTAAACAAATTCAAATTTGACTTCACTGGTTTTTGTTCAAGGTCAAACTGCAAACCTGGATTTTGATGTTTCAAACCTTTTAATAGCTCAATGGCAGACTTACTCTCGTGACCTCCAGTATTTTATTAGTATTAACTGATTCTATATTAACACACAAAGAAAGAGGAGATTTGTGACTCTTTATTCACATTTACACAATATATAATGTAGGTCATTATATATGTAATATGTACAAGAGATGTTCTTATTCTATCACCATACATTACAGGGGGACATTTGGCACAACAATAACTTACTGATGTGCTCGGCCAAAAGTAAATATTTACAAAGGTAACCTCCCTTTACAATATCAAAATATAATAATGTAATATATATTGTAATGAACCTTATGTAAAAAGTGTAAATATAATATCAATTATATTAAACTCATTCATTATCTAGAATCGTGCTACAATAAGAAGTATATCAAGGCACTATCATGTCCTCTGAAGCTCTGCCTATTACATATTTTGTATTATCTGTTTTACTTAACTTAAGGAATCCTTTTTCTAAACAATGGGGATTTTTGAATGATCTAGTGAAAATTGTTTCATCCCCAGTGGTAGGTCCAGGAAGGCTTCAGAGGGCACATGGCAACATGGATTGGTTACATTTTCTCCCTGACAAATAAAATCCTCTCCCATAAGAAAACTACAATGTATAAAGGTTACTTCTCCCTGACTCAGAATACTACACAGCATAACCATTCTTTTAAACAACAAAAGAACCTTGCGGGGTTACAATATATGCCTGTCCCATGACAAAGAAATATTCACAATTTAATGACATGGTTGTAAATCCTTCAAAGTTTAAAAAAGATAAAATGAAAACTAGAGAGATCTCCTGACATTATTTAGACCATGAAGAATGAAGGAATTACCATTAAATCAAACTGCCAGTCAGGAAAACACAGCTTCATGCCATGGGGATTAAGCCTATCAAGCTTGATAGAAATTGATTGAGAACTAAGACAGGAGACCTCTGGACAAAATTATTATCAGGAAAATAACAATGGGCAGTAACTCCTGAAAATACAATCCAATCATACTGCTGTTTGGGGAAACTCAGTTTCATGTCAAGATGATTGAGTCTACCAAGTTTGAAAGAGATCAGTTGAAAACTATGGGAAGAGATCTCTGGACAGAGAAAAGTTTATGAAAGACAGACAGTGTGACACCTTAATACGTCCTATCAGACAGTGTGACACCTTAATACGTCCTATCAGACAGTGTGACACCTTAATACGTCCTATCAGACAGTGTGACACCTTAATACGTCCTATCAGACAGTGTGACACCTTAATACGTCCTATCAGACAATGTGACACCTTAATACGTCCTATCAGGCAGTGTGACACCTTAATACGTCCTATCAGACAGTGTGACACCTTAATACGTCCTATCAGACAGTGTGACACCTTATTACGTCCTATCAGACAGTGTGACACCTTAATACATCCTATCAAGAAAACTTCTTTCCTCTTACTATTGATTTCATTTTCAACATATCTATTTTTCTGTATTTGTAATAATTAATACTGAAACCCTTGAAAAAAACCTTTACAGCAGGTTCAGTTAATCAATCCTCCATGTCAGATGTAGAGTGAATCGTTTAACAAACAGACGCTGATTACTGAGATAAAATACCAGTTTCCACATTTGTGATGATCAACAGGCTGGATAACTAGTCAATATTACCATTTTTCTCAGAGTTTGCTGATACCGTCAATTCCATCACTTCACCTAGGTCTAGTAAAACATCACAACCTTTACAGATACATAATGTTAGAGCTTGGATGCTTTCTTCTTCTTTAGTTTTTTCTTTGAGCTATCGAAGGCCTTCTTCTGGTCGTTAAGGTTGTCCAAGGGCGAGGGCCATCCCAGGAAATATCTCCTTCCCGCAACAGAGGAATCTTCTGAAGACATGTCTACAGAAAGGAAACCAATGGAACAATTCTTCAGTTCAAACTTCAGACAGACATTTACTGTTGATAACATTAAAAAGCCTAGGCTTAAACAATGTACCTGGAATCACAGAACAAAATTAAAAATAGAACAATTATACTGGGACATACAAACATGAATAATGCTTAAAGAAACATACTTCATATGACTGAAGAGGAAAATGGATAAAATTCATGGCTGTGAGACCAGAGGAGGATTGTACATGGAACCAATAATAAGAATAATTAGCCAACATGACTGTACCTGTTGAGTTCCATTTGCAGAAGAATTCTCTCCATACTGCCAACATCTCTCCCTTCTCATGACCAGCAATGTTGAACATCACCTCATTCAAATTTATCAAAGTATGATTCAAATCAGGTCTAACACAAGAATCAGAGTCTATATAAATCTTGTCACCAGTGATGTTGTACAGTGCATTATAAATCTGTAGGAGACATCTCACCAATTCCTTCTGATCTGTTTCCCTTAAATGTTTGACCAGAGATCCTTTGTAAAAATGTAGGTGTATCCAAGTCACAATGCTATCCATTGTCTCATAACTCATATATGGAAGACTAGTTATAAAGAAGGAAATCACTGCCATGGCAACAGTACATGTGACCTGAACAACATCACTACCTGGATCATCAAGAAGATCTGGATTCCAGTGTAACAACAAGTCTACACTTAACAAACTAATCTTTTTATCTGTTTCACTTTCTTCTAATTGTCTGTCAGTCTTTTCTGATGTCACTTCTTTTTCAATAATGACTTTTGCATCCTTTTTGTGTTTCCCATCTTGTCTTGCTGTCCCCATGCTTCTGTTCTTTACATTCAAGAGTTTAAAGGCATGTGTACAGGTTGTTTCAATGTCTTTGTTGTTGATGACTCTTGCCGAGTTGACTAGGATGTGACAGACATCGTGTGTAGTGAGAGGTGTAACTCTAACATGTCCCTTGTCTTGTAGGTGCACCACTGTTTCCTTCAGGTGATTCAGCACTGACACAAGGGTCTCCAAGCATTTTTGGTATACTTCATCGTCTGTTTCTTCCCTAGAAAAAGTCAATGTTTTATGTCAGACTATGAAATCTGTGGTTTGGTGGCACAGTGGTAATGCACTTGCCTTTCACCTTGCCATCCGGGGGTTCCATTCCCGGAATGGACATGGAAAGGTAAAGGGTCACCTGTCCGACCATGTGGGTTTTCCCAGGGTAATCCAGCTTCCTCCCACAATATGACCTATCATGTGCTTACATCCAGGCCAACAAGAGTGATAAGTATAATTTGAAATAACTTGATTTGTAATTATTGTAAAATAAATAAAGTTTATGTTTATGAAATCTCTTATAAAATTGGTCATGATTCAATACAATAAAAGAGACTTTCTAACAGGGGAATTTGTAAGTCTTTTTTTTCTGACATTTTTTTATGTTTTAGAGCCATAATAGAACAATTTCTTATACTCTGAATTAACTGCAAAACAGTATAAGGCAAGAATACACTAACATTTTTGTTTTTCTTTTATAATTACTTACATTATATATCTACACTTACCCAAAGCACTTCACTAGGGACAGGAGACATGTCAACACCTCCCTGGATATGGCCAGTGGCAAACATTTGGTGACTTGTCCTTCCTTGTTAATTTCATAGTTGTTTCCCCTGATAGATCGGTGGCGTACCATAGAAAACCACAAGCCATAGAGTATATCACACACCATGACCAGTTTGCTACCACCAATATTTCTGTGAAAGTAATAAAATGCTGAATAATCCTAGTGCAGAAGTATACAAGGCCTGTTAAGTGTGAATTATTAAAGAATTGTGAGGATGGATGGAGTGTATGAGGATGGATGGAGTGTGTGAGGATGGGCGGAGTGTGCGAGGATGGGCGGAGTGTGTGAGGATGGGCAGAGTGTATGAGGATGGGCAGAGTGTGTGAGGATGGGCTGAGTGTGTGAGGATGGGTAGAGGATAGGTGGAGTGTATGAAAATGGGTGGAGTGTGTGAGGTTGGGTGAAGTGTGTTTCGTATTTTAGTTTAGATGATAATCCCTATTTCGGCAGAAAAAAAGGAAAGAAAAAAAAACCATCCAGATTCTAAAGGACTGAATGAGATATAGGTATTTCATCAACATTTAATTCTCATTTTTTGAAAGAATTCCATATTTCATATCTTTAAGAATTATTTTTTTTGATTCATTTGGAGTTATAAGGGTGATGTTTATATTAAAGTAAATAGGATACCTGCTAATCATGCCAGACAGCCAACTCAACATTCCGTGCTGCTTCACAAGGTAAAAGGTCACCGTCCTTTGGAGAGAGGCTGACTTCAGAATGTCCAATACTTGTAACTGCTCAATAAAAATGTTTCAAATTACCATAGTTGATCTCCTTATGTTACTGCATATGACAAGATTAATTAAGAGTAGGTTTTTAGAAAGTAAAGGTGTTGAGAAGACCTTACCTGAGTCGAGGCATCGCTGATACCAGAGTCATGAAAACTTAACAGAAGCTTGAAGACATAGCGAGACTCAAACAGCTTGTAGTCCAGAGTCTCCCTCAAACCATCTCTACATAAATCCAAAATCCAAGATCTTTCTACATTAAACTGTGAAAACAAAAATACAAATTTATTTACTTCACAGCTATTCTGCCATATTGTGTTATGTTGTACATAGGAAAGGAATTCTAATTTACTCCAATACAGAGATCCCAGGTTAAGCCCTGGTGGTATTGACAAAATATAGAAATGAAAGTCCTTTAAAAAATGACTGAATTCAATGTTCAGAAATGATCTGATAATGACATAATTTTTTATCATTATTTACATCTGTTCTTCGTAAATCACTGGCAATGTTCTTTTACCTCAAAGGCTGAGCTGTTGAACAGTTTATAGAACTCTGGCACTGTGGTGATGTCCATGGCAGGTTTCAAGAGCAGGAAGTAGTTCATCACCTTGTACATGTGGTCGTCTGTAGTAAACATTGGAAATCATCATTTCTCAACTCCTTTCATATAGAACTGCTCACCTGTAAACATCTCACCTTGCATAAATTCAAGATTTAGAATATAAACTTTGAAGTTGAAAAAACTTGACCTGTCAAATTTGCCCTTCGACTGTCATCAATCACATGATCTTTTAACTCCCAGCTTTTATTTCTAACTCTTTAGTTCATAAAGTAGAGAACATTTAAAAAGGCCATTTAGAAACTTCTGAACTTTGACCTACCATGCAGGAACATGAGTGGCACCATCCTTGCCAGAAACACTGTTATGATACAGGCTAGTTTGGTGTTTGGGCGTGTCACACTGTCTCTCAGTAGGCTAACCAGATACAACACTTGCTGTTGTTCTGGGAAACGTGCACCCTCCAGATGGTGAAGGTATCGTGCTAGTACATGGTAGGCAACACCTCTGACACCATTGTCATGGCAACTCAAAGCAGCAATGGTGTATCCTAGACATAAAGTCTCTGCAAACTTCCGGCAGTCCACAAAGGATTCTATGATGAACAAAATAAAGGCACTTTATCATTTATTCTACCGTCTCAATTGACTTCATATGAAGCACAACAGATATCTTTTTAAAGGAAACATCACTGTGAAATGATATGAAATAACTGTGACCTTACCTGGAGACAATAGATTACTGAACAATGGCAGAATAAAGCAGGGGTCATAGAGGTCATCAGTGACTCCATACACAGACAAATCCTGTATCAAGCCCGGCTAGTCAACATAAACAATACACAAAACTTCACAAACAGTAGACAGAAGTAAGAAATTACCAAAAACAACAATTTACAAAGTCTCTGACTGAAATCAATATTTTAACCAAGAAAAATGGAATGTATACACAGGTAAGGACGTGTTATCATCAACACTGTTATAGATTGAGACTATGAAACATAATAACAAGCATAAAAAAATGTATGGCAATTCAGATTTTGTCTTTCTTAAATGAGACAGATATATTTACAAGAAAATCATTAGATGGACATGTCGCTGGTTTCTACTTTGATGTCACATTGAATCATCAAAGTCAGAATGCCAAAGCACTACTATAATTTAGTTATAGACAAGGATTAATCAGTTCATACCTGGAGTTTCCTCAGCAATGGAAATTTTAAAATGGACCTCTCTAGCCGGCCACGGTCAATGTACTCTAACACCTGATCTGTGGATGGCTGTTTCCATAGCGATGACCCCATGGACTTCCTAATAGTGTGCTGCTCAGTTGCCTTTGGTCCCCACAGGTAAGGCCTAATGAAATTATTGTGGTGACAGTGAGCAGTGAAAAAAAAAGAGAGAGAAACTACACCATCTCTGTTCATATTCTGAATGCAGTCATAAACCAGATAAGATTTTTTTTCTAAATTGTAAAAGCAGTGAGACTTTTTGTAAACACAACCTGGTTTGTAAGACATGATTGTTATGATGCATTCAAGTATGAATGTTTGATAACTTTGCAGAAGTCAAATGTGACCTTTCACCTTTTAACCTTTACCAATGACCATCTTAATATGATTGGTGAAAAACTTGAAGTTGGTATATTACTGAGTAAATATAGACCAAATCTGCAGACTGGTTCTCAAGATATGTCATTGATTCTGAATGGGACAGGACTCAACAGGACAGGGCAGGATGCATAGGGACAGACAAACATGGGATCCATCTAAACTTTATGGTTATAGGGCAGTGCTTTTCAATTCCAGGGTCACATAAATTGGTAAAACCCCAGGCCCTGCTAAGGGGTTTAATACATTCTGGTGACCCCAAGGATAGATCATTCCTATAACTTTGGACATGAACAATGAAATGGAGTTCTGATTTGTTATGAGCCAAAAATTTAAATACATATTTGTTTTCATTACGCATCTTTTCAAAATCAAACCATCACTTAACAAACACATTGATGTATTTGAATTTTTCTGAAGTATTTCTGAAAAAAGTATCATAACTACATCTTAATTCATATTAATGCAAGGCTGTATTACCCCACCAGACATTTTATACATAGCCAGTAAACATGAATGTATAGCCCTGAACAGTGCAATATCACACACTGAGGTGATCAAATGTATACAAGTGACTGTATCATGGTTTTTATGTGTATTAACACTCCTTCATATACACATATATGTCAGTACAATACTTACTTGTACTCTTTCATAGAGACCTCATAGTTCTCATACAGATGGAGAAGTCTCAACAACTTCTGGTCTGAAAACCAAAGACACTTATTTATATAACTGTTGACACACATCATCTGTATTGACACACATCACATGTATCAACATAGTATTAAATATAAACAGACAATGACACGTGATAAAGTAGTGACACATGTCGTAAGTATTGACACATGTAATTGAGTAGTGACACATGTCATAATTATTGACACATGCTATAAAGTAGTGTTATTTTTGACACATGCTATAAAGTAGTGACACATGTAATTAAGTAGTGACACATGTCGTAAGTATTGACACATGTAATTGAGTAGTGACACATGTCATAATTATTGACACATGCTATAAAGTAGTGACACATGTAATTAAGTAGTGACACATGTCGTAATTATTGACACATGTAATAAACTAGTGACACATGCCGTAAGTAGTGACACACGTAATAAAGTATTGACACATACAATAAAGTAGTGATACATGTCGTAAATATTGACCCACGTAATAAAGTAGTGACACAAGTTGTATGTATTGACACATGTAATTAAGTAGTGACACATGTCGTTATTTTTGACACATGCTATAAAGTAGTGACACATGTAATTAAGTAGTGACACATGTCGTTATTATTGACACATGTAATAAAGTAATGACACATGTTGTAATTATTGACACATATAATAAAGTAGTGACACATGCCATAAGTATTGACACATGCCATAAGTAGTGACACACATAATAAAGTAGTGACACATACATTTAAGTAGTGACACATGTTGTAATTATTGACACACATAATAAACTAGTGACACATGCCGTAAGTAGTGACACACGTAATAAAGTATTGACACATACAATAAAGTAGTGATACATGTCGTAAGTATTGATCCACGTAATAAAGTAGTGACACAAGTTGTAAGTATTTACACATTTCATTAAGTAGTGACACATGTCGTTATTTTTGACACATGCTATAAAGTAGTGACACATGTAATTAAGTAGTGACACATGTCGTTATTATTGACACATGTAATAAAGTAATGACACATGTTGTAATTATTGACACATACAATAAAGTAGTGACACATGCCATAAGTATTGACACACATAATAAGGTAGTGACACATGCCGTAAGTAGTGACACACATAATAAAGTAGTGACACATACAATAAAGTAGTGACACATGTTGTAATTATTGACACATGTAATAAAGTAGTGACACATGCCGTAAGTAGTGACACACATAATAAAGTAGTGACACACGTCAAAAATATTGACACATACAATAAAGTAGTGACACATGTCATAAGTATTGACCCACATAATAAAGAAGTGACACAAGTTGTAAGTATTGACACATATAATAAAGTAGTGACACATGTCATAAGTATTGACACACAAATCAATCAACAGATTTGGTCCTGTAGCAAAAGCATCATCTATATTGACAATATCATCATCTATATTGACAACATCATCATCATATGTATTGACTACATCATCATATTTACGGACAACCTCATTATAAGTACATACCTGTTTGTGACAGAGTTGCACTGTAAGCACCAAGGTATATGCCTATGTGGCTGGAGGTACAGCAGTTCGGGCAGATTTCAACCAGCATCAACAACAGATCCACCAAACACTCTACAACATTCCGATTCAAACCTTATAATTGTTGGTTATTTTATGGAACTCATATAAAATTACTGACAGTGTTTTGTTGTATTTTACTAAACATCTATCAAACATTAAAAAACATCCACTGTAAAATCAAAATGATTCCTGGAAATATCTAATATTGTAAGGTTTTCCTGTGTCTTCACTCTTATGATTAATTTTAACAAAATATCAATAATAAAAAAAAACAAAAAAGACAAAAAGGAACTAATGCATGCCAGTTGTCATCATACTGTCTGAATACAACTCAGGTAAATATATTGTACCAAATCATTGTCCAACTCTGTCTGTTTACCTTTGACCTCTGATCCTTCCTCGTTCAGTATGATGGACAAAAACATGGAATGACTGAGCACCATATCAAAGACCATGTTAGGAGTAAGATCAAGAGTCATTCCATTTGAGTACACAGTCTTCATCAGAGTGTTGAGGATCTTATGAGTACTGGCACAGGCGTACTGTGATCGTAAACAAGCTTTCACAAAGGAGGAGAAGTCTTTACGGAGTTCAGAGGGCTTCACTTGTTCAATCACATCCTGTGTAAAATCACAAATAAGTTTAAATTCATTAGTCTAGATACCTTGTGGCTACTCACTTTTATTTCTGAACATGACCTGTGGTAGAAAACTTCAGTTTCCTTTTAAATAATAAAGCACTTCTCTATCCATAGACAGCTGTGTGCCAACATGACCAGATGTCTTACATTAGGGTTGAGACAAGCTACACACACACTACAAAAAAGGTAAAATATGATTTCTGTATGTACTTTTCTATCTGTTCTGTTGTTAACATTGAAAAGTTCTATATTTTACTGTTACTTTTGAAATCTAAACAATGAAATGCATTTATCGACACTAGATGGAAAATATAAGTGAACTCTATTCTCGTCAACATATTATCATGATGAATCATGGTACTAGTCATTCCTTAAGCAATGCCAGGGTAAATCATGGTGTGGAGCAACCTTTCCTAGCCTCTAATGTGCCCCCTTTCAGAGAGCAGCTACTAGTAGGCGAACTTTAATTCTCAAAAATTATTTGGCGCCTTTGAAGGAAACTATCAGTCCAATATCATGCCTCTAGGCATTTCAGTATTTTAGGTTGTTTTAAGGTTTTGACATATTTGAGCCCCGGGACCAAGGTAGGTCAACATCATCTTTGACCGTTTTGACCTTGAAAGTAGGTCAAAGACCTTTTTTATTTTTTTTTTTTCAAACATTGTCAGACTCCATCAAAGAAAGCTACAAACCAAACATCACAACTTTGTCTTTTGGTTCTTCAGAAAAAGTTGTTCAAAGGAAAGTTGATGAAACCAAATGTCAAATGCTGCACCATAACATAAGCTCAGAAACAGAAATGATTAACCCTCAGGATGGAATTCCTGAATTCCAACCTTGAATGGTCCCATCCTGAGAACTGAGATTCATTTCTTCAGATAAATTCAGTTTCTACATGAACTCTTACCTGAGTGGTTTTAGAAAGAAAATGGAGAAGGTATTCAACGAGGTCTCCATCCAGTCTCTCCTTTTTCTGTAGACAATACATTAAACATCGTCGACACACGTTGTACACTTGTGGTTCAGAAATGACAGGCTCTGAGCTGTCCCCTAGTGGAGCAGAGGAGAGGTAGATAAGCACCTGGATGTGATCCTTTTGGACTACCTTTTTGGTCTTTATAGCACTGGTAATGTTCTGACAAACATTTTTCTGTTTTTCCTTGTCTAAAAAACAAAGCAGAATCTAATGACTTGACTTATATATGATGTATCCCTAATAATCAGTACATCTCCTTGTTTTAACATCAGAATGGCCACTCTCTGCTTCTGTGATGAATACCTATAACCTGTTAATCTTAAGTGTAAATACAAAATTCTGAATCCAATTATAACTAAATCAAAAACAATCAACAGCATCTGACTGCATCTTAAAGGACTTTTGTTTAACCTAAAGACTATTACCATTCCCCTAATACTGACACTGGGGTTACTGGTTCTGTTTATTACTACATTTTTCAAATTATCTCAGAAGTCCCCCATCCAAAAAGTCTCCAAGTCAAAAGCTGTAGTTTTCTTTTCTAAAGCAAATATTCCTTAATTCATTGAACTTATTGCAGACTTACCAATAACTTGGAGCTTACACAGCAAGATAAGCATTTTACACACATGTCCTGTAAACTCTGGGTGGAGGTTAGATGTAGCCATCAAGTCTCCAAGGCAATCATTATAGTCTTTAGAGATTTTGTGGACAGCTTCCCCACCTTCAGCTGGAAAACAATTTAATAAACAAAAGATCATTTTAACCTCTTAGAACTGGGTTGTTTTTGAACATATGTCTGTCAAATTACGATTTACATTAGTGACACACACAAGACGAGAAATAATAAAACCATAATAATGTTTTGTAATTCTTGATAGCATATCTGTCAGTACTCAATAACCCAATCTGGACACTCTGTCAGTTGTCAATAACCCAATCTGGACACTCTGTCTCATTCATACATTCAATATTACTCACTTTTTCTGTTCAGAACACACTGTAGGTACAAGTTCAGTAAAGGAATGCTCCCAAACATCTGTTCCCCGTCAATATTTGTTTCCATAATCCAGTCCTCTAGAAAGGACCTAGCTACTGAATTATGTTTAACCACTATCATGGCAATCCCTTGTTTCACACTAGAGGAGCTATTCAGCAGGCGCCACATGGTTGACTTAGTAATTGCAACAGAGAAATGAGGAAATATTTGCAGAAGATTTTGACAATTAATGTCAAGAACTGTTGAGTCTATGTTGCACATCATGTCTAATAACACTTTAAAATCACTGATATGTAGAAGTGCGAGGCTGTGGTGGTGAGTGGTCAGATTATTACACATTTCCTCTAGCAGATTCATGAGGAAATTTCCCAAGGGTGACAACTCTGATGACAAGCCAATCAGCAAAGATTTTGGTAGATAGAGGACTGTGTGTAGGAGTGAAAATTGTGTCTCTTTCTCTAAGAATTTGGTAAATAATCCTAAATTATTCTGGATCAATCCAACCAATTCTTGGTAGGTGGAACTTGGTTCCTTTCCCTTTTTGATGGAGTCCATGAAATTTGTAATTTTCTCAACATATCTTTTGAGAACTAGTGCCAAATCACTGAGATCCTGTTCTGCAATGGACAAGAAGAGCTTGCTCAAGTGAGATGTGACAAGATGTCGAAGACAACTGGCTGTCAGAGCCGGGTAAGCAGGATCCACTAGCTTATCAGCTGGATTATACAGAAACCATTGGAGCAGCACCGGGTGGGTAAAAACTGTTCGTAGCACTTCAATCAGAGGCTCTGTCCTTGAGTTCTGACCAAGGTCAGACAGAAGATTGAAATCATTTTCAGTCAAGTGATCATCACATTCTTTTGAAACTGTGGCTTGTCTTGTTGTACTTGAGTGTATTAATGCAATGAGGGTTTCTAAAAGTACTTTTAAAGCATCACTGGATTTTGTGCCCATCTGAAAAAAATTATCATTAGTTGTATCAGAGGAAAAAAGATGGAAAAATTTGTCATCTTATAATAGTTTCTTCATATTTGAGTTATATTTTCTCTTCGACAATGAGTACTGTTATGTGTGTGCTAATACATTCAATGTTTAACAATTTAAGAATTGACCGTAACAACAATCGATAATTTCTAGAATTCTTAACAGATTAATCAGCATACCTTGCTGCAAGTTTTCTCAAGAGTAACAAAATACAGCAGCAGTTGCTTGGCAACAAGAAGCATGACTTCCACATCCAAGTCATCCAGACTCTTTGATAATTCTGCGACCTTGACCTCTTCTGTTGTAGCACACAACCTAATGAAGCCATGCATCATTGTTCTACTGGATAACATCTGTACACCTTCACTAGGTATTTTTGTCTTCTTGAGCTACAATAAACCATAATTCTTGTGAGGTTGTGATCTCAGTGATCTGCAGTCGCACCATTTATATCAGTCATAGTAAAAAGGTTCAACCTAGCAATATTTCTAAATCTGATCCTATACAATGTTTACCTACAGCTATCATTCCAAACACCCACTTACACCTCTGTCAACAGCTAAATGCCAAGAATATTGACTGTGTCTTGAAAGCATAATTTTGATGAAACTAAAACATATCACTATAAGACAAACTACAATACAAAACAGATATTTATCTGTGTGTAATACAGGATGGCATCTACCTCATAAAACTAAACCACAAATTTTAGTGCAATATGGATTCAAGATGAAAAGGAGAGACAATTGTATTGAACTTTCTCCAAAATAATGTCTTCTCCAATAGTAATCATAAAAAGACAAAAATTGTATGGTTTGCAGAAAGATATCAACTAACATGTAACCATTGTGGACTAATTTTGAGTGTGACAGTGGTGTGATTGTGTGAGGAATGACGTTTATTTGTAAGGATACATCAATTATAGCAGGTATGAAAAATGTAATTAATCAGGGTCTTTCATAATCGAAATGCAGGACTTCAAGGAATATAGCTATATTTACTAACTACCTGAAGTACTAAAGCTAATTATCCATGACCTCTGTAAGAAACAATGAATTTTGTTCTAAACATTCCTTTCTGATCATTTAGATACCTTTTGTGATGGTAACCATGACAATATGTAACTGGTGACTCCACTGTCCAGCTGGTCTCCATGACAAGCATTCAGCATACACACCAAAGGGAGAGGTTGTATTTGGGAGTGGAAAAGATCCAGGACAATACCAGACACAAAGTTTGTTACACCTATTAATTAGATACAGACACAAAGTTTGTTACACCTATTAATTAGATATAGACACAAAGTTTGTTACACCTATTAATTAGATATAGACACAAAGTTTGTTACACCTATTAATTAGATATAGACACAAAGTTTGTTACACCTATTAATTAGATATAGACACAAAGTTTGTTACACCTATTAATTAGATATAGACACAAAGTTTGTTACACCTATTAATTAGATATAAACAGGTAAATAAATTAAACTTAAATTAACTCAAATTTTATCATCCATCATCAGAGCTAGGATAGTTTTGAAAACTGTTATAAGTATTGTTAAGTTTGAAGTATAGATTGGTCATAGATTCCCCACTGGGCTATTATACAACTGTAGGTGGCAATATCATCTCAGAAGGTTACAAATTTTTTAAGTATTAGTGACTTGTACGGATGTATATGTCTTTTGTCCTCATCACATCACCAATTATACTCACTCAGTGCCCAATCCTTTGTCCTCACATCACTAGATATACTCACTTAGTGGCCAATCTTTTGTCCTCATCACATCACCAATTATACCCACTCAGTGCCCAATCCTTTGTCCTACTCACATCACTAGATATACTCGCTTAGTGCCAATCTTTTGTCCTCATCACATCACCAATTATACTCACTTAGTGGCCAATCATTTGTCCTACTCACATCACCAGTTATACTCACTCAGTGCCCAATCCTTTGTCCTACTCACATCACCAGATATACTCACTTAGTGGCCAATCTTTTGTCCTCATCACATCACCAATTATACTCACTCAGTGGCCAAGCATTTGTCCTACTCACATCACTAGATATACTCGCTTAGTGCCAATCTTTTGTCCTCATCACATCACCAGTTATACTCACTCAGTGCCCAATCCTTTGTCCTACTCACATCACTAGATATACTCGCTTAGTGGCCAATCTTTTGTCCTCATCACATCACTAATTATACTCACTCAGTGCCCAATCCTTTGTCCTACTCACATCACTAGATATACTCACTTAGTGGCCAATCTTTTGTCCTCATCACATCACCAATCATACTCACTCAGTGGCCAAGCATTTGTCCTACTCACATCACCAATTATACTCACTTAGTGGCTAATCGTTTTTCCTCGTCACATCACCAATTATACTCACTCAATGCCCAATCCTTTGTCCTACTCACATCACTAGATATACTCACTTAGTGCCAATCTTTTGTCCTCATCACATCACCAATTATACTCACTTAGTGGCCAATCTTTTGTCCTTATCACATCACCAATTATACTCACTCAGTGGCCAAGCATTTGTCCTACTCACATCACCAATTATACTCACTTAGTGGCCAATCATTTGTCCTACTCACATCACTAGATATACTCGCTTAGTGCCAATCTTTTGTCCTCATCACATCACCAGTTATACTCACTCAGTGGCCGAGCATTTGTCCTACTCACATCACCAATTATACTCACTTAGTGGCCAATCTTTTGTCCTACTCACATCACCAATTATACTCACTTAGTGGCTAATCATTTTTCCTCGTCACATCACCAATTATACTCACTCAGTGCCCAATCTTTTGTCCTTGTCAGATGCTCCAGAGCAATCACCATCATTGGGCTGTAGGGAAACCTGCAAAGAAAGGAAAAATAAAAAGTAATTTACCGCACATTAGATATGTGAGCTTATAAATTTACATAACGTATGTAGAAAGGACAAAAAGATTCCTTCATTACAAAGTATCACAATATACAAGCTTGATTCCTTTATTACAAAGTATCACAATATACAAGCTTGATTCCTTTATTACAAAAGTGTCACAATATACAAGCTTGATTCCTTTCTATTACAAAGTATCACAATATACAAGCTTGATTCCTTTATTACAAAAGTATCACAATATACAAGCTTTATTCCTTTATTACAAAAGTATCACAATATACATGCTTGATTCATTTATTACAAAAGTATCACAATATACAAGCTTGATTCCTTTATTACAAAAGTATCACAATATACAAGCTTGATTCCTTTATTACAAAGTATCACAATATACAAGCTTGATTCCTTTATTACAAAAGTGTCACAATATACAAGCTTGATTCCTTTCTATTACAAAGTATCACAATATACAAGCTTGATTCCTTTATTACAAAAGTGTCACAATATACAAGCTTGATTCCTTTCTATTACAAAGTATCACAATATACAAGCTTGATTCCTTTATTACAAAAGTATCACAATATACAAGCTTGATTCCTTTATTACAAAAGTATCACAATATACAAGCTTGATTCCTTTATTAAAATAGTATCACAATATACAAGCTTGATTCCTTTATTACAAAGTATCACAATATACAAGCTTGATTCCTTTATTACAAAAGTGTCACAATATACAAGCTTGATTCCTTTCTATTACAAAGTAACACAATATACAAGCTTGATTCCTTTATTACAAAAGTATCACAATATACAAGCTTGATTCCTTTATTACAAAAGTATCACAATATACAAGCTTGATTCCTTTATTACAAAAGTGTCACAATATACAAGCTTGATTCCTTTCTATTACAAAGTGTCACAATATACAAGCTTGATTCCTTTCTATTACAAAGTATCACAATATACAAGCTTGATTCCTTTCTATTACAAAGTATCACAATATACATGCTTGATTCATTTCTATTAAAATGTATAACATGTTAACTTTGACTGTACTCAGAACAGCTAACAATGAAAGTCCCTACTTCTAAGCATAAAAATATCAACATTTAACAAATTTCTCTAAACAGTACCTTCAACTGATAACCATGAAGCCGGAATCCATTTGGATGTAGTCATAACTGATCTTTTTGGACAATGCTAGATCAAAATCCCTTAAGAAACAAGGAGATTCCTTTTCTTCAGATGAGGGGTTAGAAATTTTAAATATTGCAATTCAAAATGGTCACTAACAGCCATCTTGAAAATCTAATGAAGTTAAAATTATGACATGCACAAGTGCTTGGACTATTCATTACAATGATATCATTAACTTGAGACAAGATGAGATGGTGTGGTACAAGACAAGGACCAGATTGACACGATTACCTAACCCAGAAAATGGTGGAGGTATATTCTTAATTTCATTGACAAATGGAATTTGACTACCTAAAGGCATCCTCATTGACATCTGCTGTAGTAACAGAATCAGTGGTATCCTCTGGCTCCATATCCTCATCCATGTCCAGTATTCCTTAAAAAAGTAGTTAGGTTCTCTTAACATGAACTTAGTACACAATGCATTAATTGTATTACATTATTCCCAGGTGAATGGTTGTTAATCATGTTCTCAAAATGTGGATATACTAGGGGATGGAAAAAATGTGAAAACTACTTTCTATATACAACATCAGGTTATAATCAATGAATCAAAATACCACTGAGAAAATACAAATTCATGTCATTATAATAAAGACTACCAAGCTTGAAAAACATGAATGGAGTACTGACTGAGGAAGATGACCTCCAGGTAAGATTTGACAAGGTCAAAATATGGAAGAAAAGGTATATTGGCCATAATGATATTTACCATCAATAATGCTGTCATGAGTTCCAACACTAATATTGTCTAAGTTACTTCCCCCTGTTGTCTCCATGGTGATGGCCTCTGATACGAAGTCACTGACCTTGTCAACATAGGGATAGGGGTTCTTGATGAAGGTAGTAAAAACATGAGCCAATAGTTTGATAACTTCGACCTTGTCTTCATTAGTAGTGAGGTTCTTCATGGACACACTGAACTGTCTGATCCATAACTGTAGCTCTCCCTGGTGGTACTCAAATAAACCGGTGCTAAACAGCAACTGTTAGAAAGGAAAACATATTGTAATAAAAAATATATACACAAAATATGGCTGTAAAATACTATGATTTTTACAGTGTTTGTTATACCTGATCTCCTACACAGTATTTGTTTAGAGAGTCTGCCTTTCTACCTAGCTAAAATCTTATAACACCACTACCCTGTAAGGGGAAGGCTGTCAGAAAAAGAAATCCTACGAGAGAAGTGATAGCGTACATCCTTTCCTACACAAAAAAGCTTGGTACTATACCTCAACACAGAGAAATTTAAGGACATAATATGAAACTATTGACAGAAAAGAGGGTATTTTCTTAACCCATGCTTTACCTGTGCAATGTGTCTGTAAACAATATCTTTACTTGGGAGTTAATTAAGGCCACTTGCATCGACAAGAGTCTGTAAATATTTACCTGGGAGATGTATGTATTAATATGTGAATTAAAGTCCCTGGTAATGACATGGGTCTGTATGTATTTACCTGTGAATTAAGGTCCCTGGTAGTGACATGAGTCTGTAAATATTTACCTGTGATATAAGGTCCCTGGTAGAGACACAGGTCTGTAAATAATTACCTGGGAGATGTATGTATTTACCTGTTATCTAAGGTCCCTGGTAGAGACACAGGTCTGTAAATATTTACCTGGGAGATGTATGTATTTACCTGTTATCTAAGGTTCCTTGTAGAGACACAGGTCTGTAAATAATTACCCGGGAGATGTATGTATTTACCTGTTATCTAAGGTCCCTTGTAGAGACACAGGTCTGTAAATAATTACCTGGGAGATGTATGTATTTACCTGTGAATTAAGGTCCCTGGTAGTGACATGGGTCTGTAAATATTTACCTGGGATATAAGGTCCCTGGTAGTGACATGGGTCTGTAAATATTTACCTGGGATATAAGGTCCCTTGTTGTGAGTGTCAAATCATTCTGGCAGATAGAACTGACCTCCATCATTATCTCTAATAATATGTGCATCAGGGAGCGACCATCTTGACTCTAGAAATATGCATAAATTTTTTTTCAAACGAAAATCAACCATCTTAAATTAGTTAACTTAAAATTCTACATTATCACAATAACAAATTTATTGATATACAAGTTTCTCGAGTGATCATTAAGCACAATAACATTTTTTTTCTAGAGAGTCAATAAGAATAGCCATATTGAATGATTAGTGACCAAATATAAATTATATATATCATACGGAACCAAATTTAAGATCCATTTCATCACAGCAGTGACTATTCAGGGAAATATTGTAGAAACATTTCCACCTCAAACTTCAAGTCATAGATACGGTCTCTATTGTTATGCCATAATGCAAACAGTGTGTGTGATGTCATTCATTACCTAAATCTTATGTCAGAACAGGGTAGTACACATCACACTTCACTCTTTCAAGTTGTTTTGAAAATGACAGCATACAATGGGACCTGAACTACTATGTGATGAAGGATTACTGGTTTACATTAAATTTGATTTTACTGACAGAACAATAATACCCTCGTAATCATAAATATTTCTAATCTTCTCTAACCTCCATATATACTGACAATGCTGTCAACACAAGTTAAAACCTAAAATGTGTCATACATACATCTTTACCCCAGGGCAGCTTGCGTGCATCTGTCCTAGATAAAAGTTTGAGAAGGTATAACTGAGGAAGCATGTGATCAAATGTTTTGGAATCTGATTGGTCAATCGTTTCAGCTGATTTTTCTGATTGGTCATGGTGATCATTAGCTTCTGTTGATTGGTCACTTTTAGTATCATTCTTTTCTGACTGGTTGCCATTGTCATCTGTATCCATCTTTAGCTCATCATTTTTCACGGCAGTTTTCTGGGACAATTTTTTGACACCACCCAGGAGCTTATAGATAATAACAGGGTCATCCACAAGCACAGAGGGCACAAGGTCTTGATATAGGCACAGTGTCTGTTGTATCTTGATCATGTGTTGAAGAGGGGTCACAAAGGTCACATCTGCAGAAAGATCACATTTCATTTTAACAATTATTATGATTTATTTCTAAAAGGATCAAATTAGCTACCAAGTCAACATTTTATCTAATGATGTCACAAATGATAAAAAAATTCTTCCATCATGTAAACAAGTGGCCAAATGGACTTTAACTACACCTGAATTTTGACAAAAACTCCCACAACAACTGTTAATTGACAACACTATGAAAGACGTCACTTTGATTTCAACAAATAACTATTGACGACCTATAGAACTTTTACCTGTGATTTTGCTTTCATCGTTATCAAGCTCCTGTGTCTTGACCTCGGAACCAAGTGTTGTCGCATGGTCCCAACACACCAACAGAGATTTAATCTCAGGGACAGCCTACAATGTATAGACAAGTGCACTGGTGTATTTTGATAAAGAATCCTATACTATGCTTGTGAATTTTTAATAATTCACTTTTTCAGACCCTAAGATTAATTGATAAAGTCATAAAACCATGTGAGGGTCAATAATAAAGAAGAGTATTTAATTAAAACTATACCATTTATTATCATATATATTTCAGGAGTATGACAGAATATTTTTTTCACAAGTGCAAAGCACTTTTCAGTATAATGTCACCTGCTGGATTGTCATGGTAACATGTCCAGATTACAGGCTGTCAACCAAATCTTCTTTAAAATATAGGAGGAATATAGGAACATTTTTTCAACAAATATTGGAGCTTTTTGCTAGTTTTGAGGCAAGACATATAAGTTTTTCAAACGAAAATTGTTTCATTCAAAGGCATATATGCTAACAATTTTTACCTTCACTTACTGTTTCTATAATAATCAATGATTGAAAACTACGTTAAAGTAACCATTCACTTCAACAGCATCACAATCCAGGCAGAGAGCTGCTGTATAGCTCATCATCATCATCATCATCATCATCATCATCTGAATGGGCACCTAAAAGGCCAATATCCTGTTGCACTGCCTTGCAAGGTGCCCATACAGGTGATAAAGAGATGCACTGAATCATTTTCTGGTGGCTGGTGATGCTGTTAAAGACTTAGGAATTCTCTAACTTGTAAAAGAAGCCAATAGCAGTATCAAAGAAATATTTACAATCTTTACATTTATCAGCAACAAATTTCCTGAAAATTATAGTAATATTTTTCATAAACTAGGAAAATATAGGAAATATGGGATTTCTTTCAAAATACAGGTTTTTGAACCAAAATATAGGAAAATAAAGGAATATAGGAATCGGTTGACAGTCAGAGATTATGACAGTGTGATGACATCCTAAAGTGGTTATGTTTGCCTCAAACGTCTGTAAATAATGCATTCACATAAAAAAAAAACCCAAGTAAAGTCTTGTATAGACCTTGACCACATTGTGATTGATCTTAAACATCCGAGAATGACCTTAAGCCAATGAGACTGACCTTGATGACCTTTTCTCTGTAGTCCTGTTTTATGTCATCCCTCTCTGTGTGTGAGTACCAATGCCCTAGATTCTCCTCCGTCACACATGCTAGTGCAGTCATCGCTCTTTTCAGCATCATATTAATGAAGTCCAGAACCGTGTCACGAGGCACTATATGTCTGTGCTAAAACAATTAAATGATGTCTTTGTTTTACTATCCTATTTTCACTTCTACCTATCAAATTCTTTCTGAGTTTGCCATCTCTGGTGTCAGATTTGTGATTTACATCACGACTACATCAAATGATCTTTGATAACAAAATCGGGGCTTTTGACTTTAGCACATACACAATATGTATTCATATCAATATGAAACTGACCTTAGAGCTAGAGAGTGATGTATTTTTCTTGCCATGAAAAGATGAGTGTCAGTGACCTAATGAGTGATGTGTGACACTGACCTTCAGATTGATGTGACCCCGACACTGAATGATGTGAGTGACCCTAACCCTGAGTGATTTTAGTGGCACAAACTCTGAGTGATGTATGTTACCCTGACACTGAATGATGTGAGTGACCCTAACTCTGAGTGATTTTAGTGGCACAAACTCGGAGTGATGTATGTGACCCCGACACTGAATGATGTGAGTGACCCTAACCCTGAGTGATTTTAGTGGCACAAACTCTGAGTGATGTATGTGACCCTGACACTGAATGATGTGAGTGACCTAACCCTGAGTGATTTTAGTGACCAAGACTCTGAGTGATGTATGTGACCCTGACCTTGAATGATTTGAGTGACCCTAACCCTGAGTGATTTTAGTGACCAAGACTCTGAGCGATGTATGTGACCCTGACCTTGTATGATTTTAGTGACCAAGACTCTGAGTGATGTATGTGACCCTGACCTTGAGAGCCTGCAGTACAGTGTATAACATCTCCTGTGGAGGTAAGGTGTCCACCATCAACATATCCACAAATTTATGGGCATTCACTCTTTCCTTGATCTTGAACACAGCTGGTAGGTCTGACTGTTTTTCAAAAATCTGAAGAAGCAAATATTTAATATTACCTTGTCTGCTATATTGACTTTTTCTGCAGTGAAATAAAAATCAACCTAAATTTTGTAATCATTTTTCTGATAATGAATTTCATAAAAAATACATTCCCATTTCAGCTATCACTATGGTAATGATTAATCTTGTGTTAGATTAAGCTTTGATACAGAACTGTCTGATCATGACCTTGCAGAGAAACGCCATTGAAGCCCGCCACTTAGGAGAAGGTCGTGGTGACAGGATGTTTAACATGGAGGGCAGGAAATGACACAGCTGGTCTGGGCATGCCCGAAGTGTCTTTATAACCAATTCCTGGATCAGTGGTGATTCTGTTACTTTGGTCAGTGATGTCAAGAAACTGGTCAAAATGTGGTTTTGATTTCTGGGGAAAAAAAATCAAAGTTTAGAAGTGTATTACTACTGTTTTTCATGCCCTTGACTTTAGTTTCCAATATTTTTTCTGTGAACAAACATCTTGATTTTCCCCTCGAGGATTTTACAGAATCTTTGTAATACAATGTAACCTAGTGTTCTATTCATGTTGCTTACACAAACACTTTCACAGTGAAACCAATAAGAAAAGCGAAAGTACTTTATGAAATATTACTTTCTACACTAGTCTGATACTCAAATCCCACTCAGAGTTAGAATTCAATTTTAGATGTTCAAATCCTATATTAGTAAGGTATTGGTAGTGTTTCCAGAGTAACACCTGTCCAGCTCTAATTTCCTTGATACTGAAGTTACAGAATATTTCTTACTGTCCAGTAGTGCCCAGTGATTTGTCGTAGAAGTTGATTCCATATCTGTGAGAGGAACACAACTCTACCAAGAGCTGGTGTGTAGCCTCTGACACGGTTTTCTGGTCCTCAGTTTGATTGGCATCACCCACCTGTGAGATAAGTTTCCTTTAGCTTTGTAAACAGAATGCACTCTTTATTGATGTGTGATAATATAAATGCCAACATTTCATTGAACCGCAAAAAAATGCTATGCCTGGAAAAAGCTATACATATTACATAACTGCTAAAGGTTATTACCATCAAGTTAGTGGAGAAAATGTTTAAATCTATTCATATACTTCTCCCACCCCATACAAGAATATCCACTCTTTTAACTGTATGGCAATGCTTTGTTATATCTCAAATAAAAAATACCAACTACACTACACCTTAAATTTTTGTTGTTACCTGGAAATTGAAATTGACTGAAAGTCATGTTAAGATTTGAGACTTCAACCTCCGATGCCTTCATGTTGGGGAATCATTCTACTGGTATATTAAATGTTTATATATCATAATTTAATACCATGTAAAGGGTATGATATATTTTCATTAAAACTTAAATTTCTAAACTATCGCTGCAATTTAAGGATTTCATATGATCACATAAAGACAAACTAATCTTATAATAATGAAACTTTTATGCGAAGTTTCTCAGAATGGTGAAGATTTTTACTAACCTCTATCTGATCCTCTGCTGGCCGGTTCTGCCAGGTGCTAGGACCAGTCCAGTGGTACATCTGACCCAAAAGTCTCATGTTGGACTCGGTAAACAGTCGCACCTTTAATGTCTTACTAACTGCAGGATTCTGGACAACCTGAATATAAGAACAGTGACTGTATATTGACAAAACCTAAACAAGCTAATACAATGTGATATGGGGAACCTGGCATATCTTAAATCTTCTTTTAACACTGAACATATATATAAAGCTTGTTGTTAACATCACTAGTATGTGAGATTGGGTTTATGTGTATCATTTCAATCTCAGAAAATCTCAACTTAGGTATGTCAAAAATAACAAAAAAATACTGTCATGTGAACAGAATCATATTTCAAACACAGAATGAGTATGTCAACATACATATTAGTCCAATGTATCTGCCACACAGAATGAGTATGTCAACGTACATGTTAGTCCAATGTATCTAAGACACAGAATGAGTGTGTCAACATTCATATTAGTCCAATGTATCTACAACACAGAATGAGTATGTCAACATACATGTTAGTACAATGTATCTACCACACAGAATGAGAATGTCAAAATACATATTAGTCCAATGTATCTGCCACACAGAATGGGTATGTCAACATACATATTAGTCCAATGTATCTGCCACACAGAATGAGAATGTCAAAATACATATTAGTCCATTGTATCTGCCACACAGAATGAGTGTGCCAACATACATATTAGTCCAATGTATCTGCCACACAGAATGAGAATGTCAACATACATATTAGTCCAATGTATCTGCCACACAGAATGGGTATGTCAACATACATATTAGTCCAATGCATAAGCCACATTTTAATGGTATGTTTATATATAAATTTGGAAATATCTCTAGCAGATGATATCAAATCCAACATCCTTTAGTTTCAGTTTACATTATCTTTACCTTGTGAAGTAATGTAGACATTACCATCTGTATGTTACCCACACTATCAGATTGGAGCCCAGGTATCAAGCTACCAAGGAAACCTGAAATCAAACATGAAGCTTGTCTAAATGATATGAAAATTTATCATTTATTACAATTTTACCCTAGGTTCATGCAGCATGTGGAACGTATAAATGGACAAAAATTATGTTGAAAACATACTTTTTATCAGCAAAGCTTATAAGATCAAAGTAAACCTGCAAACCCTGTTACACTACGGAGCACACAGGTACACAACTATATCAGGTTTATGGGTACTAAGTTTCCATCAAAACTTTGTATAAAATGAAAATGTAGCGCAACACAATTACTTATTACAGGAAGATAGGAGCGTGCCGTTCTTCCAATACACCTTCCTTCAAAAATGGTAAAAGGATCCAGGGTCTTAACAAATGTGGACTAGACAAAATCCTTTTGATCAATATGTAAATAATTATTGCTAACAAATTTCTATTGATGGTTATGATGACATTTTTCTCATTTCCCAATTTTGAAACACATCTAAATCCTACCTCTTTGTTCCATTAGTTGTTTGACAACATCATCACTCCCAGTGATCAGAAAAGACATCATAAAGTGAATCAAGCATGTACGTACATCTTTAGGATCCTGGAACACAACAGGGTACAACCATGACTGAGTATTTCAATAACTTGGCCAAAGAGCTATACAAAACAAGAATACTGCAGGGCAGAACAATATAAGCCTGTCCCATGTAAAAGAGAGATACTATTATGCATTGAAATATGACAATCAGTTAACAGTTTAATCAAAATGCTCTTGAGAAAGCACAATGTCATGTCAGTAAAATTAAGTCTACCAAGCTTAAAAGAAAGTAGCTGAAAAATGAGAGAATAAAGGGCAATGATTTTCAAAAACTTGTTAAGTCAAAATGCCACCTTATAAAGAGGTCTCAAGAGAAAATAAAGATGATCGAAAAAAAGGGCAGTAACTCTTTTTAAAACATCAAATCAAAATGCTGTTCAGAGAGGCACAACTTCATGTCTGTCTGTAACGTTTGAAACATTATGTGTAAAAACTGTGGGAGGAGATCTCAGGAAAAGCACAAGTTTACAAATGGACAAACAGATGGACAAAAAGATGGACAGACAGATGGATAGACAGATGGACAACATCAGAACATAATACAACCCCTAAAAATTTTTCATGATCATATAAAAATTTGATCAATTTTATTTCAATCACCAACAGTTCAATAATTCGCCCAATGAACACAGATGATAATTTTTTTTCACTCAACATTCTTTACCAAAAGGATTACACATGAATTTTTTTTGCATTATCCTACCTTTTTGTCTCTGCGATTCAATAATGGTGGTAGGACTGGATTGTTGAAATCAAACTGAGCAAGAACCATCCGGGCTGACCGGTCTCCCAACATCACCATAGCTGTCAGAAGCTTGAGGGTAACCTTGATGTGACCAGACTTGTTAGTCACCAGCAGGGTAAAGTATACTGTAGCCATTTGTGAAGATAACAGTCTTTGAACGATGTTCTGGCCAACCATGGTAAACTTCTCAAGGTCATCTGCAATCCTTAGTAATATAGCCTCCAACACACCGAAAATAGCTGCCAACTGGTCAAATGACAAACTTAGGATGAATATGCATTTGAATTAATGAAGTTTGACTATAGTAATAAAACAGTTATATCATTATTTAATCACAATCTTCTTCTCATAACTGATTTTTTTTTCCTTTTCGTTGAAAGTCTACTGTATGACTCACTTTTACCTGTACATGTCTACTGTATGACTCACTTTTACCAGTTCATGTCTACTGTATGACACATTTTTACCTGTACATGTCTACTGTATGACTCACTTTTACCTGTATATGTCTACTGTATGACTCAATCTTACCTGTACATGTCTACTGTATGACTCACTTTTACCTGTACATGTCTACGATATGACTCACTTTTACCTGTACATGTCTACTGTATGACACATTTTTACCTGTACATGTCTACTGTATGACTCACTTTTACCTGTACATGTCTACTGTATGACTCACTTTTACCTGTACATGTCTACTGTATGACTCACTTTTACCTGTACATGTCTACTGTATGACTCACTTTTACCTGTACATGTCTACTGTATGACTAACTTTACCTGTATATGTCTACGATATGACTCACTTTTACCTGTACATGTCTACTGTATGACACATTTTTACCTGTACATGTCTACTGTATGACTCACTTTTACCTGTACATGTCTACTGTATGACTCACTTTAACCTGTACATGTCTACTGTATGACTCAATCTTACCTGTACATGTCTACTGTATGACTCACTTTTACCTGTACATGTCTACTGTATGACTAACTTTACCTGTATATGACTATGATATGACTCACTTTTACCTGTACATGTCTACTGTATGACACATTTTTACCTGTACATGTCTACTGTATGACTCACTTTTACCTGTACATGTCTACTGTATGACTCACTTTTACCTGTACATGTCTACTGTATGACTCAATCTTACCTGTACATGTCTACTGTATGACTCACTTTTACCTGTACATGTCTACTGTATGACTAACTTTACCTGTACATGTCTACTGTATGAATTACTTTTACCTGTACATGTCTACTGTATGACTAACTTTACCTGTATATGTCTACGATATGACTCACTTTTACCTGTACATATCTACTGTATGACTTACTTTACCTGTACATATCTACTGTATGACTCACTTTTACCTGTACATATCTACTGTATGACTCACTTTTACCTGTACATGTCTACTGTATGAATTACTTCTACATTTTTTTTCTATGAATGTTTATCGCATATGGATTTACAGAAAGTATAGACATTACTAAAGTAAATAGTATGTTTAGGGGCAGATCACCCTACCAGCACCTTACTAACATCTAACCACTAACCCAAAGTCCGCGGAATGATGGCCCGAATAAAAAAATATCCAACTCTCGTGACAAAGATCCCTCTGTGGTTTTTCAAAAAAGAGCAGGCATGATAACACCAGCCCAGAGGTCAGGGTTAAGTTAGCAATAAGGATTATTTATTAAGTAATTCTGACTGCCTCCCAATATACTACCAACATACAGAAATTTACTCAGTGTAGGATCCCCTTCCTCTTCCACTCTGTCCTTAACCAGTCCTCTGGCTGTGACATGCTCAGTTTAGGCTAGGTCTACAATTCTCCCATCATTCTTTTACTAAGAAAGTCTACTGTATGATTCACTTAACATTATATTAGGATTTTGTAATGTCTATGTCAGCAAGGACTCATTAACCAGCATGAATAAATAAATATATAAGAAATGAACATACTTAAGATGGAGTGATGTATTTTCATCATAAAGACTGAGATTACCTCTCCTGGTTTTCTTTTCCCTGCTTCAAGTACTTTAAATATTTCACTGCATTCTGCTGAAGATCGACAGTATCCAGCAATGATATCATATCCATGCTCCTCTGACCACTGACGTGCAGTCTCAGAAAATTGTTCAAAAGCTGAAATAAGATACAAAAACTTTTAATACTGATAAGACCAGAATCCAGATAGGATGTGAGCTATGACTTGTTTAAATGTTACTTTCTTTATATTTACATCTAAAATGCCATTAAATGGCTACCCCTGATTTACATAGTTTAACTTGTGTGCTTCCTTAAATACTTTATTGAAAATCTTTTTTTTTAAATTGTTGTAATCAGACAAGCACATGATTCAATGCCTGATACAATACAGGCTATCTGAAGTGGACTATTGTAACAATCAAACATCATATTAACTCACAGTTCCAAACTATGTCCAGTGTTTAAATGTTGATTATAAGCAAAATATTAGATATGGGTAATTTTATCACAGTAAACATGTGATCAAAAAACTTAACAATCAGTATTTGAATTATCACAAAATTTACTGAAATACACCAATACATTTGTCATTTTCTCCCTATACTAGACAACATTCATGACTTCCCAACAGCAATGAAATTGAAAGTTTTTTCCCTCTGAGTTTTTGGGGAAAAAGCCTTTTATCTCATTTTTGGAAGAAAATTTGTTAGTTGGGATGAAAATTGAAAGAGTAAAGGACAAATTTAGGAAATTGGCCATATCATGAAATAAATCAAAATGGATATTGATGTTCTGATGGTAAAGCATACCAAGTATTACAGAGAAAAGTTGAAATTTGAGAGAATAATTCGGGACAATACTGTAATGCTGAAAGAAGAAGCGAAAACTTGAAAAAATATTAAATCTCATTACAGGTTTCTCAATATTACAGAGGAAAACATGCCCATTTATCATACTTATAATGCCTACAAAGTTTAATAGAAAATAGTTGTAAACTGAGGAAGATAGTGCCAAAAAAATTCTTAATGCTGAAAAAGAGAAAGGGCAATAACTCTTTAAAAAACCTATTTCATGATGTAGCCAGAGAGCCAACAAAGTTTCAAGACGCAATCTGAATCTTATCTGTAAACCAATTTGAGATTTCTTATTATGACAAAAAGCTGTTCAGACATACAAAACTTTGCACCCTGGGGAGTTTGAAAGTGATTGGTTGTCATCGAACAGAAAACGACATACTATATATGTTCCATTACAATCGTTGACAATGTATAAAAATGTCAGCAGTCATGATGTGTGTGAGAACGAACTTGGACATATTTAAGTCTGTTATTCGTGTGAATGCATGACCATAAATAGCCTTTTTCTTAGACACGGTAACATTGAAGAATTTCTTCGATCTCACATTGCACAAACATATCAACCGATTAATACTGTAATAAAACTGCAAGTGCCAAAACTGTTTGTCACTACAATATTCAAACTTCTGGTCGGAACAAGTGACATTAGAATTTTCAGGCCTGCGAATCTGCTAGTACCGGTAGTTTTTTTTAAGTTGATGCAAAATAAATCGGCCGACTGCAGAACCGAACCTGAAAAAGCTGTCGATGGATCTCTCAGAAGGTATTTAAATGTGATCTCTGTAAAATCTTCTGTCCTTTTCTTTTTATTTGGTGACTCAGCATCTTGTTTTTCTTCCGCAGACTTCTTCTTTTTCCTCTTTAACGGTGTATTATTATCCTCCGTCATGTTTACTGAAACCCATGTGCTCTTCTCCAAGTCGGAAGTCCTCGTATTTTTACATTACCCAATGCAACATGCACTCAAGTAAAGGATCGATTCAAAGGTGTTCCGATATCCAAATAATACACAAATACCGATGACGTTTTACAATGAGCTCATTTTCCATTAAACATCACAAGGGAAGTAGTCATTTCTCAATCACAACTCTTGCAGACAGATCTTAAACACAAACACAGGGAAACTTAATCTGAGGAAAACAGAAACGAAAGATGTCGATGGACAGTATCCTTTAAACTATTAATGAAAACATTCTGATGCTTAAAAATGGGTGAGATGTTGATTCTCAAGATCTGTTTGCTTGATGGAAGCAGAAAATGTAAACATTGGAAGTCACGATTTCCTGATTACACATGGAATTGTTTATTGGAAATATTAGGATTCTTAAACATTGTACCATTTAGGGGATTTCTACTGAAGTGCCATTCAAGGTAGTGAATATGGCCCATGTCATAAACCCTCATGTTGTAAAATAAATAAGTGATGTTGATTGTGATATTTACTATAAAGTACTGTTAGCTCTGAACTTAAATATAGATATACAGATACAAAATTTGTTTTCAGCAAAGCGAGTGCTTTAATTTTAGTTTGTTCATGTATATATGATTAAACTGAATCCAGATTCATGTTACAAAATTGTGACGGGGTTTATCACTCTTACCAGGTTCGGGATAGAATTAACTGTATAGATGCATAGACATGTCCTATATGTATCATAGACTTAAATGTGTATGTCTATAATTATAAGTTTGTGGTCCTGTGTTATCTGTATACGTTATACATATCCTCCATCAAAAAGATTGTTAGATGCTATAAGATGTCATCATTATGATTATTAGCATGTTATAGGTTTTTTAACAATATTCAACAAAAATCTGCATATTGGAATTGTCATAGACGTATGTAACACGTTATATATGTCTCTGGAATTATGAATTTATTCTAAGTTTATATGTTTATCATCATAAAAGTATATCATACCTTTCCAATAAGATATATATAGCTGTATATTAAGCGTCCTTAATCTTAATTGTGTATAGTTTTTTATATATATGACTGTGTTTTTATGTATATTGATATATATACCTATTGCATGCTTTGACTGATATACCTTAACAGTCTAGAACATCTCTTTAATCTCAAATTTGCTGCAAAGGACTTGGAACGCAATGCAAAACGAAGTGAAAAGTCAGAAAAAGAAGAAAAAACCAAATTAAAAAAGGTAACGTTGCTCATATACCTTTTAATGAGCTTGTAAGTAAGTATAACTCAGAAATTTATGCATTGATTACCAGTAATTATAAGGTAAGTATTTTACAAATAATTAGTTACATATGTATGTAATTATAAGGTAAGTATTGACTAGTGTACCACATATAACTTGAAACAATTATATGTTTAAGATATTACCAATATAAAATATTACATCGTATAGCACTTATTGTAATGCACTTATTCTATTACACATATCTTATATTATACAAGCATAGAATGACATTGACAATAGGAAATGAGTTGTAAAAACAAACTTGTAATTCTTGTTGATTCTCCTTAACCTTAGGTCTGGTCTAGGTATACTTCAATCTTACTAGAATCTTCACCTTTTGCCTTGTCAAGAGAAACTTGGAACTGACTAGAATATTAACTGTAGGCCTAGTCAAGGGAAACTAAGAAATTTGGAATCATGATCTTGGGCTTGGTCAAGGTAAACTTAGAGCTTACAAGAATCTTAACTTTAGGCTCGGTCAAGAGAAGCCTAGAACTTACTGGTTACTGACATCTTAAAGTATAATTAAGAAAAACTATAACTGATCAGTATGATAGAATTTGATCTAAACCGTTTTTACTGTAACATGTAAAGGACAAATGTTACTGATGTGCCAAATGGCGATTATGTATTTAAAATAGAGGTACTTAACACAATCTGTATAAACACAATTATATGTACCATTTCATCTCTACAGCAATGATGTAAGGCTGTAGCAGCATTTGATTACTTATTACTATCATAAACACAGTTCTGATCCTCCAAGGTAATTGTTGTGTGAGGTATTGCTAGTAAATTTTCTGGCAGTTCAGTTGTTTTATAATGACTGCCCTATGAAGTGAATGATGGGATTTATAATGGATATTAGATAAAACAATTTGCAACCAAATTTTACATAATCTCAATTATACACAAGGAATCACAAACTTAACCTTGTTATTTCATTTTGCTGATAAGCCTAGTCATCGGAGCATAATTCATACATGTTTCTAATTCTTTAGGATATATCTGTATGCATTACTTTTCTATAACTGACATAATCTTTGACCTATACCTAAGCTTTTGTATAACACACTTAGCACACAGATCTAAACCTTAACACACTGCAGGACAACTCTTCAATTTGAAATATAGTGCTAGGTCACTGCTGCGTTTTGCTAACAAATGTGATAAGGAAGAAAGATCAGAAAAAAGAAAATTGAAAAAGGTGAGTTTATTGTAACACAGAAATATTGGAATTGTCAATCATATGTACAGGTGATGATGATATTCTGTAACATTATACTGGTAAAATGAAATTATAATTGTAAATGTACATCTTTAAGTTCAATTTTTTGTTTTAAAAACTGTACATATATGTAAAGAAATAAGATGTACAACTTGTTTTAAATACAAGTCTAGTCAAGCAGGGCCTCCATATTCATGTGCATTAATAAGAAGGCTAATTTAGATCACTGGTGAAGATCATATTGGTACAACTAGTGCCATCTTGCACATGGTTTCTCTTTTCTTCCAGTTACCTTAATGAAATTTAGAACACAATATGATTTAGAAAATGCCTTCAGACAGTGTGTCATGTACCACCAAAGGGGTAGGACACTGCTGGAAGTCAACATTTGGCAAGAAATAGTTTGTCTAGTTCTTAACACTGTCATTGTTACAATCAGACACTTTAATGAAACCTCATATTGCTTTTGATATTAGTGCTCTCTGATAATCTTACAGCCTTGGTCTATGTCAGATCAGTGTAGAATTTATACGAAATTTGATCATAATTTCTAAATTAAATCTCATTTTGATGTTATTAGAGTCTCAGGTTGTGTATTCAGATTCTTTCTAAAAAATAAGAATTTACTTGTTACAGGCTATCCAGAAAGGTAACCTGGAGGGAGCCAGAATACATGCAGAGAATTCAATCCGCCAGAAAAACCAGGCCCTTAATTACAGACGTATGAGTGCAAGGATCGATGCTGTAGCAGCTCGAGTTCAAACTGCTGTCACCATGAAACAGGTACATAATATCTTACTCATTCATCATTTATAGAGTTTGCTTGGTAACTTCAGTCAAGGTTACCTCAGATTTATGTTATTTTCTGACATGTTCACTAAGTCTTAAACATATTTATTTCGGCACAGTTCATTTTAAATTTTAAACAAATAAGTTCTATGTTGAATTTTTGCCTTTACAATAATTGCTCTATTGACAAGGTACAGAAATTGGAAATTCTCAAAGCCATTTTTGTGCGATATCCTTAACATGAAAAACACTAAAATAATATTACTTCTACAGCATGTACCTTTACAATATTGAACTGTATTGTTACAGACCAACAACCAACTTTATATATAGTGAATTTCATAAAATGTCACTGGGATTTCTGTAAATATTGCTTCTTTAAAGAATACAGATCTATTTTGTTAGAAATATATGAAGGTGAATTGATAAATTAGATTTCTAGATATGAATAAAATATGTAAATGTCTATGATCGGCAGGTCACAGGTTCCATGGCAGGTGTGGTCAAGTCAATGGAATCAGCAATGAAGAGTATGAATCTGGAGAAGGTAAATTTATTTTTGTTATAATGAAACTTCACCTGGAGAATGATGAGATATATTGATGTATTTTGAAGTGTTCATCTATGATGCTTTTCAGAATTCAAAAATCTAATCTTTATCAAATTTAGTATGTACATATGTAGTGTTCCTTGGGCCTGTAAATACTACTCCAGACTATATATCATATTGATCGTGTTAGAAAGCAGTTAATTATTGGTGTCAAGTTGTAGTTAAGCAGGGTGTGAAGGGCACCTCTTCATTTTATGATACTGTACATAACTTGATATCTTCCGACAAGTGTTGTGTTATCCATCAGATTTTGAAATGAATGTGATTCCTCCTTTTTACAGATCTCCCAGTTGATGGATAGATTTGAACAGCAGTTTGAGAATCTAGATGTGCAGTCACAGGTAATGGAGGATACAATGAATGCTTCGTCCACCCTCAACACACCACAGACACAGGTGGAAGGCCTTATGCAGGAAGTTGCTGATGAGGCTGGGTATGTCAATCAGTAAAACCTTCAATATTTGTTTTTGATGAACTATAATTTCACATATTTTTGTTCAGTTATCTGTCAACTTTGTCTATGGAAGACCATCAACAGATTTCAATGATGTATTATGAAAACAGGATGTTTGTTGATGTACTAGAGATACACAATGAACATATGTATATATGAAATGGATTATCTATTGTAGTTTACTTGTTGTGTATACAATTGCACAAGCTGTCCTACTCGATTGTATGAAGTGATGTACCACTTCTATACTTGTGGTAATTCCTTTGGTGTTCATTTTGCTAACTTATGAGACTTTAGAATCAATTCTCTTTTGATCATAGATACATTGTATGTGTCCTGTGTTACAGATTGGAATTAAACATGGATCTACCATCAGCACAGTCCACTTTACCATCAGGGGTCGCATCATCAACTGCTAGTAGTGAACAGGTAGGTTTCTGTATTAAGTGGTGACAGCATCAGCTGTTAGTATTGGACAGGTAAGTTTTTGTGTTAAGTGGTGACAGCATCAGCTGTTAGTATTGGACAGGTAAGTTTCTGGGTTAAGTGGTAGCATCATCAACTATTTTGTGAACAAGCATGAAGTTTAATAGAATTCAAGTGGCTCTTTGGCCTGATCTTGTTCAGGAATAAGTTGGTTAGGGGTAGTTGACTTTTTAGATGTGATTTTAAAAAAAATTTTAGTTAATTAAAATTTTCATCTGATGAGTAGTCTGTGTATTAGTCATTGGTTTTCTGTAACTTCTTAAGAAAATATAAGTAGTGATCCAGGAATCTGACATTTTAATTGCAGGAAAGTTTAGTATGTTACATTTTATTCAGTTCTCTTTTTGATAGTGATTAGTATTCTGGAGAGTGATGTAGATGTTAAGTGCAATTTATGGAGTGATTTTAAATATATTCAACAATTTGCATTTTTACAAATTATACTTTATCTGTAAAACCTGTTAGTATATTGACATCTACAAAGAAATGTTCTAACTGCTTATGGAAATTCTTTGTAAAATACACAGCTAAAGTAATTGTTTTCTTTTTCTTCAGGATGAGTTAACGCAGAGACTTGCAAAGTTACGGAATTGATCAATCATCTAGCTCATTGTGATGCAGAAACTTCACTTCTTTAACGTATGCCTTGGAATAGAAAAAAGTTTAAACTGTAAGAGAATAACTTCACCTTGATCAGATGAGAAAGATGATTGCTACCCTACTGTTGCTGTGAAACATTAAAACATTTTGTACCATGTAGAAAAGGCAGGACATAATTGTCTAAACTCTAGTACAGATGTATAAACAGAAGGGATTGTGATGCTCAGAGTTGAGAGGAAGTAGTTGAGACAACTCTGATAGGAACTTTTACTATAAACTAGCACTCAGCTTTTAATTAAACCTTTCGCTTTGTGTTAATCATGTTATAAGGATATTGTACTGGACAGGTATAAACATTTGTGATAGCTATTAAGACATGTAACCATAACATAAGTCATGTAAACATAGTTCATGATTGTTAGTAAATAAGGAAAGAGTGGTGTTATGCCACAGATCTGTGGTGACTTCAGTTAGAGTTAGGTGTTGTGTGAAGGATAAACCCACCTTTGTTTATGGCTATAGAAAGAGAGACATTTTACTTTTCCATATTTCATTAAAATCTGCAATAGGAATAAGACAATTGTTAAATATCACCACTGTTGTTCATTGATGTTCTTCACACACTTAGAATCTAACAATGTACAATGGTCAAAGGGAGGTAATCATGTGGTGACGTTACAAGGCCTCTGATACTGATATTTCTGTTATCTTTTATCGATATTTATATACATATACACATTGATATGAATTAACATATTCTACTGTGACATTATTAGTCATTGAGTGTATTTTGCAGTCACATTTCTATCTTGGTATAAATTTTAAATAATTATAGGAATTTGAATAATCAAATTTTAATTACAATTACATTTAAGTGCAGTAGGTTCTATCTAATTATAATGTGACACATATTCTATACACTGAAGAACAAATAAAATATCCATGTTATCAAGGCTTTTGTTTGACTTTTAACAATTTCAGAAGTTGAATAACATCTCGCCATAAAGACACCTGCCAAATAAATTAATCGTCTGTTGAAAGTCCTTACATTTATTTCATGTATGAAACTTATAGATTGATTTGTGTAAATAGTATGTATTGATCAAAAATAGAACCAATGTACTAAATGATGAATTGATGATCCTCAATAAGAAATGACATATTATTAAGCCACTAAAGTTTCTAATTTTATTACAAGCTTCCTTTGAATGTGACATGAAAAAAGAGTCAGGAATGTAATGATTAATGAGGTGGTGATTTGACAATAGTATGCTTTTTAGATGTGTGAAAAGGATGACACTAAATGTCACGCAATTCTCCTTATTTTATTACTTAGCTTGAAGAAAATATGGAAATCAAAAGTACAAGAATTCCCAAGTTGTTTTCATAAATACTGATGAAGTTTGACAAATTGAAGGGAGACAACTTTCAGGATATTGTAGTTTTGCAAGTAGGACTAGAAAATAATCATTTCTTTCAACTTGTTTAATGTTATAAGTGTTTTATGATCATACATACAATTGTGTATGTAGGGAATTATGTATTATAAATTATTGAATTGAAATTGTTGAATAAACCTTCATACTAAGTTATTATGTTGTTGAAATCTTTATACATTGCATTAATGTTACAGAAATGTAATACCATTAACTTTGACTGAAGATATTGATTATTGGAAGTTTTCTAGGTATTTTCATTCATTTTTTTCATTACATGAAAATATGCTTGTAAAGAATGCATCTGCAGAATAGGGCCATAAGGGCTTATGGCATAGCATACATTGTGTGTCCCTTAACTTTTTTCTACAAATCCCCACTAATCATAAAGAGGACAGCTGATTTTGACCAAATTGTCAGCAGAGGAAACAGTTTTGTAACTGAGAGGTAAGGCTCCATAGAAATTGATTTTATATCCTTTTCCTTGTGTTAGAACGAAGGTATTTTTACCAAATTTGGTTAGGTGCATTGTTAGAAGGAGAACCAGATTTGTATAGATGGGAGGTTTACCAGCCCCAGGTCTGATAAGTGGGCAAAATAAAGGATTAATCAATTCCTTTAAAATTGCTTCCTCATTTTTGAAAATGACAGAAATTTCATCCAACTTGGTTTAAAGCATCTTGGGATGAAGAGATTTCAATTTTGTGTTATAATATTTACAGGAAAAACTGCAAAATTAGTTTTGATTCTACTTTGTAATTTTCAATAGAAATATACAGAATCAGATGGATTAAGGAGATAAAGAAATACATGAAGTACATTGAATAATCAGTAAAGTAAATGATTACCTCAAATATGGTATTTAAATGTATTAATAACATGATTTTAACTTGCTTGTCACATGGGGGCTGCAGAAGCTCAGAGCATTATCCTATCTAACCTCAAGTGAGGATCTGAGAGGCATGGTTTGACACTTCATACTCACAGTCATATGCGCTCCCTTAGGAAGCTCAGAAATGGACAGTCTGTGCACGATGAAGTAGTTGTGCTCAAATCGTTTTTACCTCAGTTTCTCTGTATGGCATGTGATGGGTTTCCCACATGTTGTTCAGTGGTTAATCCACCTTAACTACATAGAGACCCTGTCTCAAAAGGATCCTGGGTATTCATGGGACGATAAACTAGACGAACTAATCACATGGGGCATAGTGCCAGTGATATAACTTATGGCATTTGAACAAGTCCATTTTGCCAGCATGTGACTATAAAGATGGGGTATTATAAATCCTATTTTCAATTAAAGTCACTGAGGTAAGATATGTTAAAAGGAGCCGAAGGATTGTTTTGAAGTCTTCTCATATTTATGGCCTTGAACATTTTTATTTAATTCAGTGGCATTTGCTCACCGACTTGTTTTCGTCAGTGATGTCCTCAGATGTAACAGGAATGTGAAGCCACCTGTTCATCAATCCAAACCATTATAGTGACATCACGTACCTATTTGAAACAGCTTTATCATGTACCAATTTACTAGGTTTAATTAACTTAAGTTAGTAATTAAACTGCCTTGCTGTTGTGACGAATTCTGATTTTTATAAATGATTAATAGTTTTCTCATCACTAATTCAAATATCATCAGTGCTATAACTTTGAGTTACCTTAAACAGTATTTTTATTTAATAATTCAACAATGTATAATACATACCAACATGTACACTTAAAGATGTCACTAGCATTTATAGACTGTTTGTTATCTATTGTAAACGTGGAATGAGGAACTCCAGCGTCTTTTGAATCATTTCTAAAATTAGAAAGGTGATGCCCAACACGCATGCGCTTTTGTGAATATTGCTGGAGTTCTGGACTGACAGGAGGAAGTACTTGACACAATTCACAGGTATGACTTCGTTTAAATTTGTTATTAGAATGCTTTGACAACAATATCTAGAATATTTTTGGAACAGATAAAGCCTTGACATGCGTTTAAGTCAAATTTAAATTTACGATTGCTGTTTAAGTTAGGGTTAATCGTGCGCACATTTTGCCGACAAGGTGTTGTGATCACGCGGTGTTTGTTTACACTATCTTGGCTGGATTTTATACGGTGTATAACTCATACTGGCGACAGTCTTATAGTCAAACATTGTAATATGTGAGTATATGGTATTCTCAATCAGGTACTGTGTCAAAATCATCATCATCTTTTGTGGGATAGCGATTTAGTGATTAGGAAATGGAATTTATGAATAAAAATCTTTAGCATGATTAAATCAACATGGGCGATAACCTCAGTGTAATGCAATGGATAGGTTTTATGTAACAGGGTGTACTCAATGTGCTCAATGCACTAAGCTATTTATGTTTACGTACATAATATCTGTCCTGTGCTCGTGTCATAACTAGTACGAAGTTTGTATGAAGAGTGTATGTTGCACGGGTATTTACGTACTCACGCCACCCTGCACACATACCAAAGCCCTGTTCACGTCCACTACCAGTCACTTTCCATCTGACTGCTGGACGATCATAATCAAGACTCTTAGAGACAGCTGTGCCACGTACCTCATGGGTCTCTGGTTTTCTTAATTATTGATTAAATGGAAGTACCAAACTTTTGAGTCGTCTCATCACTAAAGAGCTGAGGGGTTACATTTATACACAGGTTCCCGAGAAACATAAATTGTCAAAGGTAGGGAGTATCAGACTACAGCATGGATCTTTTACCTGAGGTTGTAGTTGTATTGAAAGACGACTGTGACCCCACAATGAAGAGAGAAAAAAGTACTGAAAAGCGATTGTAAATAAAAAAAATACCCAAAGGGAAAGCAGGAAATATATTGTAATCCAGGTAAAATACTAGCCACAATATACTACTCGGCTGGAGAGAACTTCTCTTCAGCTTGATTGGTTAGACGTCAGACTAGTGAGCCAGGGTTCTCGGGTTCGATTCCTAGAGGAGGCATTGAGATGAGTTACAATATAATACAACTTTTTTATAAACACAAGTGCCTGTAAAGATAACAAAACATACATAATGAAACCTATTCCTAAGTATTTATAATAATATCTGTCATGTACTGTACTAACAAATATAATGGAAGTGTTCACAAAAGCAGGTTGTTGGGAAAAGTACTCCTTTTATTCATCAACTTTAACAGCAGGTTTTATAGCATTATGAAGATTCAGGAAGCTGTTGCTAAGATCGGTCATTCTATGTGAGTAAACACTGTGGTGATATATATTGAACATCTGACATCAGTTCATGCTTTATCTTTCAGATTTACCCTATCAACAATACAAAGAGAAACATTCGATGTTTGGTTAAACATTAGATGCAGTTAGTGTACACCTAAGCATTTGTCACTGAGACTTTAATGTACTGACGAGGAGGCCCTCAGTGAGACAAATATCACCATGACAACAGTATTTCGTGGTTGTCATGTTGTCCTTGATCTGACAACTAGTGTCAGTTTCAAAAAGAAACAGGAAATCCGAAAGAAGATAACAGAAAATGATGGTGTTGTTTCCTACATTGTCACAAAGAAGGTAGGGATCTTTCAAGCAGAAAAAGAACAACTTACTTAAATTGTTGAATTCTGTCAGTATTCAATTGTTTATAGTCTGTGTAGATTTATCACTTATTAACAGCTTTTTCATTATTCATGACTAAGTACATGATAGATTATTTAGAAACTAGATTTATTAAATCATATCATCTTATTTTTTAGTAAAACATAGATGACTGATTTGTAAATGATAACGGAATGTCATCATAGATTAATGTGTTCAGGTTGGCATCTCAGCATATAAAGGTTTACTTGTAGTCCAAATTAAAATGAACTTTTTTCATGATATCTTCATTGACATCAAGATGTTATCAACATAAATATGCTAATTAGGAGTAAAAATAAGTTTCAGATTTAAACTGAATTATGAAATTTATTTATTGTTTCTAGAGTACTCATGTTGTATGCAATGATCCTGCCAAAACAGACTTTAGCTACAAGTGTAAGATGGCCCAGAAGTACGGCATTCCTGTTGTATCCATCTCTTTCCTGTATGACTGTGTGGATAAAGGGAGACTACTCAGTTCTGATGATTACTTAATGGTTGGCAAATCAACGTCTCAGAAACTTGGCTCTGGTAAAATTGCAGGTGAGGTTGATGAAACATGTTGTTTACCTAGGGGTGTCTGCTACAACTAATGATTCACTGTTGTAGATGTATTTCATACAGCATAGAAGCCATGGCATGGAATACTTAAACAAGTACACAAAAATACACTATTAAGATCAATTTATTTCCTAATTTATCAGAAAATAAGCATGGTAATAAGCCCAGGCATACATATTACTGTTCATTGAAATCATAAACAAATACAGTTTCCTTGTTCTGTAATAATTGTATTAATAAATGCATTGATCAGATCTCAAATTTTTGTGGAAGTAAATATGTACACTTAAGCCAATGATAAATTATTTGTAATAGCTACAAAGTACCAGATACTTGGTAAGAGGAGGAAGTCATACTTCTATCCAGCGGGAGTGAAGGCATGGCCGCTACAGGAAAAACACACTCCAATTTTCAACCACACCAAATATCAGGTGGCAAAGTATGCAGTATTACAGGTGAGAATGTTAGCACAAGAGATCCCTGTTGACTTTTATCACTGGTTGTAGAATCAGCTTGGATATAGGAGTCTGTTATTTATCAAATTCCTTGCTGTATCGTTCTTCCATTAAAGATAGCAAAAAAATAATTTTGTTGGTCATGCATGATAATTTATGGACTCAATGAAAATTGTTGGTACAATGAAGCAAGATCCAAACTCAAATTCTGTAGGAAAACTCAATCTTTTTCTTTAATTATTTTGTATGGTTTGTATTGCAGAAATATGTGAAGAGTGCAGGACGAACATTTTTCTGTGTGCTTGAAGTTCATGTTACAGAAGAATGTGATCTTCTGCCTCGACAAATTCACAGATTCAGGGTGTCCAAACACCATGGAAACCTTAAAAATATACAGGTACATTTTTATGTATATATTTTTCATATTGGAAAGTTGAAGTTAATGTTTTTGATAAAATAAATGTCCTGTATGCCAAGTTTTTTTTTATGATGTTGATATAAAAAGGATATTGTTCATTAAACTTCATAACTTTCTCCATAGGAAGGAAAACCTGAAAAAATGGAGTGTTATTATGTTGAGACTTCGGAGGAAGCCACAAAGATGTACAGTTTCCTGTACAAACAGGAGACAGACCACCCAAACCTAATGGAGGTCTCCCATGATGCACCACCAAGGGGAGTAGGCACCTTGAATTTTCAAAAGGTCAGCTAATATTTGAACTAAAAAAAATTAAACCAGTAAGTGTTTGGATCTCTATTTTACATCCTCCTTGGTACTCCAGGGATCACTGTTGCTCTCTGAACCCCTGAAACATCTTATTGAAAAACCGAAGGTTCCCCATGTACTGTACCATGTGGATAAGACAAGAATACAGATTTTATACTGTACATAAAATGAATCTCAAGGTCACATTAACGTATGTTGTACTGGCTTAGAAGTTTGATGTCGCTCCTTTGTAAGATTCAAAGGAGCGTATCAGTTTGTGATTTGTCAGTTTTTTTCCTCATGAAACTTTCTCTAGACCAATCAAATTACCTCATGTATGCTTTCAATTTTGCCGTAAAATACTCCAGGAGTGCAGAAAGTGGTAGTGATTTTATTTCTTGCATTATCGAGGATGTCTATTCTATGTTTAAAATTGAAACTTTAACTTACATCAGCTTTGCGTAAGGACTTCTGTTATCAAAGTAAAATTCATATCACAGAATGTGAATGTTCACATGAAGTTTTCCTGAACAGGTGATGGTCTCATTTGGACTGGAGAAAGCAGAGTTATCCACCCCTGTCTGTGAATTGGTGGAGGGAATATGGAAGGAAGCATATTCAGACCTGTCGGACACCTTGACCTCACCGAGCTCTGTCAAACTAGAACAGGTCAATGTTATCCAAGCACAACATCAAGATGATAACGTATTGTGGTATATAGCTGAAAAATAACATAAAAAGGCGAACATGCTGTAACTTCTCTGTTCCATGAAAAGATGTATTATATCCTGAAAGTATTCACAAATTGTGATTTAGATAACTTACTGCAGTTCTTCAGATTACACTAGTCTTAACGTCAATCTCTCAGTCGATTTTACCTTCTTCAAGCTGATATGGCAATCAATGTTTTTTAGTGAAATGAGTCAATAACAAGTTGAGGTAAGAAACCATGAGTGTTTGTTGTGGTCCTTACATTGAACTTATTACCATGGGGAATACTTTGTATGGTTGTTTTAGATTGAGAAGGCTGAAGCATTGTTAATGAAGCTGAGAGGTCAACCAGAGGACAAGCAATCTGTCCTTGATGATTATTACTCTGCCCTTCCACACAATACCAAGGTGTCTGTCAGCAGTGTAAACAACTCCTGGTTGTCTTGCGAGCAAGATATTTGTCAGGTATGTATAATTATTTCACTGATGCTGAGCAGATTAAATCATATGAAGTATGACATCATCTCACTTTAAGGTTATTGCATTGTTTGAGGTTTACAGCAGTCATGTGTAGGCTGTTCCTGAAAAGAAGGTGAATGATACAGACTCTTTTAGCCCTCTTTGGGTTTCTGCAAATCCAAGAGAAGAAAATTTTGGCAATAAATAATTTCCTATTAACCAGGTTTTTCTGTAAATGTTTGGTAGGTGATGAAGGACATGCTGACAGTCAGTGAAGCCACTGGCTGGTCACTGCGAGGATCAACTGAGTCCAAGTACAGGGCTCTTAGGTGCCAGATAGATCACAGAGGCCCTGATCATCACGTATACAAGACAGTGAAGGCCCTCATCAACAAGTCTATGGAGGGGTAAGTATGCCTCTGTCTATAGTACTACCTTTAGCAAATAGATTCAGAATCACTTAGCTTTAATCTTTATTTTACTTTTAGCAAATAGATTCAGGATCAGCTTTACTCTTTATTTTACTTTAAGCAAATAGACTCAGGATCAGTTTTGCTCTTTATTTTACTTTTAGCAAATAGATTCAGGATCAGTTTTGCTCTTTATTTTACTTTTAGCAAATAGATTCAGGATCAGCTTTGCTCTTTATCTTACTTTTAGCAAATAGACTCAGGATCAGCTTTGCTCTTTATTTTACTTTTAGCTAATAGATTCAGGATCAGCTTTACTCTTTATTTTACTTCTAGCAAATAGATTCAGGATCAGTTTTGCTCTTTATTTTACTTTTAGTTAATAGATTCAGGATCAGCTTTGGTCGTTATTTTACTTTTAGCAAATAGATTCAGGATCAGCTTTGCTCTATATTTTACTTTTAGCAAATAGATTCAGGGTCAGCTTTACTCTTTATTTTACTTCTAGCAAATAGATTCAGGATCAGCTTTGCTCTTTATTTTACTTTTAGCAAATAGACTCAGGATCAGCTTTGGTCGTTATTTTACTTTTAGCAAATAGATTCAGGATCAGCTTTGCTCTATATTTTACTTTTAGCAAATAAATTCAGGGTCAGCTTTGCTCTTTATTTTACTTTTAGCAAATAGATTCAGGATCAGCTTTGCTCTTTATTTTACTTTTAGCAAATAGATTCAGGTTCAATTTTACTCTTTATTTTACTTTTAGCTAATAGATTCAGGATCAGCGTTACTCTTTATTTTACTTTTAGCAAATAGATTCAGGATCAGTTTTACTCTTTATTTTACTTTTAGCAAATAGATTCAGGATCAGTTTTACTCTTTATTTTACTTTTAGCTAATAGATTCAGGATCAGTTTTACTCTTTATTTTACTTTTAGCTAATAGATTCAGGATCAGCTTTGCTCTTTATTTTACTTTTAGCAAATAGATTCAGGATCAGTTTTACTCTTTATTTTACTTTTAGCTAATAGATTCAGGATCAGCTTTGCTCTTTATTTTACTTTTAGCAAATAGATTCAGGATCAGTTTTACTCTTTATTTTACTTTTAGCTAATAGATTCAGGATCAGCTTTGCTCTTTATTTTACTTTTAGCAAATAGATTCAGGATCAGTTTTGCTCTTTATTTTACTTTTAGCTAATAGATTCAGGATCAGCTTTGCTCTTTATTTTACTTTTAGCAAATAGATTCAGGATCAGTTTTACTCTTTATTTTACTTTTAGCAAATAGATTCAGGATCAGTTTTACTCTTTATTTTACTTTTAGCAAATAGACTCAGGATCAGCTTTGCTCTTTATTTTACTTTTAGCAAATAGATTCAGGATCAGTTTTACTCTTTATTTTACTACTAATTACATTTTGGAAACACATAAAATTGGTGTAAGCAACTCTTTACAAACAAAAGTTGTTGAAATCAATGATTGCAGAAGCAGTTACATTTACTGGTGACAAGTTTATAGCGTTAAATGTAAACTTGCTTCTAAGTAGAAGTGGTCTATGACAATAAAAGTGAAGCTGTGAACATTGTAGACTGGTTGTGATCTGTTTTAATGGGCTCGTTATTCAAAGTATGGGTTATTTTAGGTGAAGTAATCTGAATTTTTTATGATACATATAGAAAGAACATGTTGTGATCTGAACATGCTCCTACCACTTGTTGGTTGTAAACAAAGTAATCAAACTTTTCTATTTTCTGTACATTAGGAACACCAGACTGAACATAATTAACGTGTTTGAGGTACAAAGACAGATGGAAGAGGATAACTTTACCAAGGAACTATTTGGTCAGAATCTCCTGTTTCATGCTTCAAAACCAAACAACTTTGTTGGGATTTTGTCTAGGTAAGCTCATCACCAAAGTGTTTAAACTTTACTGGTTGGGATTTTGTCTAGGTAAGCTCATCACCTAAGTGTTTATACTTTACTGGTTGGGATTTTGTCTAGGTAAGCTCATCACCAAAGTGTTTATACTTTACTGGTTGGGATTTTGTCTAGGTAAGCTCATCACCAAAGTGTTTAAACTTTACTGGTTGGGATTTTGTCTAGGTAAGCTCATCACCAAAGTGTTTATACTTTACTGGTTGGGATTTTGTCTAGGTAAGCTCATCACCTAAGTGTTTATACTTTACTGGTTGGGATTTTGTCTAGGTAAGCTCATCACCAAAGTGTTTATACTTTACTGGTTGGGATTTTGTCTAGGTAAGCTCATCACCAAAGTGTTTAAACTTTACTGGTTGGGATTTTGTCTAGGTAAGCTCATCACCAAAGTGTTTATACTTTACTGGTTGGGATTTTGTCTAGGTAAGCTCATCACCTAAGTGTTTATACTTTACTGGTTGGGATTTTGTCTAGGTAAGCTCATCACCAAAGTGTTTATACTTTACTGGTTGGGATTTTGTCTAGGTAAGCTCATCACCAAAGTGTTTAAACTTTACTGGTTGGGATTTTGTCTAGGTAAGCTCATCACCAAAGTGTTTATACTTAACTGGTTGGGATTTTGTCTAGGTAAGCTCATCACCTAAGTGTTTATACTTTACTGGTTGGGATTTTGTCTAGGTAAGCTCATCACCAAAGTGTTTATACTTTACTGGTTGGGATTTTGTCTAGGTAAGCTCATCACCAAAGTGTTTATACTTTACTGGTTGGGATTTTGTCTAGGTAAGCTCATCACCAAAGTGTTTATACTTTACTGTAGTTAATGATATACTCTGGGAACAAGCCTAATGTATGGAACATCTGCACTGGACTTAACACATAACTTGGACCCCCTGTTACAGTACATGACAGTCGTAGACAATCCAACATCAGACTTCCTTTTGGTAACAGATGGAGATATTCTCTATTAATGTCTGTATTTGTTTGGTGGTATTTAAGACAACATGAGGAAATGTTTTGAAAACTGATAAAGTTTTATTTTGTTCCCACTCAAATCTGGACAAGTGAATGAAGGGGGTGGACTCTGTGTCCTGAAAGTTTAATTTGTATCAGTATGATTATATTGGGTTCCCAAGGGGTCTTCTGATGCCAAAGGTTGTTGTGGATGACTTTGGAGGGAAGAGGACAGATGCCGGAATGTTAGGAGCCGGAATCTATTTTGCAAGTGCTGCAAGGTAAGAAAATAAAGATACATATTTACCAGGCTTCTAATGCTTGTAACTATAAGTTATGTTATTGTGTCTAGTTTACATTTCTTTTTGTAATGATGTGAGAATAGGAGAAAAATTTAATTTGATTTTGAGAGTTTCAGGTTTGAATACATACTGGTATACATGTTTAAATGTTTTCTTTCAATATTTGTGAGCACAAAGAACCAAAATCTGTATGTTTGATAATGTAATGGAGAACTGTGTATAGTAAATGTGGTTGAAAGTTTTCACACTATAACCAGGAGATAATTATGTAATACATTTCACACTATAACAAGGAGATAATGACTTATCTCACACTATAACAAGGAGATAATTACTTATCTCACACTATAACAAGGAGATAATGACTTATCTCACACTATAACAAGGAGATAATGACTTATCTCACACTATAACAAGGAGATAATTACTTATCTCACACTATAACAAGGAGATAATTACTTATCTCACACTATAACAACGAGATAATTACTTATCTCACACTATAACCAGGAGATAATTACTTATCTCACACTATAACAACGAGATAATTACTTATCTCACACTATAACAACGAGATAATTACTTATCTCACACTATAACCAGGAGATAATTACTTATCTCACACTATAACAAGGAGATAATTACTTATCTCACACTATAACAATGAGATAATTACTTATCTCACACTATAACCAGGAGATAATTACTTATCTCACACTATAACAAGGAGATAATTACTTATCTCACACTATAACAAGGAGATAATTACTTATCTCACACTATAACAAGGGGATAATTACTTATCTCACACTATAACAAGGAGATAATTACTTATCTCACACTATAACAATGAGATACTTACTTAGCTCACACTATAACCAGGAGATAATTACTTATCTCACACTATAACAATGAGATAATTACTTATCTCACACTATAACAACGAGATAATTACTTATCTCACACTATAACAACGAGATAATTACTTATCTCACACTATAACCAGGAGATAATTACTTATCTCACACTATAACAATGAGATAATTACTTATCTCACACTATAACCAGGAGATAATTACTTATCTCACACTATAACCAGGAGATAATTACTTATCTCACACTATAACCAGGAGATAATTACTTATCTCACACTATAACAATGAGATAATTACTTATCTCACACTATAACAACGAGATAATTACTTATCTCACACTATAACAACGAGATAATTACTTATCTCACACTTTGTTGATGCACCTTTTCACCAGCAGTCAGTTATTGTATTGTTTTTCCAGCACCAGTGTGAAGTACTCACAGGTCAGTAAGAGTCGGGGCACAAGGATGATGCTGGTTAATAAGGTTGCTCTAGGCAAGTGTATGGACCTATACACACATGACAAGACCCTTGAGCATGCCCCAGATGGGTACTCTAGTGTCCATGGTGTGGCCAGCACATCCAACAAAGCATCTGACTTTACGGTAAGATATTGTTAAGATTTTACAATTACGATTTAAATTTTGTCAAAATATAGTGCCGGGAGGGAGATTCTTTTGCTCCTCTGGTGATTATGTGCCATAAGGAATGATTCCAAAGTTATCTTCACGCTGGTAAAAAGTATGTCTCCTGTCCAGTCATATATTCCTTTTTCCTGTAATTTCTGTCAAAATATTGAAGGCAGTAAATATCTAAGTGAGAAAGGTGAGTGAGGACATTATTAGCAGGGAAAGGGAATTTGTATTTATGTTTTAGGAGGATGAGTATGTAGTATACTCTCAGAATCAACAGAAGATGTGCTACCTGGTGGAGTTCACCATCGGCAGTGAGACCCCTATACCTATGGAAATTGTACCCACAGACAACAGTGTTGATACTTATACTGACTCAACAACAAAAATGGACAAAATCAGTATGTATTAAATTTAAATAAAATCAGTTTGGAAACTGTAATTTGTTAAAAGATATATAATTGATTTATAGCTTTCTGATGTTTGACAATAATTTGGAGAATATGTTATAGATTTGAAGAATAAGAAGAATGTTTCTTTAGCATGATAAGTGCTCCTTTTAGTGTATTTTTGTGTATTTTGGTGTTAATTGTTTTCTGATAGTCAGGAAAATTGCCTGGTGTTGCAAAGTTTTCCTTTATAATCACTAGTAATTTGTATAATGACTGAGTCTTTAAAATATTACAGCTATTTCAATAAACCAAAAAATATTTGGATGGAATGAACATTCTTTAAGTTTGTGAATTTCTGTGATCATGACATAAAATCCTTGTTTCAGATTTAGCAGATGTGAAAGATGTCTTAGATCCCATGACAAAGGTGAAATCAGGACTGGTGGCTGATGGGAAAGACATTAATCCTGTTGAACTAACCAGTGTAAATGTGTTTGGCAAACTGAAGGACTTGGTGGCTGAGGTATTTTGATGTGAATGATATTATGTTTGACTAATTGTTTGTCAAATTCTTCCCTGTAGTTGTTTTGTTAATAGAATGAATATCAATCGCATACTTAAAGGACAGGTTACTACAGTATTTATTGTACAATTATTTTGTAAAAAATTTGTTTTATTTTCATAGTTTTTTGGCAAGCAAGATGTGTTCCAAAAAATCTTGTATGAAATGAGAATACATTTGATCACACAGGTGATTGAAGTTTTCACAGTTGTTAATACAGAAGGAGGAAAATCCAACAAAGACAGCCATTTTGTTGTTCCATTTTCTGTTCATGACATTACATCATCATCCATGATATAACATCACGATTCAATTCTGAATGAAACAGCCAATGAAAAATGCTCTAGGGTAAATTACACTAGTGACATTGAAGTAAAAATATTACATGGATGAATGCATGGAACAACAGCCAGATTATCTGATAAAGTAAAATATTGCTGTGTTTTCTACAAGTAGTGACATGACTTTTTTGATTGCTTCATAATATTTACAAGATTTTCCATTTTTGTGAAATAATTAATAATGGTACTAGTGTATTATTAATAAACAAAGTTAGTATAATTGTTACAGTAGGTAATTGTGACCTTGACATAGTGTAATTGTAACAGTAGGTAATTGTGACCTTGACATAGTGTAATTGCAACAGTAGATAATTGTGACCTTGACATAGTGCAATTGTAACAGTAGATAATTGTGACCTTGACATAGTGTAATTGTAACAGTAGGTAATTGTGACCTTGACATAGTGTAATTGTAACAGTAGGTAATTGTGACCTTGACATAGTGTAATTGTTACAGTAGGTAATTGTGACCTTGACATAGTGTAATTGTTATAGTAGATAATTGTGACCTTGACATAGTGTAATTGTTACAGCAGGTAATTGTGACCTTGACATAGTGTAATTGTTACAGTAGATAATTGTGACCTTGACATAGTGTAATTGTTACAGTAGGTAATTGTGGCCTTGATATAGTGTAATTGTTACAGTAGGTAATTGTGGCCTTGACATAGTGTAATTGTTACAGTAGGTAATTGTGACCTTGACATAGTGTAATTGTTACAGTAGATAATTGTGACCTTGACATAGTGTAATTGTTACAGTAGATAATTGTGGCCTTGATATAGTGTAATTGTTACAGTAGGTAATTGTGGCCTTGACATAGTGTAATTGTTACAGTAGGTAATTGTGGCCTTGACATAGTGTAATTGTAACAGTAGGTAATTGTGACCTTGACATAGTGTAATTGTAACAGTAGATAATTGTGACCTTGACGAGTTTGACAAAGTTTTGACTAATTTAAACTGTTGAACCTTGACATATCAGGTGAGGATTAGTTATGTCAAAACATTTATGTGACACATTATGTTCAAAACTGCAAAATAAGGTTAATTTGAGCTGATACATCCTGTCTCCTCATTTATATGGAGATTGGTGTAGTTATAACTTTAAACAGTGAGTTGTGACCTTAACCTTGTCAGGTGAAGGTTTTACAACATTACCATAACAACAGTGAGGAAATGTTGGAGGGCAAGTATGTCTTTCCCCTTGATGAGATGGCTGCAGTGTGTGGATTTGAAGCATACATCAATGACAAGCATGTGGTCGGGGAGGTGAAAGAAAAAGAGACGGCTCACCAAGAGTACAAAAAGGCTATCAGTGAGGGCCATGGGGCCTACCTGATGGATCAGGATGAAGAATCACCGGTATGTCAAACAGCTTGTTAGAATTACTATTTCAAAACAAACTTTTGTGAAAGAGTTTTAAGTATTGATTCAATGAAAGGAAAACCGAAATTCAATTTGAATTCTGATCTGAATCTATAAGGTGTTCAATCCAAATTATGTACCAGTTACAAAGGCATTAATGACTTACACAGATAAAATCTATAAAGTGTTCAATCTAAATTATGTATCAGTTACAAGGGCATTAATGACTTTAACGGATAAAATCTACAAGCAGAAGGAACCAGATAACAGAAAGTGTCAAACAGTATTATACACAAGGCGGACTCCTATGTTTTTTCCTGATGTTAGTTTTTACACCATTGTTTAATCATGAATTAATGAAAAATTAACGACAGATACGTTCAGCACTTCATTGTCCAAACACTAAATCTTACAAAGTTACCGATCACAGTCCTTTAGTAAACAAGCTTAAAATTAGTTTCTTTTGGAATTGTTGGGATCAGATTTCGTCAAAAAGTTTATACTGGTTTGACAGTTTCGTTTTTATTGTTCCTGAAGATGCACGCAACCAAGCTAAATGTTTTCATGTTTTGTGTTAACATGCTACTTTTTTAATGTACAGGTAAGTCACTTCTACAAGATGGTGACACTAATTAAGAAGCCAAACTTTAATTGGATAATTAAACTGGTAACTAATCGCCAGTGACCAAGTTTTGTGTGTACGATGGACCACAGATATGCTGTAATTAGCCATGTGTTACACATATGTGACTTTCTACTTTGTGTATGTATTTGTCGATTTGGTCAGAAGACAAACCATTGTTTTGACAAAAATCAATTTCAAGACAATAAATGAGTTTTCCCTTGCTTTCCAATGGAAGGGACTGAAAAATTGCTTTGACTCAACCGAAATTTCGACTCAATGAAATTCGAGTCATCCAAACTGAAATTACAAAGATATGATAGGAAAAAGTTCATGACTTGAAAATTATTTAAACTCTAACAGAATTTGGATTTGGATTTTTGAGACAAGTTTCAACAGTATAAGGTACATGTTCATCTTCAGCAAATCTTGAAGCTGAGGTTCTGATGATTTGACAGTTTTCATTTTCTTAACAGGATGTGTTTACAGTCAGTGTGGGAAATGTTCCGGCCAATGCAGATGTTGTTATCAAGATAACCTATGTCACAGAATTACAGGTTGAAGATGATCTTGTCAGTTTCCGTCTTCCAGGTACCTTAGCACCATGGAAAAAGAGCTCTCAGGACAGCAATGTAAGAATATAATCACCACCAGTCTATCATAAAGATTGACAGGAAGTGACAGATACACAGCCTCTTCATACTATCACAGACATTGACAGGAAGTAACAGATACACAGCCTCTTCATACCATCACAGACATTGACAGGAAGTGACAGATACACAGCCTCTTCATACTATCACAGACATTGACAGGAAGTGACAGATACACAGCCTCTTCATACTATCACAGACATTGACAGGAAGTCACAGATACACAGCCTCTTCATACTATCACAGACATTGACAGGAAGTCACAGATACACAGCCTCTTCATACTATCACAGACATTGACAGGAAGTGACAGATACACAGCCTCTTCATACTATCACAGACATTGACAGGAAGTGACAGATACACAGCCTCTTCATACTATCACAGACATTGACAGGAAGTGACAGATACACAGCCTCTTCATACTATCACAGACATTGACAGGAAGTGACAGATACACAGCCTCAACATACTATCACAGACATTGACAGGAAGTGACAGATACACAGCCTCTTCATACTATCACAGACATTGACAGGAAGTGACAGATACACAGCCTCAATAGACTATCACAGACATTGACAGGAAGTGACAGATACACAGCCTCTTCATACTATCACAGACATTGACAGGAAGTGACAGATACAAACCCTCAACATACTATCACAAACATTAACAGGACGTGACAGATACACAGCCTCAATAGACTATCACAGACATTGACAGGAAGTGACAGATACACAGCCTCTTCATACTATCACAGACATTGACAGGAAGTGACAGATACAAACCCTCAACATACTATCACAAACATTAACAGGAAGTGACAGATATACAGCCTCAATAGACTATCACAGACATTGACAGGGAGTGACAGATACACAGCCTCTTCATACTATCACAGACATTGACAGGGAGTGACAGATACACAGCCTCTTCATACTATCACAGACATTGACAGGGAGTGACAGATACACAGCCTCTTCACACTATCACAGACATTGACAGGAAGTCACAGATACACAGCCACCACAGACTATCACAAACATTGAAAGGAAGTCACAGTTTCACAGCCTTAACAGACTATCACAAACATTGACAGGAAGTCACAGATACACAGCCTCAATAGACTATCACATACATTGACAGGGAGTGACAGATACACAGCCTCAACAGACTATCACAGATATTGACAGGAAGTCACAGTTACACAGCCTCAACAGACTATCACAAACATTGACAGGAAGTCACAGTTACACAGCCTCAACAGACTATCACAAACATTGACAGGAAGTCACAGATACACAGCCACCACAGACTATCACAAACATTGACAGGAAGTCACAGTTACACAGCCTCAACAGACTATCACAAACATTGACAGGAAGTCACAGATACACAGCCTCCACAGACTATCACAAACATTGACAGGAAGTCACAGTTACACAGCCTCAACAGACTATCACAAACATTGACAGGAAGCCACAGATACACAGCTTCAACAGACCATCACAAACATTGACAGGAAGTCACAGATACACAGCCTTAACAGACTTTCACAGACATTGACAGGAAGTCACAGATGCACAGCCTCAACAGACTATCACAAACGTTGACAGGAAGTCACAGATACACAGCCTCAACAGACTATCACAAACATTGACAGGAAGTCACAGATACACAGCCTCCACAGACCATCACAGACATTGACAGGAAGTCACAGATACACAGCCTCCACAGACCATCACAAACATTGACAGGAAGCCACAGATACACAGCTTCAACAGTCCATCACAAACATTGACAGGAAGTCACAGATACACAGCCTCAATAGACTATCACATACATTGACAGGGAGTGACAGATACACAGCCTCAACAGACTATCACAGATATTGACAGGAAGTCACAGTTACACAGCCTCAACAGACTATCACAAACATTGACAGGAAGTCACAGTTACACAGCCTCAACAGACTATCACAAACATTGACAGGAAGTCACAGATACACAGCCACCACAGACTATCACAAACATTGACAGGAAGTCACAGTTACACAGCCTCAACAGACTATCACAAACATTGACAGGAAGTCACAGATACACAGCCTCCACAGACTATCACAAACATTGACAGGAAGTCACAGTCCTCACAGACTATACACAGCCTCACACAGACTATCACAAACATTGACAGGAAGTCACAGATGCACAGCCTCAACAGACTATACACACAGCCTCAACAGACTATCACAAACATTGACAGGAAGTCACAGATACACAGCCTCCACAGACCATATCACAAACATTGACAGGAAGTCACAGATACACAGCCTCAATAGACAGACTATCACAAACATTGACAGGAAGTCACAGCCTCAACAGACTATCACAAACATTGACAGGAAGTCACAGTTACACAGCAGACAGGAAGTCACAGATACACAGCCACCACAGACTATCACAAACATTGACAGGAAGTCACAGTTACACAGCCTCAACAGACTATCACAAACATTGACAGGAAGTCACAGATACACAGCCTCCACAGACTATCACAAACATTGACAGGAAGTCACAGTTACACAGCCTCAACAGACTATCACAAACATTGACAGGAAGCCACAGATACACAGCTTCAACAGACCATCACAAACATTGACAGGAAGTCACAGATACACAGCCTTAACAGACTTTCACAGACATTGACAGGAAGTCACAGATGCACAGCCTCAACAGACTATCACAAACGTTGATAGGAAGTCACAGATACACAGCCTCCACAGACTATCACAAACATTGACAGGAAGTCACAGTTACACAGCCTCAACAGACTATCACAAACATTGACAGGAAGTCACAGATACACAGCCTCAACAGACTATCACAAACATTGACAGGAAGTCACAGATACACAGCCTCCACAGACCATCACAGACATTGACAGGAAGTCACAGATACACAGCCTCCACAGACCATCACAAACATTGACAGGAAGCCACAGATACACAGCTTCAACAGTCCATCACAAACATTGACAGGAAGTCACAGATACACAGCCTTAACAGATTTTCACAGACATTGACAGGAAGTCACAGATGCACAGCCTCAACAGACTATCACAAACGTTGATAGGAAGTCACAGATACACAGCCTCCACAGACCATGACAAACATTAACTGAAAATCACAAATATTTTTTTACACTAAGACTGAGATCAAAATTGCAAGCATTAAGATGAATTTTTATGTAACAAAACTTCAAATTTAATCAAGTTTTGTAATGTTTAGATTTTTCCCCACCATCATCTGATGGTGGGCTTTTAAAACTGCCTGATGTCCATTTTTTATGACCATCCATAAATAATTTCAATTATCACTTTCTCCTGAGAATTAGAGGATGGATCTTTTCTCAAAGTTCATTTGTAGGTTTCCCTCAGTCCCTAATTGAGCCCCTTTGATTTTGGGACTGATCAGAAAAACACCATGGTCAACAGTTGACTTGTCTAGAATTTTGACATTGAAAAATTAGTATCACTATACAGTGCTTGATGGATCTTTCTCCAATTTCATATGTAGGTGCCCTTTGGTCCTTAGTTGTGCATTTTGATTTTGTATTTTGGGATAGATAAAAAATCTAATTGGCTGACAGGTGGCCATCTTTGATTTTGACAATATAACTTTGTTATTTCTTGAGTAGGACTGGATCTTTCTCAAATTTCAGAATTATGTAGATTTCTCTTGGAACCTAGTTGTGCCTTTTGGTTGTGAAACTGATTAGAAAAACAATAATGGCTAGCAACCATCATTGATTTGATAGTTAAAGGTTATCACTATTTCTTCAAAAGAATTTTTAAATTTCCTTCAGTTTAGAGCAAAAACAGGGATAAAAGAAGTGAAAAAATATTCCCAACTTTTGAAGAACAAATAGAGGTAAACTGGTGCCAACATCCCGTTTGGATCCCTGGTGTATATTTCTGACTGTTGATAAAACTGGTTTTGTTTCCTTCCCCAAGGACATTGAATGCTGTGTAGAGGTGGCAGTGGACATGCCCTTCGACATAAGAAGTGTCCATAGCCCAACCCATGAAATTATGATTGCGGTATGTATTTCATAGTTTGATTCTCAAATCACTTAAGTAAGTCACAGACAGAAATAATTATACCACTCACTTTAGTAAGGGAAGGGTGTGTATAAAGTAAGCAATTTGTCCAATTGTCCATGGTAAACTGTGCACAATATATCTCATGACCCCTTACAATTTTACTTTATGTTCAAACTATATCTTAACCCCACCAGGGTTTACCTTGGAGCTTTCAGTGATCTTTGGTCATGGTTAAAGGTCAAAGTTCACCCTTGACTACTTCTGATGTAAAAAGTTTGTGTACAAGATGCCTCATGAACCCCACCAAGATCTATACCCGACTAGAATTTGGTTGTCATCAATCAAAGTGGAAGGTCAAAAGTCATTCTTGTGTACAAGCTGTGCATGTTACTTTATATTCACACCAGACCTGTCAGGGTGTGCACCTGGTTAGATTTCAGTGCCCACATAGATTAAGGTCAGAAGAAAATCACATTTAGATTTTCGGTTGAGAAATGTTGACTAAATATATTATTGTTTCTTTTTACCACTTAATTAATGTGGAACATTTAACAACTGTTCAAAATGGAGGAAAACTATATTTAACAATAATTTTGCAGGGCTAATGTTTCCCAGATGTCCAAGCTTAGGCAAGTTCACATATATCAAATATCAGGCATGTCTCTACATTGTTACCAACATAGGCATGGTAACATAAATTTTGGGACATTTGGATTAAGTGTGAAAACATTTGCTGGGTAATTAAATTTACACTATCTTTAATGACTATTTATATATAGAATTATAAACCCCTGCATATTACCTTACGTTTCTGTTAGCATAATCCTGCACTCAAATCCATTAAACAGATCACTCTAGTGAACATATTAAAGAGGTATTATGCAGTCATGTTGTAATTTGTATTTATTTTACAAAGTAAACAAGCATTATATGATACGTAGTATTTTAAACAATTTTTTAATGCTGAAATGTATATCTGTTTTACAAACTAAGTAAGCATTCGGCAACTCCATGGCACTGAGACATTTATTATTGAGTTAGCAACCTCTTTTTTCAATTTTCAAATTGATTTTAATCACTTTTACATCAAAGTTATATTAAAAATAAATATCAACTCATTTACTTGATTTGTAATTTTGTAATAAAAAAGGACATTTTTAGTTTATTTTTTTCGAACTGTCAATAACACACCATTTTGAAAGCTTTGTGATAAAGTGAGTAAGTAAGGGCACTGAATGTATAATACAAAAAGGCAACTACTTACGGCAGAAATGTTCAATGTGTTACATCTATAAATATCAAATTGGGTGTTGATTTTATTTTGTAGAGCATTGATGATAAAGGTCAAGTGAAGAAGATAAAGAATGGCAAGGTAACATTTTCTTCATCACAGTTATGTCTGTTGAGTGAGCCTTACGCTGCGACATAGATAATATGTTAACATCGTATAGCTTCATCATCACAGTTATGTCTGTTGAGTGAGCCTTACATTGCGACATAGATAATATGTTAACATCGTATAGCTTCATCATCACAGTTATGTCTGTTGAGTGAGCCTTACACTGCGACATAGATGTTAACATCGTATAGTAGCTTCATCATCACAGTTATGTCTGTTGAGTGAGCCTTACACTGCGACATAGATGTTAACATCGTATAGCTTCATCATCACAGTTATGTCTGTTGAGTGAGCCTTACACTGCGACATAGATAATATGTTAACATCGTATAGCTTCATCATCACAGTTATGTCTGTTGAGTGAGCCTTACACTGCGACATAGATAATATGTTAACATCGTATAGCTTCATCATCACAGTTATGTCTGTTGAGTGAGCCTTACACTGCGACATAGATAATATGTTAACATCGTATAGCTTCATCATCACAGTTATGTCTGTTGAGTGAGCCTTACACTGCGACATAGATAATATGTTAACATCGTATAGCTTCATCATCACAGTTATGTCTGTTGAGTGAGCCTTACACTGCGACATAGATCATATGTTAACATCGTATAGCTTCATCATCACAGTTATGTCTGTTGAGTGAGCCTTACACTGCGACATAGATGTTAACATCGTATAGCTTCATCATCACAGTTATGTCTGTTGAGTGAGCCTTACACTGCGACATAGATAATATGTTAACATCGTATAGCTTCATCATCACAGTTATGTCTGTTGAGTGAGCCTTACACTGCGACATAGATGTTAACATCGTATAGCTTCATCATCACAGTATTTATTTAGGGGTAATTATTTTACATTGCAAATGTAGCACACTATTTTTGTAAACTTTAGTTGTCGGTTTTACATTGGAATATTGTTATGTATAAGTGCCTATCATTATAGCACATCTGTTGTTTGTCCTTTTGTGGCTCAAAATGTTCTTTGTCTCTCTCTGTCTTAAATCAGGCAGTCCTCAATGTGTCTGTGTGTACTGTAGTGTCTTGTAGTCTCTTCAGTCTGTATTTCTAGTGAGAGGTTAGCCTATCTTCAGTCTGTCTATCTGTCCTTGGGTGACTCAAGCTGCCCTAAGTTTGTCAGTTCTGTGGTGGGTCAAACTGTCCTCAGTCTGTCTGTTTTGTGATAGATCAAATTGTCCCCAGGAAGACTATTTGTCCAGTGATGGATAGAACTGTTCTAACTTTGCCTGTTTTGTGGTGAGTCAATCTGTCCTCGGTTTGTTTATCTGTCCTTTTTGCACCAAGGACCCTATTGGACCTCTTGAATTAGTTGATCATAATTTATATTTTAAATGCTGTCGTTTCCAAATTTTTGTCACTAATCTGTATATGATGAGAAAGCAAAGCAGGTCAATGTTACAGTCAGATGTACCTTGGTTATATTGTAGCCTGAACAATCTACAGTCCTTGTGGTGATGGAACCAAATCTAAATATTGGTGATGGCTTTCAACTTCTTTTGGAGTTAGCAGAGGCTCATGTCCCTCGTATGTGGGTAGAACAGAGTGAAGATGATCCAACAAAGCAGGTGAGAGATCAGTATGGGAATCTTAATACAACTTCTTCCTCAAGAAGTTTTTAATTCATTTTAATTTGTAAGAAGTTCACATGAAATTTGGTAGGAGAGAAGCAGCAGTCAAGCTTGGTTTTCAACTGTTTTATCCTAGGCCTGTATGTTGACATTGTACTGTTTTATCCTAGGCCTGTATGTTGACATTGTACTGTTTATCCTTGCCCTATATGTTGACATTGTACTGTTTTATCCTAGGCCTGTACGTTGACATTGTTCTGTTTATACTAGGCCTGTGTGTTGACATTGTACTGTTTATCCTTGCCCTATATGTTGACATTGTACTGTTTTATCCTAGGCCTGTATGTTGACATTGAACTGTTTATACTAGGCTTGTGTGTTGACATTGTACTGTTTTATCCTAGACCTGTATGTTGACATTGTACTGTTTTATCCTAGGCCTGTATGTTGACATTCTACTGTTTTATCCTAGGCCTGTATGTTGACATTCTAATGTTTTATCCTAGACCTGTACGTTGGCATCGTAATGTTCACTCTAGACCTGTATGTTGACATGTTGACATTTTATTATTCACCCTAGACCTGTATGTTTAGATTCTAATGTTCACCCAAGACCTATATATTGACATTCTACTGTTTATACTAGACCTGTATGTTGACATTGTACTGTTTATATTAGGCCTGTATGTTGACATTTTACTGTTTATCCTAGCCCTGTATGTTGACATTTTACTGTTTATACTAGGCCTGTATGTTTAGATTCTAATGTTCACTCTAGCCCTATATGTTGACATTTTACTGTTTAAACTAGGCCTGTACGTTGACATTGTACTGTTTATATTAGGCCTGTATGTTGACATTTTACTGTTTATCCTAGCCCTGTATGTTGACATTTTACTGTTTATACTAGGCCTGTATGTTGACATTCTAATGTTCACTCTAGCCCTATATGTTGACATTGAACTGTTTATACTAGGCCTGTGTGTTGACATTGTACTGTTTATCCTTGCCCTATATGTTGACATTCTACTGTTTTATCCTAGGCCTGTATGTTGACGTTTTACCCCGAGTTTGAGGCCTGTGAGGACAATGAGTCAGAGGTCATCCTCATGCTTGACTTGTCCAACTCCATGACAGACAAGGGTTTGAATGAGGCCAAGAAGATTCTGCTTCTTATCCTCCACTTCCTGCCTAAAACCTGGAAATTCAATGTTGTCATTTTTGGGACAGGTAAGTACATTGGTTAAACTTCAGATTGTAGCTTTCACATATAAATTTTTAGAAGCTTTGTTATCTCTGAAGTGAAACTGAAGTGTAATGGTTTCCTTGAATTGGGACATTGAATGGTTGCTGGAGAATTTAGTTGTGTTCATATAGGGATGTTTTTGTGTGTCTGCTGGATTTACATAGCATTTTTTAAATTATGACTTGTCTGTTGTCTTCATCAGCTTTCCGTGAACTTTTCCCTTCAAGCCAACCGAAGAACAAGTCCAGTGTCTCTACAGCTGAAGTTCTAATACAGGTCAGTAACATGAGGTACCTCCACCATATCATAAGTGGTTGTTGTCCATTTGTAAACCACTCTCATCATCACTATTACTTTGAAACAGCTACAGGGATCTTCTTGGAATTTATTAGAAATAATTGTTATTTAGCGGTAATTAATGATGATAAGGGATATTACAGGAATTTATTAGAAATAATTGTTATTTAGCGGTAATTAATGATGATAAGGGATATTACAGGAATTTATTAGAAATAATTGTTATTTAGCGGTAATTAATGATGATAAGGGATATTACAGGAATTTATTAGAAATAATTGTTATTTAGCGGTAATTAATGATGATAAGGGATATTACAGGAATTTATTAGAAATAATTGTTATTTAGCGGTAATTAATGATGATAAGGGATATTACAGGAATTTATTAGAAATAATTGTTATTTAGCGGTAATTAATGATGATAAGGGATATTACAGGAATTTATTAGAAATAATTGTTATTTAGCGGTAATTAATGATGATAAGGGATATTACAGAGCCATTGATAAGGAAAATGTTTCACTCTTTGCTGATCCAATCAGCATCACTCAACAGTGTAATTGACTATTTAATGTTGAAAGTCACCTTTATCATTACAGTCTGTAGATGCAAACATGGGAAATACAGATTTGTACCGACCTTTACATTCATTCTACCTGCTCAAACCAGAGAGTGCATTACGGAATATTTTCCTTGTGTCTGATGGGCATATTAACAATCAGGACATCACCATGGACACTGTACACAAGAATTCCCAGCACACGCGAGTGTTTACCTTTGGTGTTAGGTATGTAATCTTCTTAACTCCCATATTTTGTACTTACCAATTTAAATTTGCAAATTTTCTTGAAATAATTTTAAGTAGACCTCTTTAAGAAGATTAATCAAAATATTGATACAATGATTATTTCCTCCCACCTTGTGTAACATCACTGTCCTTGTTTATTCTTTTATTAATCTATATATATTTGTAAGGTCATCTAACCCTAAGGGTCATGATCAGGCTTCGTCAATTGTCATTCACCGTGCATAAACTTCTGACATTTTAACTTCTTCTGAAGTTCCAACAGAGGAATTGAGCTCAAACTTGCATGAAATGATCCTGAGATGGTCCTGACAAAGGATTGTTATTTTTTGGGTCTCTCTGAAATCCAAGATGGCCACCATGACTGCCATCTTGAAAATCATACTTTTAGAAAGATTTCATTCAAAATAGAAAAAATATCCCTTCTCCCTGCTGTTAAAGACCATTAACGACTGTGGGCTTCATTCTTTTCTATTTATTACAGCAGTATGATGAACCGTCACGTGCTTGGAGCACTGGCTCGTGTTGGAGCTGGAGTATTCGAAGGATTTGATAGTAAAGCAAAGTCAAAGTGGGAAGAAAAGGTAAAACACATTATTAACGAGATACTTTTATAAGATAGGTAATCTGAATACATTAAAACAAGTTGTTTTGTTATGGTTTCATGATTTGGATATGTAACAGAGGTCATTATTTGTTTTAAAGCCTCTGGTAATGATCAACTCCAGATGCTCTGGTTTACTTGTCATGCCCCAGTCAAACCAAAAATCTCTCCAGCTTACCAGTATACTGTGGCTAGTATTTTACCAGGGTTACTTACTCTCCCTTTAGGAAAGAACTTGTCCTTGAGTGTCTAGTGGTTAAAGCAATGCAAAGTATCATTCCCAAGTCTCTATACAAGTGTTAAACTTGTAATCAAGATCATAATTGATTTCAATGCCTCCTTTACAATTCGAACTCGTGACCTTTGGCTTACTAGTCTTTTGCTGAACCAATCTAACTAAGAAGATGTATCAAGCCCAGCGGTACAAACGACTTGATGATATTTGTTTCTTGGTCATATTAGCATGTTTAATTGTAGAGAGTGTTAACAGTTGTATGGAGGGGGGATGATCTCCCAGTTTTCAAATGAATGTTCTCGGATTTTCCAAGGTGAAGTCCCAGATTGCTAAAGCAGGTCAACCTGGACTGACATCAGTGGCTGTCTCCTGGCAACAGGAATATGGTGCTCCGCCTCCAAAACAGGCACCCAATCAAATTACAGCTGTATTTAGTGGATCAAGGATAGTAGTTTATGGATTTGTTCAGAACTGTGCCAGCGTAAGTGCTTCTATATGTCCTTCATGTCAAATCTTCATATTAACTTCATTTTACAACTATTGCAAAAACACTTGTAGCTAAAAATATGAATCACTGTTGTTAGCCTGGAGTAAGTGTGGGGTCTTAATGAGGGAGGAAACCAGAGTATTGAGGAAAACCCAGGTATTGTTGGGTTGGTGTATATGACCATTTCAATTTGCAGGAACATAAAAAACCTTAGTGATGGGAATTTATGGGAAATGTTATGTCAGTCCTGTAATAGCCATGTACTATCTTTTGATGGCTAATGTATCATATTTATTGATTGTATTGAAATTTCAATCTAAGCATGTTTATGTGAAGCTCTCTTAATTCAAAGAATGAAGTGGAAGTTTTCATAGGCTGGTGTCAGATTGTTTTGTGGCATTATAGTTAAAAGCTATACTAGTAGTTAAACTTAACTTTCTTCACATCAAAGTGATCCATGAGGGAATAGAACTCATCTGACTGGAATTTCTCAGGAAATCACTGCCATGTGATCTGTGATACATTCTGACAATTTTCCATGTATGTAAGTTTGATTGTGCCAACTTTATGTATAATTTTGCTAGATTGATATTTAGGCACAATATTTCAAATCTCTTGACTTACTTTTATACTCATGGGCTTATGATGGCAAAATACAGGTCTGCTCTTTGTGACTTGAGGAAATGACTATATAACAACGCTGTATTACTTCACAGGCAACCCTGACCGCTGAAATAGGTGACCAAGAAATATCGGCTGTAGTGACCAAATCTGACCGCTATGTATCTAAAGGAAAGGTAAAACTCACATAATCAAATTGTTTGTTACTTTGGATATTTGTCCAAATTAATATCGTTGGATCTCATGTAAATTGATTTCAGAAAGTGGTCCTTTTACCAATATGATCACCAATACATCTCAAGGTGTTGAATCTCCTCTATCCCTCACTTTATTTATGTTACGACAGATTTTGCACCAGCTGGCAGCCAAAGCTATCATCCGTGACTGGGAGGATGGACTCTTGTCATCAGACGGTCTCAATCAACAGGTGAGATTTGTATTTTAAGAACATCATCTTTGGTCAAATATGAGAAAAGCTGGACATTGTTTGTATTTCAAGGTCAAATTTTAAGGATTGTACTTCAAGGTCAAACTTTAAAATAAAACTTCAGGTTTTTTGTAAATGTAGTGGTGTTGCATCATTTCTGATGTGTTTTTGTGCAGTCACCTTTATCCTTTCACCTTGACAGAGGATGAAGATGGACATGAAGGATTACATTATCAGACTGAGCAAGGAGTTCTCCATCGTCACTCAGCTGACAAGCTTCATAGCTGTTGAGAAGCGTGACAAGGTTTGATTGAGGGAAAGAACAAATAATTTAATTGAAACTCTGAATTGGACATATGTTATGTTAACTGTATTGTTACAAAAATTCATTTCTTTTTTTTAACTTTGCTGCCAGGTATTGAGGGAGAAATTGGTTAACATTTGATTTAAAATTTTGCGCACAGAAAAACTTTTCTAGTTTGTCATATATTTGACTATCATATGTTGAATCTCACACATTTGACTTTGAGGGTCAGATATCACATTTTTGGTCTGTACTGTCAATCATATTAGTCCAATGATAAAATAAAATGTCTGTATGCTTGTCTGATTAGTTTGTTCTGTATACATATAAAATTTATGATGACCAGTGTTTCTTTCAGGATGAAGAGGTGACCTCACCAGATATTGATGACCTGCTAATGTTGGAACATACTGAAATTTGTACATATCTTGGCCCTCATGTTGTTCTAGATGAATTGTGGGAAGTTATCGCACCAGATGTAAGAATTTTAGTTCACCTGAGACAGAGTTTTATGCTGACCAATTACAATCATTGCTTTGTATCTGGCATTCTGCATCTTAAAATCCTCCAAACTGTTTTCAGTGAAATTTTGCGGAAGCCTGCCCTGGCCAATGATGAAAAAATTTAGTGAATTATATGGTCACCTGTTAGCAGGGGCCTGAGGGGTGGGTCCAAAAGGGGTCCAATTGACTCAAATTTCAAAAATCTTTCTCTTCTCATGGTAGAATCAAATGCTCTTCCTGTATGGATAGGTCTTAGGGTAACCAAAATTGGTAACCTTGGTACCCCCTCCCCAGGGTCTCACATTTTCCCCTATGGAGGAGTAAAGCTTGCTACAGTTTGTATATGTAAAGTGCATTTTTGAGCTTAATTTGTTTCATTTCCATTGGAAATATTTCAAACTTGGTTAAAATTATTTTCAAAGGATGACAGCTTGATGATATGCACATATTGATCCTGGCTAACCTCCAGGGGCTGATGGATGGGGCTAAATTTACTAAAATTTCAAAAATCATCTTCTCAACACCTAGATACGCTCTTCATGGATGGAAAGGTTTTAAGGTGGCTTTACCAAAATTATGAATTTCTTAACCCCAGGGTCTCACATTCCTCCTTTGGGAAGGGAAGAAGTTTACTATTTTGTTTTTTTTTTAGGAAAATTGTATTTTTATTATTATTTATTTTCCACTGGAAATAACTTAATAAGAATTTTTAGTAAAGGATTACAGTTTTGACTGTATGCATATATTGACCCTCAAGAACTTGAATCTTATCAATTAAGACTTACTATCATTAATATCTCAATATCTTTTTCATCACACTTAAAAGCTACTTACCCTTTAACCTTTATATTCAGTATTGCTTACATCATGTGGCAGTCAAGGCTTCAGGCCTGAGGTTGAATTTAATTTAGATTTTAGGACTGTTCTTCTTGGCTTTTATAAAAGGTCATGTATGTGCTAAATTAAATTTCATCAAAGTAGTACCAAAATCCAGCAATGAAACATGATGATACTAAATCTAAGGCATCTTAAACAATTAGAACTGGTTTTTGATGCTGTCCTATATTCATCAGGAGATCACTAACAACTAGACATTTTACAGTAAATTGTCACCTATTCAGAATTGTTTCCATCGAGTCAGTAAAAATGTCCTGTCACTACGTCACTCTTGTTTGTTAATAGGAGGAGTCTTCTAATGCTGATTCAGCCGAGTATTCTCCTGACAATGTGAGTCTTTACCATCATAATATCTATAATGGTGTGAGTCTTTACCATCGTAATATCTATAATGGTGTGAGTCTTTACCATCGTAATATCTATAATGGTGTGAGTCTTTACCATCGTAATATCTATAATGGTGTGAGTCTTTACCATCGTAATATCTATAATGGTGTGAGTCTTTACCATCGTAATATCTATAATGGTGTGAGTCTTTACCATCGTAATATCTATAATGTTGTGAGTCTTTACCATCGTAATATCTATAATGGTGTGAGTGAGTCTTTACCATCGTAATATCTATAATGGTGTGAGTCTTTACCATCATAATATCTATAATGGTGTGAGTCTTTACCATCGTAATATCTATAATGGTGTGAGTCTTTACCATCGTAATATCTATAATGGTGTGAGTCTTTACCATCGTAATATCTATAATGGTGTGAGTCTTTACCATCGTAATATCTATAATGGTGTGAGTCTTTACCATCATAATATCTCTGATTTCCTGTTTGCCTAACTACCTCACAACATGATGATAATTTCAGTAACTATACATTTGAATTTCCACCCTTACTTATTGAAGGCTAATATTATGCACAAGTTAAGGCCTGTGTACAAGATAACTACGATATTGTTAATCAGTGAGACCTTTATATGGTTATATTTTGGTCAATAGTCAATGTATTTTAGGTAACATCTAACCCGTTGTTGAAATCAAAAGGATTGTGGATAGGGTGTATATCTTAATGAACCTTGTTGATTTTTAAAAAAAATTTAATTATTACATGTTTTTGTTTTTTTTTTCCTTTTGTTTTTTTTTAATTTTATATTCTAATAACAGCCAGTTCTTTACACATAACATAATTATCTTTATTTGATTTGTTAGGAAATATTGGAAAAGAAACTGTTCTATCCTGTAAGTTTTTTCTTTAGTAGTTAAAAGGAATTTAACTGGGTGTATCTCTTGATTCACCATGTGTGAGATATGATACTGTTAGCAAATGTTTTGAAGTTAAGTGTAAGAGAGAAGTTTAAATATTGGTTCACCATGTGTGAGATATGATACTGTCAGCAAATGTTTTGAAGTTAAGTGTAAGAGAGAAGTTTAACTTTTGGTTCACCATGTGTGAGATATGATACTGTCAGCAAATGTTTTGAAGTTAAGTGTAAGAGAGAAATTTAACTTTTGGTTCACCATGTGTGGGATATGATACTGTCAGCAAATGTTTTGAAGTTAAGTGGAAGAGAGAATTTTAACTTTTGGTTCACCATGTGTGAGATATGATACTGTCAGCAAATGTTTTGAAGTTAAGTGGAAGAGAGAAGTTTAACTTTTGGTTCACCATGTGTGAGATATGATACTGTCAGCAAATGTTTTGAAGTTAAGTGTAAGAGAGAAGTTTAACTTTTGGTTCACCATGTGTGAGATATGATACTGTCAGCAAATGTTTTGAAGTTAAGTGGAAGAGAGTAGTTTAACTTTTGGTTCACCATGTGTGAGATATGATACTGTCAGCAAATGTTTTGAAGTTAAGTGTAAGAGAGAAGTTTAAATATTGGTTCACCATGTGTGAGATATGATACTGTCAGCAAATGTTTTGAAGTTAAGTGTAAGAGAGAAGTTTAACTTTTGGTTCACCATGTGTGGGATATGATACTGTCAGCATTTGTTTTGAAGTTAAGTGTAAGAGAGAAGTTTAACTTTTGGTTCACCATGTGTGAGATATGATACTGTCAGCAAATGTTTTGAAGTTAAGTGTAAGAGAGAAGTTTAACTTTTGGTTCACCATGTGTGAGATATGATACTGTCAGCATTTGTTTTGAAGTTAAGTGTAAGAGAGAAGTTTAAATATTGGTTCACCATGTGTGAGATATGATACTGTCAGCAAATGTTTTGAAGTTAAGTGTAAGAGAGAAGTTTAACTTTTGGTTCACCATGTGTGGGATATGATACTGTCAGCATTTGTTTTGAAGTTAAGTGTAAGAGAGAAGTTTAACTTTTGGTTCACCATGTGTGAGATATGATACTGTCAGCATTTGTTTTGAAGTTAAGTGTAAGAGAGAAGTTTAACTTTTGGTTCACCATGTGTGAGATATGATACTGTCAGCAAATGTTTTGAAGTTAAGTTGAAGAGAGTAGTTTAACTTTTGGTTCACCATGTGTGAGATATGATACTGTCAGCAAATGTTTTGAAGTTAAGTGTAAGAGAGAAGTTTAAATATTGGTTCACCATGTGTGAGATATGATACTGTCAGCAAATGTTTTGAAGTTAAGTGTAAGAGAGAAGTTTAAATATTGGTTCACCATGTGTGGGATATGATACTGTCAGCATTTGTTTTGAAGTTAAGTGTAAGAGAGAAGTTTAACTTTTGGTTCACCATGTGTGGGATATGATACTGTCAGTGTTTCTTAAGTAGTTAGAAGAGGGAATTATAACGTTGAGTTCTTCCCATATCCCTTATGACTGTGTCTTTTTTTATGATTAACTTTTGAGAAGTGTTTAATGCACCGGGATCTCTGCTATAGTAACTACTTTGATCTAATTAGATAATTGTGAGAGAATTAACTTAAACACCAAATGAAAATATCAAATTTTCATGAAACCTGGTTGGTACCCTTGTTAAATTAATCCCTTGACCAAGTTTGATAAACAGCAAATTCTGCACATAGATAATGAGGCTACTGTGACCTGATCAAGATAATGAGGCTACTGTGACATGATTGAAATAATGAGGCTACTGTGACCTGATTGAGATAATGAGGCTGATGTGACCTGATTGAGATAATGAGGCTGATGTGACCTGATTGAGATAATGAGGCTACTGTGACCTGATTGAGATAATGAGGCTGATGTGACCTGATTGAGATAATGAGGCTGCTGTGACCTGATTGAGTGTTTTCTTTAATTTCTCTCCACACGATATTTTTAGAAGGACTGGTAGAATTTTGAAGAAACTTGGTTGGTTCACTTGTTACCTTAATCCCTCTCCCAATTTTGACTAACGGTGAATTCTGCTCATATTTAATGAGGCTGCTGTGACTTGGTTGATTTCTTTAATCACTCTATGGGAAATCTTTCTGCACCTTATCTTAAGAAGAAATGATAAGAATTTTTAGGAAACTTGCTTTACAGACTTATTACATTAATTCCTTCTTCAGGTTTGAGTATCTGCAAACTCTATGCATACTTGATGAGACTGCTGTGACCTGATTGGCTGATATTTTGTGACACTCTAACTGAATGCTTTCCACGTGTTATCTTTTGTAGGAACAAATGAATTATGAGGAGGCTTGGTTGGTAGACTTGTTACCTTAATCTCTTGTTAAAGTGTGATTATTGGCAAATTCTGTGCATATTTAATGAGGCTGGTGTAACCTGATTGGCTGATATTTTTTCCAGTTTTCCATGTTGATCTTGACTATGGATACACAAGCTCATCAACGTACTAATTTGCCAGAGTAATGATGCACTAAAATTTGATCACACAAATTTAGTATATTTACATAAAATACCCTAATATCCCAACTGTTGATCACTGCTAGTGTTTATCATATTAGAAAACAACACTTTCAAACAGGTTAATAGATTGAGAAATTAAGATGAAGGATTTTTTTCATTGACAGTCAATTTTATCACCTGGAAATTCATACTGGTCCCATAATTCAAAGATGAGGAAAACCACATTTCTTAAGACTTTTGACAAGGGTTATGCTGATAAGGGAATGATTTCTTAACAATATCTGACAAAAACTTCTGCTTGATACAGCTCTGATTAATATCAAATTCTAATCAAGTCTTCAGAATTGGATAGAGAAGGGAAGGAGGAATTGGCCTTGGAAATGAGTTGTGAAGTAGAAGACCAGTATGAGGTGTTAGATTGTTTACAGTTAGAGCAGTACAAGTAAGTACTACAGCATCAGATGTTAGATTGTTTACAGTCAGAGCAGTATAAGTAAGTACTACAGCATCAGATGTTAGATTGTTTACAGTCAGAGCAGTACTACAGCATCAGATGTTAGATTGTTTACAGTCAGAGCAGTACTACAGCATCAGATGTTAGATTGTTTACAGTCAGAGCAGTACTACAGCATCAGATGTTAGATTGTTTACAGTCAGAGCAGTACTACAGCATCAGATGTTAGATTGTGTACAGTCAGAGCAGTACTACAGCATCAGATGTTAGATTGTTTACAGTCAGAGCAGTACTACAGCATCAGATGTTAGATTGTGTACAGTCAGAGCAGTATAAGTAAGTACTACAGCATCAGATGTTAGATTGTTTACAGTCAGAGCAGTATAAGTAAGTACTACAGCATCAGATGTTAGATTGTGTACAGTCAGAGCAGTATAAGTAAGTACTACAGCATCAGATGTTAGATTGTGTACAGAGCAGTACTACAGCATCAGATGTTAGATTGTGTACAGTCAGAGCAGTATAAGTAAGTACTACAGCATCAGATGTTAGATTGTGTACAGTCAGAGCAGTATAAGTAAGTACTACAGCATCAGATGTTAGATTGTGTACAGTCAGAGCAGTACTACAGCATCAGATGTTAGATTGTTTACAGTCAGAGCAGTATAAGTAAGTACTACAGCATCAGATGTTAGATTGTGTACAGTCAGAGCAGTACTACAGCATCAGATGTTAGATTGTGTACAGTCAGAGCAGTATAAGTAAGTACTACAGCATCAGATGTTAGATTGTGTACAGTCATTGTGTACAGTCAGAGCAGTATAAGTAAGTACTACAGCATCAGATGTTAGATTGTGTACAGTCAGAGCAGTATAAGCATCAGATGTTAGATTGTGTACAGTCAGAGCAGCTATCAGATGTTAGATTGTTTACAGTCAGAGCAGTATAAGTAAGTACTACAGCATCAGATGTTAGATTGTGTACAGTCAGAGCAGTATAAGTAAGTACTACAGCATCAGATGTTAGATTGTGTACAGTCAGAGCAGTACTACAGCATCAGATGTTAGATTGTGTACAGTCAGAGCAGTACAGCATCAGATGTTAGATTGTGTACAGTCAGAGCAGTATAAGTAAGTACTACAGCATCAGATGTTAGATTGTGTACAGTCAGAGCAGTATAAGTAGATGTTAGATTGTGTACAGTACTACAGCATCAGATGTTAGATTGTGTACAGTCAGAGCAGTATAAGTAAGTACTACAGCATCAGATGTTAGATTGTGTACAGTCAGAGCAGTACTACAGCATCAGATGTTAGATTGTGTACAGTCAGAGCAGTATAAGTAAGTACTACAGTCAGATGTTAGATTGTGTACAGTCAGAGCAGTACAGCATCAGATGTTAGATTGTGTACAGTCAGAGCAGTACTACAGCATCAGATGTTAGATTGTTTACAGTCAGAGCAGTACTACAGCATCAGATGTTAGATTGTGTACAGTCAGAGCAGTACTACAGCATCAGATGTTAGATTGTGTACAGTCAGAGCAGTACTACAGCATCAGATGTTAGATTGTGTACAGTCAGAGCAGTATAAGTAAGTACTACAGCATCAGATGTTAGATTGTTAGATTACAGTCAGAGCAGTATAAGTAAGTACTACAGCATCAGATGTTAGATTGTGTACAGTCAGAGCAGTATAAGTAAGCTACAGCATCAGATGTTAGATTGTGTACAGTCAGAGCAGTATATAGTAAGTACAGCATCAGATGTTAAATTCTACATGTTGTAAGTAGGCATCAGAGCAGTATTGTTTACAGTCAGTAAGTACTACAGCATCAGATGTTAGATTGTGTACAGTCAGAGCAGTATAAGTAAGTACTACAGCATCAGATGTTAGATTGTGTACAGTCAGAGCAGTATATGTTAGATGTTAGATTGTGTACAGTCAGAGCAGTTTAAGTACTACAGCATCAGAGTTAGTCAGAGCAGTACAGTCAGAGCAGTTATAAGTTGTACTACAGCATCAGATGTTAGATATTGTTCAGATGTTAGTCTACCATAAGAGTTATATGTTGTCTACCATAACCTGGAGTTAATGTTGTACTACAGTTGTCTACCATAACCTGGAGTTATATGTTGTCTACCATAACCTGAGTTATATGTTGTCTACATAGTCTGGAGTATATGTTGTCTACCATAACCTGGAGTTATATGTTGTCTACCATAACCTTGAGTTATATGTTGTCTGCAATAACCTGGAGCTATATGTTGTCTACCATAACCTGGAGTTATATGTTGTCTATCATAGCCTGAAGTTATATGTTGTCTACCATAATCTGGAGTTATATGTTGTCTACCATAACCTGGAGCTATATGTTGTCTGCAATAACCTGGAGCTATATGTTGTCTACCATAATCTGGAGTTATATGTTGTCTACTATAACCTCAGAGTTATATGTTGTCTACAGTCTGGAGTTATATGATGTGTACTCCAATGTTTGTTATAAAACAATTGTTGAATAATTTGTTGTATAGATGTTAAAATGGATTGTCAATCCTGAAATAATTTCTAAATGGTCATCATTCTTGATTTGAAGGGCTCCTGTGGTACAGTTTTCCAAAGATAGAATATTACCAATACCTTCTAAGGTGAGTATATCCAATAAAAGCTTGAATCTTATCAACTAGATATGTGATTTGGTACAGTGACCTGATTGAGATATGTGTGACCTGATTGAGATAATGAGGCTACTGTGACCTGATTGAGATAATGTGTACTGTGACCTGATTGAGATAATGAGGCTGCTGTGACCTGTATTGAGATAATGAGGCTACTTGTGACCTGATTGAGATAATGACTGTGACCTGATTGAGATAATGAGGCTGCTGTGACCTGATTGAGATAATGAGGCTGCTGTGACCTGATTGAGATAATGAGGCTGCTGTGAACTGATTGAGATAATGAGGCTACTGTGATGATTGAGATAATGTGTGACCTGATTGAGATAATGAGGCTGCTGTGACCTGATTGAGTGTTTTCTTTAATTTCTCTCCACTCGATATTTTTAGAAGGACTGGTAGAATTTTGAAGAAACTTGGTTGGTTCACTTGTTACCTTAATCCCTCTCCCAATTTTGACATACGGTGAATTCTGCTCATATTTAATGAGGCTGCTGTGACTTGGTTGATTTCTTTAATCACTCTATGGGAAATCTTTCTGCACCTTATCTTAAGAAGAAATGATAAGAATTTTTAGGAAACTTGCTTTATAGACTTATTACATTAATTCCTTCTTCAGGTTTGAGTATCTGCAAACTCTATGCATACTTGATGAGACTGCTGTGACCTGATTGGCTGATATTTTGTGACACTCTAACTGAATGCTTTCCACATGTTATCTTTTGTAGGAACAAATGAATTATGAGGAGGCTTGGTTGGTAGACTTGTTACCTTAATCTCTTGTTAAAGTGTGATTATTGGCAAATTCTGTGCATATTTAATGAGGCTGGTGTGACCTGATTAGCTGATATTTTTTCCAGTTTTCCATGTTGATCTTGACTATGGATACACAAGCTCATCAACGTACTAATTTGCCAGAGTAATGATGCACTAAAATTTGATCACACAAATTTAGTATATTTACATAAAATACCCTAATATCCCAACTGTTGATCACTGCTAGTGTTTATCATATTAGAAAACAACACTTTCAAACAGGTTAATAGATTGAGAAATTAAGATGAAGGATTTTTTTCATTGACAGTCAATTTTATCACCTGGAAATTCATACTGGTCCCATAATTCAAAGATGAGGAAAACCACATTTCTTAAGACTTTTGACAAGGGTTATGCTGATAAGGGAATGATTTCTTAACAATATCTGACAAAAACTTCTGCTTGATACAGCTCTGATTAATATCAAATTCTAATCAAGTCTTCAGAATTGGATAGAGAAGGGACAGGAGGAATTGGCCTTGGAAATGAGTTGTGAAGTAGAAGACCAGTATGAGGTGTTAGATTGTTTACAGTTAGAGCAGTACAAGTAAGTACTACAGCATCAGATGTTAGATTGTTTACAGTCAGAGCAGTATAAGTAAGTACTACAGCATCAGATGTTAGATTGTGTACAGTCAGAGCAGTACTACAGCATCAGATGTTAGATTGTTTACAGTCAGAGCAGTATAAGTAAGTACTACAGCATCAGATGTTAGATTGTTTACAGTCAGAGCAGTACTACAGCATCAGATGTTAGATTGTGTACAGTCAGAGCAGTATAAGTAAGTCTACAGCATCAGATGTTAGATTGTGTACAGTCAGAGCAGTATAAGTAAGTACTACAGCATCAGATGTTAGATTGTGTACAGTCAGAGCAGTACTACAGCATCAGATGTTAGATTGTGTACAGTCAGAGCAGTACTACAGCATCAGATGTTAGATTGTTTACAGTCAGAGCAGTACTCTGTTGTTAGATTGTGTACAGTCAGAGCAGTACTACAGCATCAGATGTTAGATTGTGTACAGTCAGAGCAGTATAATTTGTAGATGTTAGATTGTGTACAGTCAGAGCAGTATAAGTAAGTACATCAGATGTTAGATTGTGTACAGTCAGAGCAGTATAAGTAAGTACTACAGCATCAGATGTTAGATTATTTACAGTCAGAGCAGTACTACAGCATCAGATGTTAGATTGTGTACAGTCAGAGCAGTACTAGAGCAGTACTACAGCATCAGATGTTAGATTGTGTACAGTCAGAGCAGTACTACAGCATCAGATGTTAGATTGTGTACAGTCAGAGCAGTACTACAGCATCAGATGTTAGATTGTTTACAGTCAGAGCAGTACTACAGCATCAGATGTTAGATTGTTTACAGTCAGAGCAGTACTACAGCATCAGATGTTAGATTGTGTACAGTCAGAGCAGTATAAGTAAGTACTACAGCATCAGATGTTAGATTGTTTACAGTCAGAGCAGTAATACAGCATCAGATGTTAGATTGTGTACAGTCAGAGCAGTATAAGTAAGTACTACAGCATCAGATGTTAGATTGTGTACAGTCAGAGCAGTATTACAGCATCAGATGTTAGATTGTTTACAGTCAGAGCAGTACTACAGCATCAGATGTTAGATTGTGTACAGTCAGAGCAGTATAAGTAAGTACTACAGCATCAGATGTTAGATTGTGTACAGTCAGAGCAGTATATGTAAGTACTAGAGCTTCAGATGTTAGATTGTGTACAGTCAGAGCAGTACTACAGCATCAGATGTTAGATTGTGTACAGTCAGAGCAGTATAAGTAAGTACTACAGCATCAGATGTTAGATTGTGTACAGTCAGAGCAGTATAAGTAAGTACTACAGCATCAGATGTTAGATTGTGTACAGTCAGAGCAGTACTACAGCATCAGATGTTAGATTGTTTACAGTCAGAGCAGTACTACAGCATCAGATGTTAGATTGTGTACAGTCAGAGCAGTATAAGTAAGTACTACAGCATCAGATGTTAGATTGTGTACAGTCAGAGCAGTATAAGTAAGTACTACAGCATCAGATGTTAGATTGTGTACAGTCAGAACAGTATAAGTAAGTACTACAGCATCAGATGTTAGATTGTGTACATCTGTACAGTCAGAGCAGTATAAGTAAGTACTACAGCATCAGATGTTAGATTGTTTACAGTCAGAGCAGTATAAGTAAGTACTACAGCATCAGATGTTAGATTGTTTACAGTCAGAGCAGTATAAGTAAGTACTACAGCATCAGATGTTAGATTGTGTACAGTCAGAGCAGTATAAGTAAGTACTACAGCATCAGATGTTAGATTGTTTACAGTCAGAGCAGTATAAGTAAGTACTACAGCATCAGATGTTAGATTGTTTACAGTCAGAGCAGTACTACAGCATCAGATGTTAGATTGTTTACAGTCAGAGCAGTATAAGTAAGTACTACAGCATCAGATGTTAGATTGTTTACAGTCAGAGCAGTATAAGTAAGTACTACAGCATCAGATGTTAGATTGTTACATAATTTAATGTTTAATCAAGCAAATTAGCACTATTTGATGTTACAAATGTGATATATATTACTCTGAAAATATTTTGCAAACTTCTCATGTTTATAAATTAGGCATATCCTAGACAAATTTGCTCTTATTTTTTTTCAGAAGACCAGGGGGTATTAATTTGACTGACCAAATACATGGTCTGTAAAATTATGTTGAATCACCACCTTTCAAAGTGAAACACCTTAGTCTCAACCTAGAGTTATATGTTGTCTACCATAACCTGGAGTTATATGTTGTCTACCATAACCTGGAGTTATATGTTGTCTACCATAACCTGGAGTTATATGTTGTCTACCATAACCTGGAGTTATATGTTGTCTACCATAACCTGGAGTTATATGTTGTCTACCATAACCTTGAGTTATATGTTATCTACCATAGCCTGGAGTTCAATGTTGTCTACCATAACCTGGAGTTCAATGTTGTCTACCATAACCTGGAGTTATATGTTGTCTACCATAACCTGGAGTTATATGTTATCTACCATAGCCTGGAGTTATATGTTGTCTACCATAACCTGGAGTTATATGTTGTCTACCATAACCTGGAGTTATATGTTGTCTTATCTTAGTCTGGAGTTCAATGATGTCTACCATAACCTGGAGATATGTGGAGGTATATGTTGTCTACCATAACATTGAGTTATATGTTGTCTACCATAGTCTGGAGTTCAATGATGTCTACCATAACCTGGAGCTATATGTTGTCTACCATAACCTTGAGTTATATGTTGTCTACCGTAACCTGGAGTTATATGTTGTCTTCCATAACCTGGAGTTATATGTTGTCTACCATAACCTGGAGGTATATGTTGTCTACCATAGCCTGGAGTTCATTGATGTCTACCATAGCCTGAAGTTATATGTTGTCTACCATAACCTGGAGTTATATGTTGTCTATCATAGTCTGGAGCTATATGTTGTCTACCATAACCTGGAGTTATATGTTTTCTACCATAACCTTGAGTTATATGTTGTCTGCAATAACCTGGAGCTATATGTTGTCTACCATAACCTGGAGTTATATGTTGTCTACCATAACCTGGAGTTATATGTTGTCTATCATAGTCTGGAGGTATATGTTGTCTTTCATAGCCTGAAGTTATGTGTTGTCTACCATAACCTGGAGTTATATGTTGTCTATCATAGTCTGGAGATATATGTTGTCTACCATAACCTGGAGTTATATGTTGTCTACCATAACCTTGAGTTATATGTTGTCTGCAATAACCTGGAGCTATATGTTGTCTACCATAACCTGGAGTTATATGTTGTCTACCATAACCTGGAGTTATATGTTGTCTACTATAGCCTGAAGTTATATGTTGTCTACCATAATCTGGAGTTATATGTTGTCTACCATAACCTGGAGCTATATGTTGTCTGCAATAACCTGGAGCTATATGTTGTCTACCATAATCTGGAGTTATATGTTGTCTACCATAACCTTGAGTTATATGTTGTCTACAATAGTCTGGAGTTATATGATGTGTACTCCAATGTTTGTTATAAAACAATTGTTGAATAATTTGTTGTATAGATGTTAAAATGGATTGTCAATCCTGAAATAATTTCTAAATGGTCATCATTCTTGATTTGAAGGGCTCCTGTGGTACAGTTTTCCAAAGATAGAATATTACCAATACCTTCTAAGGTGAGTATATCCAATAAAAGCTTGAATCTTATCAACTAGATATGTGATTTGGTACTGTGACCTGATTGAGATAATGAGGCTACTGTGACCTGATTGAGATAATGAGGCTGCTGTGACCTGATTGAGATAATGAGGCTACTGTGACCTGATTGAAAAATGAGGCTGCTGTGACCTGATTGAGATAATGAGGCTGCTGTGACCTGATTGAGATAATGAGGCTACTGTGACCTGATTGAGATAATGAGGCTGCTGTGACCTGATTGAGATAATGAGGCTGCTGTGACCTGATTGAGATAATGAGGCTGCTGTGACCTGATTGAGATAATGAGGCTGCTGTGAACTGATTGAGATAATGAGGCTACTGTGACCTGATTGAGATAATGAGACTGCTGTGACCTGATTGAGATAATGAGGCTGCTGTGACCTGATTGAGTGTTTTCTTTAATTTCTCTCCACACGATATTTTTAGAAGGACTGGTAGAATTTTGAAGAAACTTGGTTGGTTCACTTGTTACCTTAATCCCTCTCCCAATTTTGACTAACGGTGAATTCTGCTCATATTTAATGAGGCTGCTGTGACTTGGTTGATTTCTTTAATCACTCTATGGGAAATCTTTCTGCACCTTATCTTAAGAAGAAATGATAAGAATTTTTAGGAAACTTGCTTTATAGACTTATTACATTAATTCCTTCTTCAGGTTTGAGTATCTGCAAACTCTATGCATACTTGATGAGACTGCTGTGACCTGATTGGCTGATATTTTGTGACACTCTAACTGAATGCTTTCCACATGTTATCTTTTGTAGGAACAAATGAATTATGAGGAGGCTTGGTTGGTAGACTTGTTACCTTAATCTCTTGTTAAAGTGTGATTATTGGCAAATTCTGTGCATATTTAATGAGGCTGGTGTGACCTGATTAGCTGATATTTTTTCCAGTTTTCCATGTTGATCTTGACTATGGATACACAAGCTCATCAACGTACTAATTTGCCAGAGTAATGATGCACTAAAATTTGATCACACAAATTTAGTATATTTACATAAAATACCCTAATATCCCAACTGTTGATCACTGCTAGTGTTTATCATATTAGAAAACAACACTTTCAAACAGGTTAATAGATTGAGAAATTAAGATGAAGGATTTTTTTCATTGACAGTCAATTTTATCACCTGGAAATTCATACTGGTCCCATAATTCAAAGATGAGGAAAACCACATTTCTTAAGACTTTTGACAAGGGTTATGCTGATAAGGGAATGATTTCTTAACAATATCTGACAAAAACTTCTGCTTGATACAGCTCTGATTAATATCAAATTCTAATCAAGTCTTCAGAATTGGATAGAGAAGTGGAGGAGGAATTGGCCTTGGAAATGAGTTGTGAAGTAGAAGACCAGTATGAGGTGTTAGATTGTTTACAGTTAGAGCAGTACAAGTAAGTACTACAGCATCAGATGTTAGATTGTTTACAGTCAGAGCAGTATAAGTAAGTACTACAGCATCAGATGTTAGATTGTTTACAGTCAGAGCAGTACTACAGCATCAGATGTTAGATTGTGTACAGTCAGAGCAGTACTACAGCATCAGATGTTAGATTGTGTACAGTCAGAGCAGTATTACAGCATCAGATGTTAGATTGTTTACAGTCAGAGCAGTACTACAGCATCAGATGTTAGATTGTGTACAGTCAGAGCAGTATAAGTAAGTACTACAGCATCAGATGTTAGATTGTTTACAGTCAGAGCAGTACTACAGCATCAGATATTAGATTGTGTACAGTCAGAGCAGTATAAGTAAGTACTACAGCATCAGATGTTAGATTGTTTACAGTCAGAGCAGTACTACAGCATCAGATGTTAGATTGTGTACAGTCAGAGCAGTATAAGTAAGTACTACAGCATCAGATGTTAGATTGTGTACAGTCAGAGCAGTATAAGTAAGTACTACAGCATCAGATGTTAGATTGTTTACAGTCAGAGCAGTACTACAGCATCAGATGTTAGATTGTGTACAGTCAGAGCAGTATAAGTAAGTACTACAGCATCAGATGTTAGATTGTTTACAGTCAGAGCAGTACTACAGCATCAGATGTTAGATTGTGTACAGTCAGAGCAGTATAAGTAAGTACTACAGCATCAGATGTTAGATTGTTTACAGTCAGAGCAGTACTACAGCATCAGATGTTAGATTGTGTACAGTCAGAGCAGTATAAGTAAGTACTACAGCATCAGATGTTAGATTGTGTACAGTCAGAGCAGTATAAGTAAGTACTACAGCATCAGATGTTAGATTGTGTACAGTCAGAGCAGTATAAGTAAGTACTACAGCATCAGATGTTAGATTGTGTACAGTCAGAGCAGTACTACAGCATCAGATGTTAGATTGTTTACAGTCAGAGCAGTATAAGTAAGTACTACAGCATCAGATGTTAGATTGTGTACAGTCAGAGCAGTATAAGTAAGTACTACAGCATCAGATGTTAGATTGTTTACAGTCAGAGCAGTATAAGTAAGTACTACAGCATCAGATGTTAGATTGTGTACAGTCAGAGCAGTACTACAGCATCAGATGTTAGATTGTGTACAGTCAGAGCAGTATAAGTAAGTACTACAGCATCAGATGTTAGATACAGCAGTAGTAAGTACTACAGCATAGATGTTAGTTGTGTACAGATTGTTACTACAGTCAGAGCAGTATAAGTAAGTACTACAGCATCAGATGTTAGATTGTGTACAGTCAGAGCAGTATAAGTAAGTACTACAGCATCAGATGTTAGATTGTGTACAGTCAGAGCAGTATAAGTAAGTACTACAGCATCAGATGTTAGATTGTGTACAGTCAGAGCAGTATAAGTAAGTACTACAGCATCAGATGTTAGATTGTGTACAGTCAGAGCAGTATAAGTAAGTACTACAGCATCAGATGTTAGATTGTGTACAGTCAGAGCAGTATAAGTAAGTACTACAGCATCAGATGTTAGATTGTGTACAGTCAGAGCAGTATAAGTAAGTACTACAGCATCAGATGTTAGATTGTGTACAGTCAGAGCAGTACTACAGCATCAGATGTTAGATTGTGTACAGTCAGAGCAGTATAAGTAAGTACTACAGCATCAGATGTTAGATTGTGTACAGTCAGAGCAGTACTACAGCATCAGATGTTAGATTGTGTACAGTCAGAGCAGTACTACAGCATCAGATGTTAGATTGTGTACAGTCAGAGCAGTATAAGTAAGTACTACAGCATCAGATGTTAGATTGTGTACAGTCAGAGCAGTACTACAGCATCAGATGTTAGATTGTGTACAGTCAGAGCAGTACTACAGCATCAGATGTTAGATTGTGTACAGTCAGAGCAGTACTACAGCATCAGATGTTAGATTGTGTACAGTCAGAGCAGTACTACAGCATCAGATGTTAGATTGTGTACAGTCAGAGCAGTATAAGTAAGTACTACAGCATCAGATGTTAGATTGTTTACAGTCAGAGCAGTATAAGTAAGTACTACAGCATCAGATGTTAGATTGTGTACAGTCAGAGCAGTATAAGTAAGTACTACAGCATCAGATGTTAGATTGTGTACAGTCAGAGCAGTATAAGTAAGTACTACAGCATCAGATGTTAGATTGTGTACAGTCAGAGCAGTATAAGTAAGTACTACAGCATCAGATGTTAGATTGTGTACAGTCAGAGCAGTATAAGTAAGTACTACAGCATCAGATGTTAGATTGTGTACAGTCAGAGCAGTATAATCAGTGTTAGATTGTGTCAGTCAGATCAGATGTTAGATTGTGTACAGTCAGAGCAGTATAAGTAAGTACTACAGCATCAGATGTTGTTAGATTGTGTACAGTCAGAGCAGTATAAGTAAGTACTACAGCATCAGATGTTAGATTGTGTACAGTCAGAGCAGTATAAGTAAGTACTACAGCATCAGATGTTAGATTGTGTACAGTCAGAGCAGTACTACAGCATCAGATGTTAGATTGTGTACAGTCAGAGCAGTACTACAGCACAGTCAGAGCAGTATAAGTAAGTACATCAGATGTTAGATTGTGTACAGTCAGAGCAGTATAAGTAAGTACTACAGCATCAGATGTTAGATTGTGTACAGTCAGAGCAGTACTACAGCATCAGATGTTAGATTGTGTACAGTCAGAGCAGTATAAGTAAGTACTACAGCATCAGATGTTAGATTGTGTACAGTCAGAGCAGTATAAGTAAGTACTACAGCATCAGATGTTAGATTGTGTACAGTCAGAGCAGTATAAGTAAGTACTACAGCATCAGATGTTAGATTGTGTACAGTCAGAGCAGTACTACAGCATCAGATGTAAGATTGTGTACAGTCAGAGCAGTATAAGTAAGTACTACAGCATCAGATGTTAGATTGTTACATCATTTAATGTTTAATCAAGTAAATTAGCACTATTTGATGTTACAAATGTGATATATATTACTCTGAAAATATTTTGCAAACTTCTCATGTTTATAAATTAGGCATATCCTGGACAAATTTGCTCTTATTTTTTTTCAGAAGACCAGGGGGTATTAATTTGACTGACCAAATACATGGTCTGTAAAATTATGTTGAATCACCACCTTTCAAAGTGAAACACCTTAGTCTCAACTTAGAGTTATATGTTGTCTACCATAACCTGGAGTTATATGTTGTCTACCATAACCTGGAGTTATATGTTGTCTACCATAACCTGGAGTTATATGTTGTCTACCATAACCTGGAGTTATATGTTATCTACCATAGCCTGGAGTTAAATGTTATCTAACATAGCCTGGAGTTCAATGTTGTCTACCATAACCTGGAGTTATATGTTGTCTACCATAACCTGGAGTTATATGTTATTTACCATAGCCTGGAGTTATATGTTGTCTACCATAACCTGGAGTTATATGTTGTCTATCTTAGTCTGGAGTTCAATGATGTCTACCATAACCTGGAGATATGTGGAGGTATATGTTGTCTACCATAACATTGAGTTATATGTTGTTTACCATAACCTGAAGTTTTATGTTGTCTATCATATCCTTAAGTTATATGTTGTCTATCATAACCTGGAGTTCAATCATGTCTACCATAGCCTGAAGTGATATGTTGTCTGCCATAACCTGGAGCTATATGTTGTCTACCATAATCTGGAGTTATATGTTGTCTACCATAACCTGGAGCTATATGTTGTCTGCAATAACCTGGAGCTATATGTTGTCTACCATAATCTGGAGTTATATGTTGTCTACCATAACCTTGAGTTATATGTTGTCTACCATAGTCTGGAGTTATATGATGTGTACTCCAATGTTTGTTATAAAACAATTGTTGAATAATTTGTTGTATAGATGTTAAAATGGATTGTCAATCCTGAAATAATTTCTAAATGGTCATCATTCTTGATTTGAAGGGCTCCTGTGGTACAGTTTTCCAAAGATAGAATATTACCAATACCTTCTAAGGTGAGTATATCCAATAAAAGCTTGAATCTTATCAACTAGATATGTGATTTGGTATTATTACATTTTTAGCAGTGAAATATAGGGATATCTCAAACTGATGAAAGTGATATTTTTCACTATATAACCTTTTTATATTTTTCACTAGTGAAAAATATCACTTTGAGGATTGAATAATCAGAGAGCCCAATACAAATCTACTCCAATTCTAGGCACTGGGAACACAACCTTCAACTCCACCGTAAATTTCCATTTTCTTGGCAGTCAGCAGACGATGCAAGCCAATTACTCTATGTTATCAGTGGTCAAACCCATCCCGGTTCTGAGAGTCTTGACAGTGAACCAAGGCATTTAAAAGAATCTTATCTTTGTCATTGATAGTGACAGCGACTAGGAGGGCGCCATACTTTACGTTTAAACCATTTTATTGTGTATAAGTGACATCAATAAATTACAAAATCCATGTCCAAACACAAATAAACATTCATTATGATTTATTCATGAGTCTGTATATTTTTACTGATTTTTCATAAAATGGACTGTTTTTTGCCGCACACAACATCGTTGTATAATGAGTGAGTTGTATCTGGAAAAAGCATGGTCAACTTACCCATTTTATAGTTATCGTAAGTTTGCCATTTTTTTGGTTTATTTTTGCAATGAAAATGTAATAAACAGAATATTTGATAGTGTCTTCAGAAATAACAAATATATTTCACTCGTGTGGCTAATATTTTGGTATCTTTCACAAGTGTGTAGCAATATATAAAGTAAAATTTGTTATTACTGAAGACACTATTAAATATCCTATATTTATTTTGTAATCCCACACCCCTACTAAATAAGAGGGGGTGGAGGGAGATATAGACACTTTGTGTGTATAATCTCTGTTATCATAGTGTCTCCACACCCTACTTAATAGAGGGGGTGGAGAGTGATATAGACACTTTGTATGTATAACCTCTGTTATCATAGTGTCCCCACACCCCTACTTAATAGATGGGGTGGAGAGAGATATAGACACTTTGTGTGTATAATCTGTTATAGTGTCCCCACACCCCTACTTACTAGATGGGGTGGAGAGATATAGACACTTTGTGTGTATAATCTCTGTTATAGTGTCCCCACACACCTACTTGATAGAGGGGGTGGAGAGAGATATAGACACTTTGTGTGTATAATCTCTGTTATCATAGTGTCCCCACACCCCTACTTGATAGAGGGGGTGGAGAGAGATATAGACACTTTGTGTGTATAATCTCTGTTATCATAGTGTCCCCACACCCCTACTTGATAGAGGGGGTGGAGAGAGATGTAGACACTTTGTGTGTATAATCTCTATTATCATAGTGTCCCCACACCCCTACTTGATAGAGGGGGTGGAGAGAGATATAGACACTTTGTGTGTATAATCTCTGTTATCATAGTGTCCCCACACCCCTACTTGATAGAGGGGGTGGAGAGAGATGTAGACACTTTGTGTGTATAATCTCTATTATCATAGTGTCCCCACACCCCTACTTGATAGAGGGGGTGGAGAGAGATATAGACACCTTGTGTGTATAATCTCTGTTATCATAGTGTCTCCACACCCCTACTTAATAGAGGGGGTGGAGGGAAATATAGACAGTTTGTGTGTATAATCTCTGTTATCATAGTGTCCCCACACACCTACTTGATAGAGGGGGTGGAGAGAGATATAGACACTTTGTGTGTATAATCTGTTATAGTGTCCCCACACCCCTACTTAATAGAGGGGGTGTCACTTTGTGTGTATAATCTGTTATAGTGTCACACCCCTACTTGATAGAGGGGGTGGAGAGAGATATAGACAGTTTGTGTGTATAATCTCTATTATCATAGTGTCCCCACACCCCTACTTAATAGAGGGGGTGGAGAGAGATGTAGACACTTTGTGTGTATAATCTGTTATAGTGTCCCCACACCCCTACTTGATAGAGGGGGTGGAGAGAGATATAGACAGTTTGTGTGTATAATCTCTATTATCATAGTGTCCCCACACCCCTACTTGATAGAGGGGGTGGAGAGAGATATAGACAGTTTGTGTGTATAATCTCTGTTATCATAGTGTCCCCACACCCCTACTTGATAGAGGGGGTGGAGAGAGATATAGACACTTTGTGTGTATAACCTCTGTTATTATAGTGTCCCCACACCCCTACTTGATAGAGGGGGTGGAGGGAGATATAGACACTTTGTGTCTATAATCTCTGTTATCATAGTGTCCCCACACCCCTACTTGATAGAGGGGGTGGAGAGAGATATAGACACTTTGTGTGTATAATCTGTTATAGTGTCCCCACACCCCTACTTAATAGAGGGGGTGGAGAGAGATGTAGACACTTTGTGTGTATAATCTCTGTTATCATAGTGTCCCCACACCCCTACTTGATAGAGGGGGTGGAGGGAGATATAGAATGCTTGAATTAATTTCAACCAAATTTGGCCTGAAACATCATTGAATGTAGGAATTGTTTTGATAAATTCATGATTTGATTCATCCCCAAAGGACTTTTGGGCAGGGCTCCAAAAGGGGAAGTTAAGCGATGTTTTGCTTCAAAATACTACGCTTTCTTAATGCTTGGATGTGTTTCCACCAAATTTTGTTTCAAACATCATGGTGAGTGGGGAATGATTTCTTAAATTCAAAAAGTTGGATCAACCCCTAGTTAATAGGAATGACCTTTATCTGCTTGAAAGGTCATAGGAATCAAATATATTGAAATGCTTAAGCAACTTCATCTCAATAACCAAAAGGCTCAGGATAATGATATTAGTCCTGTAGCATGTTAGGATGGAGAGCTACCAACTTTGTTAATATGAATGACATTGACCCACTTTCAATGTCACAGATTTCAAATATGTTAAAATGTTTAAATGACTGCTCAATAACCAAAAGGCCCAGGGAGCTGATATAGGGCCATCTTTCATGGTCACAGGGGTAAAATATAATAAAATGCTTAAGCAACTTCTTTTCAATAACCGAAAGGCCAAGGGTCTTGATACTTGGCCTGTAGCTTGCTTTTTCAACAAGTAATACATCTGGAATAGTGGCAATTATGTAGTGCATGTATAAAAAAATATAATTTCAAGTTTGCAGAAAGTGTCTTTCATATCCAACCAATGTCTTCTATGTAAGCTGTATTTAGAGTAGCTGAGTAATTTATTTTAGACCTTTTTTGCCTCTTTCATATATAGGTCTTTATAGTTGGATGACTGTAAAGGCCCATGGGCCTCTTGTTAAATCTGTTATCATAAGATCATAAGATCTAGTTCATAACTAGGGTATATGTTTACCTACTTTGAAATCTATTATTGATCTTGTGTTACAGGTTTTAATGAACTCAGGGAAGACTTCGGAGTCGGAATCGGATCAAGACACGTACTTTGACAGTACAATTAAATATCAGCAAAGGTATGGGTACTTAATGTTAAAATACATTCATACTGAAGTTACAAGTAATGCGTATTGTGTATTTATTGGTTTTAGTTATTCTAGTTTGAAGGATGAGCATAATACAGAACAATATAATAGCCTGTGTTGTCTACTGAACAGTATAGGCATGTAACACTGAGATCAAAAGTTCCTCCCAAAGGTTTTATTGAGGTCAAATGTCAAACTAAGTCTGTGAAAGTAGATACTTGATTCTGGAGTCACATGGTTGTATGACTATATCAAAGTCATTTTAATTCAAAGGTCAAAGTTATGCTTAACCCTTGTATTGCTGAAAGAAAATGAACCAGATTATGTGCTATATACAACAAACACAAGAGTTTAAATGAGTGGTCAAACAGGATAATTTATCATGTTTAATGCTGAGCTTTATTTTGATTCAGAAATGAGGATGTCATAGCAAAGAAAACAATGTCTAAAATGGTAAGTTCACATCCATGTATCAGCAGGAACACTGTATAGCAGGGTAAGTTCACATCAATGTATCAGCAGGAACACTGTATAGCAGGGTAAGTTCACATCCATGTATCAGCAGGAACACTGTATAGCAGGGTAAGTTCACATCCATGTATCAGCAGGAACACTGTATAGCAGGGTAAGTTCACATCCATGTATCAGCAGGAACACTGTATAGCAGGGTAAGTTCACATCCATGTATCAGCAGGAACACTGTATAGCAGGGTAAGTTCACATCCATGTATCAGCAGGAACACTGTATAGCAGGGTAAGTTCACATCAATGTATCAGCAGGAACACTGTATAGCAGGGTAAGTTCACATCAATGTATCAGCAGGAACACTGTATAGCAGGGTAAGTTCACATCCATGTATCAGCAGGAACACTGTATAGCAGGGTAAGTTCACATCCATGTATCAGCAGGAACACTGTATAGCAGGGTAAGTTCACATCAATGTATCAGCAGGAACACTGTATAGCAGGGTAAGTTCACATCAATGTATCAGCAGGAACACTGTATAGCAGGGTAAGTTCACATCCATGTATCAGCAGGAACACTGTATAGCAGGGTAAGTTCACATCAATGTATCAGCAGGAACACTGTATAGCAGGGTAAGTTCACATCCATGTATCAGCAGGAACACTGTATAGCAGGGTAAGTTCACATCAATGTATCAGCAGGAACACTGTATAGCAGGGTAAGTTCACATCCATGTATCAGCAGGAACACTGTATAGCAGGGTAAGTTCACATCAATGTATCAGCAGGAACACTGTATAGCAGGGTAAGTTCACATCAATGTATCAGCAGGAACACTGTATAGCAGGGTAAGTTCACATCAATGTATCAGCAGGAACACTGTATAGCAGGGTAAGTTCACATCAATGTATCAGCAGGAACACTGTATAGCAGGGTAAGTTCACATCAATGTATCAGCAGGAACACTGTATAGCAGGGTAAGTTCACATCCATGTATCAGCAGGAACACTGTATAGCAGGGTAAGTTCACATCCATGTATCAGCAGGAACACTGTATAGCAGGGTAAGTTCACATCCATGTATCAGCAGGAACACTGTATAGCAGGGTAAGTTCACATCCATGTATCAGCAGGAACACTGTATAGCAGGGTAAGTTCACATCCATGTATCAGCAGGAACACTGTATAGCAGGGTAAGTCACATCCATGTATCAGCAGGAACACTGTATAGCAGGGTAAGTTCACATCCATGTATCAGCAGGAACACTGTATAGCAGGGTAAGTTCACATCCATGTATCAGCAGGAACACTGTATAGCAGGGTAAGTTCACATCCATGTATCAGCAGGAACACTGTATAGCAGGGTAAGTTCACATCAATGTATCAGCAGGAACACTGTATAGCAGGGTAAGTTCACATCAATGTATCAGCAGGAACACTGTATAGCAGGGTAAGTTCACATCAGTATCAGCAGGAACACTGTATAGCAGGGTAAGTTCACATCAATGTATCAGCAGGAACACTGTATAGCAGGGTAAGTTCACATCCATGTATCAGCAGGAACACTGTATAGCAGGGTAAGTTCACATCCATGTATCAGCAGGAACACTGTATAGCAGGGTAAGTTCACATCAATGTATCAGCAGGAACACTGTATAGCAGGGTAAGTTCACATCAATGTATCAGCAGGAACACTGTATAGCAGGGTAAGTTCACATCCATGTATCAGCAGGAACACTGTATAGCAGGGTAAGTTCACATCCATGTATCAGCAGGAACACTGTATAGCAGGGTAAGTTCACATCCATGTATCAGCAGGAACACTGTATAGCAGGGTAAGTTCACATCAATGTATCAGCAGGAACACTGTATAGCAGGGTAAGTTCACATCAATGTATCAGCAGGAACACTGTATAGCAGGGTAAGTTCACATCAATGTATCAGCAGGAACACTGTATAGCAGGGTAAGTTCACATCAATGTATCAGCAGGAACACTGTATAGCAGGGTAAGTTCACATCAATGTATCAGCAGGAACACTGTATAGCAGGGTAAGTTCACATCCATGTATCAGCAGGAACACTGTATAGCAGGGTAAGTTCACATCAATGTATCAGCAGGAACACTGTATAGCAGGGTAATTCACAGATATAACCAGGATGTATCAGCAGGAATCACATCAATGTATCAGCAGGAACACTGTATAGCAGGGTAAGTTCACATCAATGTATAAAAATGATGGACTAATGATACAGATTCGAAATCTCTCTTATATGTGTCATTCATTTCCTCTCTTCCATACTTTTTCTTAATGAGGGTAAAATGATAGGTGCTGTAACTAATCTTGGTATAATGTAAATTGAATAATTACTCTCTAGGATTATGTTTATCTGTCACAGATATAACCAGGAGTGTATTATTACCCCTAGGGATCTAGTATCTATCTGTCACAGATATAACCAGGAGTGTATTATTACCCCTAGGGATCTAGTATCTATCTGTTACAGATATAACCAGGAGTGTATTATTACCCCTAGGGATCTAGTATGTTAATCTGTTACAGATATAACCAGGAGTGTATTATTACCCCTAGGGATCTAGTATGTTAATCTGTTACAGATATAACCAGGAGTGTATTATTACCCCTAGGGATCTAGTATGTTAATCTGTTTACAGATATAACCAGGAGTGTATTATTACCCCTAGGGATCTAGTATGTTAATCTGTTTACAGATATAACCAGGAGTGTATTATTACCCCTAGGGATCTAGTATGTTAATCTGTTTACAGATATAACCAGGAGTGTATTATTACCCCTAGGGATCTAGTATGTTAATCTGTTTACAGATATAACCAGGAGTGTATTATTACCCCTAGGGATCTAGTATGTTAATCTGTTTACAGATATAACCAGGAGTGTATTATTACCCCTAGGGATCTAGTATCTATCTGTTACAGATATAACCAGGAGTGTATTATTACCCCTAGGGATCTAGTATGTTAATCTGTTACAGATATAACCAGGAGTGTTTATTACAGATCTGTTTACAGATATAACCAGGAGTGTATTATTACCCCTAGGGATCTATTATGTTAATCTGTTTACAGATATAACCAGGAGTGTATTATTACCCCTAGGGATCTAGTATGTTAATCTGTTTACAGATATAACCAGGAGTGTATTATTACCCCTAGGGATCTAGTATGTTAATCTGTTACAGATATAACCAGGAGTGTATTATTACCCCTAGGGATCTAGTATGTTAATCTGTTTACAGATATAACCAGGAGTGTATTATTACCCCTAGGGATCTAGTATGTTAATCTGTTTACAGATATAACCAGGAGTGTATTATTACCCCTAGGGATCTAGTATGTTAATCTGTTTACAGATATAACCAGGAGTGTATTATTACCCCTAGGGATCTAGTATGTTAATCTGTTTACAGATATAACCAGGAGTGTATTATTACCCCTAGGGATCTAGTATGTTAATCTGTTACAGATATAACCAGGAGTGTATTATTACCCCTAGGGATCTAGTATGTTAATCTGTTTACAGATATAACCAGGAGTGTATTATTACCCCTAGGGATCTAGTATGTTAATCTGTTACAGATATAACCAGGAGTGTATTATTACCCCTAGGGATCTAGTATGTTAATCTGTTTACAGATATAACCAGGAGTGTATTATTACCCCTAGGGATCTAGTATGTTAATCTGTTTACAGATATAACCAGGAGTGTATTATTACCCCTAGGGATCTAGTATGTTAATCTGTTTACAGATATAACCAGGAGTGTATTATTACCCCTAGGGATCTAGTATGTTAATCTGTTACAGATATAACCAGGAGTGTATTATTACCCCTAGGGATCTAGTATGTTATATATAACAGGAGTGTATTATTACCCCTAGGGATCTAGTATGTTAATCTGTTACAGATATAACCAGGAGTGTATTATTACCCCTAGGGATCTATTATGTTAATCTGTTTACAGATATAACCAGGAGTGTATTATTACCCCTAGGGATCTAGTATCCTATTGTTCCAGATATAACCAGGAGTGTATTATTACCCCTAGGGATCTAGTATGTTAATCTGTTTACAGATATAACCAGGAGTGTATTATTACCCCTAGGGATCTAGTATGTTAATCTGTTTACAGATATAACCAGGAGTGTATTATTACCCCTAGGGATCTAGTATGTTAATCTGTTACAGATATAACCAGGAGTGTATTATTACCCCTAGGGATCTAGTATGTTAATCTGTTTACAGATATAACCAGGAGTGTATTATTACCCCTAGGGATCTAGTATGTTAATCTGTTACAGATATAACCAGGAGTGTATTATTACCCCTAGGGATCTAGTATGTTAATCTGTTTACAGATATAACCAGGAGTGTATTATTACCCCTAGGGATCTAGTATCCTATTGTTACAGATATAACCAGGAGTGTATTATTACCCCTAGGGATCTAGTATGTTAATCTGTTACAGATATAATCTGGAGTGTATTATTACCCCTAGGGATCTAGTATGTTAATCTGTTTACAGATATAACCTGGAGTGTATTATTACCCCTAGGGATCTAGTATGTTAATCTGTTACAGATATAACCAGGAGTGTATTATTACCCCTAGGGATCTAGTATGTTAATCTGTTTACAGATATAACCAGGAGTGTATTATTACCCCTAGGGATCTAGTATGTTAATCTGTTTACAGATATAACCAGGAGTGTATTATTACCCCTAGGGATCTAGTATCCTACTGTTCCAGATATAACCAGGAGTGTATTATTACCCCTAGGGATCTAGTATGTTAATCTGTTACAGATATAACCAGGAGTGTATTATTACCCCTAGGGATCTAGTATGTTAATCTGTTTACAGATATAACCAGGAGTGTATTATTACCCCTAGGGATCTAGTATGTTAATCTGTTTACAGATATAACCAGGAGTGTATTATTACCCCTAGGGATCTAGTATCTATGTTAATCTGTTTACAGATATAACCAGGAGTGTATTATTACCCCTAGGGATCTAGTATGTTAATCTGTTACAGATATAACCAGGAGTGTATTATTACCCCTAGGGATCTAGTATGTTAATCTGTTACAGATATAACCAGGAGTGTATTATTACCCCTAGGGATCTAGTATCTATCTGTTACAGATATAACCAGGAGTGTATTATTACCCCTAGGGATCTAGTATGTTAATCTGTTTACAGATATAA